ACTGAACGTGCCTAGATACTTAGTTATACGTGTACATGAGAAAGTTGTACAGGATGTACGGTTGTCTCGATCCGTAAAAAATAATGACTGAATTCTCGTGGCACGTTAATGTTAGCTGAACGATATACGCTTCCGCTCGTCTTGTCGTTTTTCCCATCTAGCGACTAACGAGTGATGTAAGCTCATGGGTCGGTTTCTGTAATATTACCACTCCTCTGTTCCAGGCGGTTACTGATCATGACCCTTTTGCGCTCAGCACCTCGCTTAATTTTTTTCCTGATACGCTTGTGCTGGATTTTTATTTGCGCATCGCTTTTTCCTGGTATGAAGGCGTGCAAGATTGTTTTTGCTTTTCTTACCACCGGCCACACCCTTTTGCCTCTTCTCAGTTTTCTGCCTATTTTGTACTTGCTTTGGTTGCTCATGAGGGTTGGGCACTGAATTCCGCCGGCCCAAAATTGGTCGATCGGCTCTCGCTGACTATCGGTCACCGCACGTATCCGATCACCGAGAGTAAAAACTGCCCAACATCCGAGATTTTGAATACTCGTATACCCATAGTGGAAAAGGCAAGTGCCTTTAACTAATCCGTTGAATCACCGGTATCTAGACAGTAGACATAAAGGAGCAAGAAACGCGTCAAATATTGAGGTAACGTTTCATTCGGCAGCTAAATTCCAGTAGTACGTAACTGAACTTGTTGACAGCTGTTTTGAAGAACGAGATGTGCACCGAGGCACTCCCAGTGTATCCAGTTGCAAAGCCCGCTGCGATCCATCCGTACCACATTTAAACATCTGCCAACTGAAAGTACGTACTACCGAATTTCACAGTGCGCAAAAAAGGCACCCACGAAACGTTTGAAAAAGTCGACTTTGTCCTGTTGTTCAGTGTTTTTCACTACATCATCCAACGTCCTCTTGTGCAACGTCAACTTGTTATTAAAAGTACACGAGGTCAGTTCTACAGAATACTATGAATGTCATTGCAGAAAACATGTCAGATTTCCAAGGAACACCGACCATGAATGTTTCGCTGAACGTTAGCAGCAGTTCCGTCGCGGTGGCAGGACCTGTCATCTATTCCACACTTATCAGTAGCATATCTTTGATACTGAATTTGTTTCTAAGCTTCGTATTTGTCGTCCGCGTTACTAATAAAATACCGTTCGATATATACTTTGTTAGTCTATTATGTGCCAACGTTCTGTTTAACTTGGTGAACATTGTGTTTGCTCCGATTTTATTTTTGTATCCCAAATTGCAATTGGGAAGACCTGTTTGCGCATTATGGACATCCAGCGTGTACATTTTCACCACGATACCGATCGTCAACCATGCTGTCATTGGCCTGCACCGGATTGGGGCGATAATTGCCCCTTTGATCTTTCGACATTTTCATAGTATTAAAGCGATTCGTCGAACAGTGCTGTTAATTTGGTTAGTGCCGTGTGCTATTGGGCTTCCGTGCGCATTATTTGGAGTGCTTTCCAAAAGCACCGATATCCTTGTTGACGAGTGCAGTAGTGTAGCGCCAGCTCACATGTTTACGTCAACGGAAAAGGTCACATCGATTACACAGCGAGTAATACTTGTGCTGAGTTTCGCAATTACAGCATTCACTATTCCCGTTATCATCTGGAAGGTGAAAAAGCGATCATTATTACGAGCTCGTTCCGGGACGCGTTCAGATACTCCATCCACATCGGAAGGCAGCACGAGTGTATCGGAGAAGCAAACTAATGTTGTGATGGGCGTCTTAGCCATCAGCATCCTGATCTTCTGGGGGCCGTATACGGTGTATTTTGGCTTCCAAGAGACCTTTGGACACGAGGATATTGTAGCACAAATAGTAATGGTTGCTCTCTTTGAGTGCCAGGGTGCGGCTGACCCTGTAATACTATTTCTGACTCTGCCCAAATGGCAAAATGCTGCTGTAAGGTTTCTCAGAACGTGAAAAAACACTTGCTTCTGAAAAATAAATATGCAATCAGCATTAAGGCAGAAACCCGACACTGCGGAGTTAATAATATTGCAAAGCGCCGTAACACGTTGAATCACTGCAGGTAAAGTGCTGAACGATGGATTGTAGATAGTGGTACTGTGGACCTGTGGTGCACTAGTACTTACAGCATTTCTCCAGCAATTTTACTATCTGTAAAGTTCCTCACGGCTGAATGGCATTATTTGGATGTTACACGTCACCGGAAATAATTTCAAGATTTATATATCGTTTTCAGTGCCTGCTCAGTGCTCCTACGTATGTATTAGTGATTTAAGAACTGCATAAACCTGAAAAGGGAAATATGGCAACGGAACAACTATTGCACATACAGGCTGTCTCATTTTTACGAGACGCTTTTTGCACACAACTGGTTTTCATTCGGATCTTTATTTGTATGGCAGTGCTTGTTACGTCGTACTTTGGCGTCTGCGGCCTCTGGAGTTGCAAGACTTACCCGCTTTGATGATTGCTGATTTTATTTGAACACTCGTATTTTGGTTTGCAGTATAAAGATTATCGGTGATTTTTGCTTTGTGATCACTAATCAATATATTATTATTGTCTCTGACAGTCTGCGTCATGGACCTTCCGTCGCACACAGCACACTTGATCGATTTGAAACTGTTCTATATTCTAAAATGTTTACAAATGAAACAATGATCTAGAAGCAATTAGACCCCCCCCCACCCCCGTGGTTAAAGCCACCTGAGCTCATTAAATAAATAAATTAAATTGCTTCGTAGTTAGTTTGAACAGTTGCCGCAAATGTAGAAACAAAGTTTCTGCAATTCGCTATGAGCTGATCAGATTATATACACAGCGTTGGAAGGATCTACCCCAGCAATCCTATTAAGGTAGATAAACATTGGTAAAGCATCACAAGCAAACATGCATTCGAAACCGTATTTAATGACGTAATATGCTTAATACATTATACATAACGGTTTCAGATTTTTGTCCTATTTATATGTGGACAACACTGCACATTTTTACGCTTGTAAGACCAGCTTTTCAATTCGTATACGCTTACGCTAACTGAGTTCTGCTAGCTAATATTCAACGTCATAAAAAATTTTGGGATATGAATATCTCGGCTGAAAGTATTGCATTTCTTGTTAACGGAACCTCCAACACTCCTTCCAACGCTACTAGTACGAAATCCCCTGCTGCTGTTGGTGTTTTCGTAATCACCACAACTATCGCCATTACAGCGCTGTTACTGAATTCAGTCTTATGTCTTGTGTTCTGTGTACGGGTAAACAGAAAAGCACAATTTGATTTGTATTTCGTTAGTCTTCTGTGCGCTAATATTCTGTTCATCGGGACCGGCCTTACTAACTCAGTTGTCTATGGATTTTATCCTGAACACCTGTCTGGAACAGCGGGCTGTGCAGTGTGGGTGTACGGAATCTACGTCTTCGGCATGGTTCAAACTGTTAATCACACCGTCATTGCCTTACACCGCATTGGCGCGATTGTTGCTCCGATGACCTTTCGGAATTTTTACACTGCACGCGCTGTTCACCGAACGATAATCTTCATTTGGTTTGTGCCACACATTATTGGGCTGCCGTGTGCAGTGGTTGGCGTAGTGGCAAGGAATGCTACTCACGTGGACGAGTGCTTTAACGAAAAAGCCGCTAGCACATCGGCCGAAAAGGCTGCCGGATTTATACAGAAAACGGTTATACTGATGTGTTGCATAATTACTCTGGTCTCTGTACCGGTCATCAGCTGGAAATTGAAAAAACGTTCTTTGTTGAGAGACAGTTCTGCGACTCATTCATACAAGCCATCGGCAGCCGAATGTCATGAGAATGGGCAAGAAAAGCAGGCCAACATCTTGATGGGCGTTTTGGCCATTAGTATCTTATCCTTCTGGGGACCGTATGCGGTGTATTTTGGATTTCAGAATGTGTTTGGATACCATAATCTGGAAGCCCAAGTAGTAATAATTGGCTTATTTGACTGCCAAGCTGTTGCCGATCCTATTTTATTGTTCTTAACTATGTCGAAATGGCGAAAAGCTATTGTTGTGAAGAATTTCTCAGCGTAAAACAGAATACGGACAAAAACCTGGTAAATGTCCAGATTGTCCCAGAATAATTAAATTTGGTATTCCGTATTTTCGTTACCATTACCAACAATCTAAAAAATTTCTGGAACTCAGCTTGCACTAGTATTGGCCAGGATCCTTTGTGAATCCGGTTTGCGACAACATTAGCACACATTTCCCTAAGAAGTGTTGAACGCTTGTTCATATCCCGAGTGAGGGTGGATGCGTGGTTTAATACTGATGTATAAAGCTAAACAGATTGTTGGGAAAGTTTCATCAAACTGTCAAATTCAGTCACCTGAGTGTAGTATCACACGCTACATAGTGTTTACAAATGGTGTCAGCTGCGCTTTGGCGACTTGCGTACTCCGCAGTCCGCAGCGTACTCCGTCGAACTCCGTACTCCATGATTTCGACAGTAGGATCCATGCCCACTGTTTGGAAACCATGCGTGTCTAACTGCCATCTGAACACTACAAAACAATGCCGTCGTTGTAGATTTGCACTACTTCGTACTTGTACAAGCAGAGGTGTAGATTTGGCTGGTGTGTAAACTGAGGTACGAGTATTTGCCGTAAGTTCGTAAATGATTGATATATTTGCGGTGCTGATTAAACAGAACAGAAACAATGTACTCCAACTTGTCTGGAGCCAAATCAGTTACTGTTTTACTCGGTTAAACCCAGCACGAAACGTCCAAACTGACTGGGCCAACTTAAAACATACATAATTATTCGATTAAACTCTAAAGCATTCTAAAGTTTAGCCCCGGAACGATACAATCTGACTCAACCAAACAGCGCCTGTAGTAAAGTTTGCGTTCTGCGGTTGTTGTCTGCTGAGTAACATGGAAAATTCTTCGTTTGTGAACGCCAGCAATCTTATAACAACAGTAAACGGGACTGATCCGGCTTCGCGGCAGGTAGTTTTTAACATAGCCATGATATTCATTAATATTGGCGGATCCATCTTGAACAGTCTGGTGTGTGTGGGATTCTTATTAGGAGCAAATCTAAAAACACCGTTTGACTGGTATTTTGTTAGCCTATTGGTGGCTAATTTTTGTGTTGAGACGCTAATGGCGCCCTTCTCCTTCTTGCGCGTTTTAAGCCCAAGTATCGAAGTGGGTGTCACCGGTTGTATGATAAACGCTTCCGCCACAAACGTTTTCATCATGATACAAATCGTCAGTCATGCTGCCATTGCCGTTAACCGCGTCTGGGCCATGCTGGCCCCCATGACCTTTCGGCGTTTTCACAACCTGCAGAATGTTCGACTGGCTATTGTTCTGATGTGGGTGGTACCGCATGCTATCGGACTGCCTTGCACGATTCTCAGTGTACTGGAGCGGAGACCTGTCCAGGTGCGGAACTGCTTCAACGTCTCGTACAGCAAATCGGAAGTAGAAAACGTCGTCGAAGGCATTCAGAGAGTTGCCATGATGGTATGCTGCATCATCACATCATCATCCTTGTTCATTATTATTTGGAAGCTCAGGCAAAGGAGCTTAATGAAAACAAGCTCATTCCGACTGGGTCAGACACGAATGCATGTGGAAGGAAGCGAAAGCACAGAAAGGGAGACTAATATACTCGTGATTATCGTGGCTGCCTGTATATTAGTCTTCTGGGGACCATTTGCAGTGTATTTTGGAGTGCAGGATCTCCTTGGTTACAGAATCCTGGAAGAGAATTTGGTAGTCGTTATTCTTTTTAACTGTCAAGTCATCGCAGACCCGGTTTTAGTATTTTTAGCGTTACCAAAATGGCGAAAAGCGGTATTAATGACATTGTCGCCATGCAGGAGACAAAGGCTTTAAATCCAGCGAAGCTAAATAGTTTTAGTAGGCACGAATTAAACTAGCCGGTTTGATCATATGATGTATACAGCAGTTGTGTTTAAAAAAAACTGTGTTTAAATGCATACTGTGCGTTTGTTAATGTTTTGAACTTAGTTTAATCCGCCCAGTGTCATTAATAAATAAAGCATTTGTCAGTGTTAGCTGCAGACTACAGATAGGTATATTAATACGCTTGCTGTTGATATCGTATACAACTACAGATAACGAACAACACACTGACACCATTAAAAAAAATTGATGAGACGCTTGTTTGCCGGTGCGGTACATATTGCTCATCATCGCCAAGAGCATCATTGATGATGGTGCATACCTCATCTTCACTGCTTATGCAGCTGCGGCGTGATGTTGCATGGCCGTACAGTGCAAGAACACCTCCTCTCGATCTTGACAGTGAAAAACGGTACATCGACAGCGCAATGGATCTGGCATTCATCGTACTATTTTTATGGCAGCTTGAACACGTATCCAGTAGCCGCTCGTTATTTCGAAACCCAGGCAGCCTGCTTTCGCGGGAAATAGCATTTCCTTCCGACCCTCCTAATTATTACGGCCCGTCTATATCCGCGCCATCGTACAGCCCGGATGCTTACACGACAACATCCTCAACGACAGATAACAATGCTGTTGGACCACGCTGCACGCCAGATTCCAGTCCTGCTCTTGGTCAGGTCGGTGTCTGTGTCGCATCCAATGCGCTGGATTTATGCAAAGACATGAGCATGACGACGTCCAATGACTGTGCTGGCTTCGGCAATGGAAAATCTTTATGCTGTTACAGTACGTAAGTGCGTGTTCGTTCGTTCGATTTACCGAATAAAAGATGTGCAACACGGTTATGCACATTCCAGGTGTTACGCAGCAGTCGGTGACGACAAGCAGTGCTCCTCTGACGTCCACCGCTGGAACGGAAGAAACGTACCATAAAGCGCAAACAGCGATGGTTCGGCAGTACCAGTGCGGGATACCCAACGGAAATCCCAACATCTTCACTAGCATCGAGACATCGAAAAGCGCTGGAGCATTTAGTCACAAAACTCCGAAAACCGTTTTCAAACGGAAGAACCCAAAGAACCGCTTTACCGTTCAGCAAACGATTGTCGGTGGCTCGGAAGTGCCCAATGGAGCCGGGTCACTATGTTGGCAGGTGATAGTTAAAAGTTTACTCTTTTGAAAACGCTTAGGAGTCAGGAAAGTTTTCAGGCAATATAATTCTACTAAATTAATGAATCTTTTGAGACGAATAGATCTCCTAAACGTTGCTACTTGTAAGCGTTAGGGCAACGATGTTAATTTTGACCTGTACATAGCTTACGTCAATGTGTGAGATTGCTGAAAAAATAAGGTAATCTGACGATTATGAAACCCATTTAGAATCAAAAATTTCTACAGCAGTGAAACCTTATTTAGGTATCGGTTGTTCGTCTCGTTGAAAATGGTGCTTTCGTGTGCGGAGGCATAATCATCGGCAGTCGGACCATTCTAACTGCTGCCCACTGTCTCGGCGACGGTGGCCCTTTCAATGCTACCGCCACGCCGATTGTAGTGACCATCGGGGTAATTACCTACGCCATATCCGGAGAAATTTTTTATCCAGATGTCGTGCAAGGTTGCTCCAGGACGTACAATGTGGTTAGTGGCGTTGCCCATCCGGATTACGACACTGGAACGGACGATAACGACATCGCCATCCTGGTTTTGACCGAAGCGATTGATTTCCGACGGCACGATGCGTGCGCCTGTCGACTGTGTCTGAGCCGGCATGTTCCTCAGGTTGGCGATAAATGTATAACATCCGGTTTCGGGGACGAAGTTGATTCCGGTAAGATTAACTGCGATTTGATACTTTTTAAAATGCAGTGCAGACTTTTTTTCAGAACTTGGTGATCCTCCCCGCGATGTCATCCCACTCAAATACGTCGTGCAAACTATTCTGCCAGCATCTTATGATAACTGTGCCTACGTGGCATCCCCCACCGGAGAAATTACCGATCTCGATTTGTTTCTTTGTGCCGGCGGCGTCGTCGGAGAGGATTCATGCCAGGGCGACAGCGGTGGACCATTGTTCTGTTATAACGCAACTAGCCAAGTACAGTACCTAGCCGGCATTGTCGCCATGGGGAACGGCTGTGCCAGAGGAACTGGAGGACTGTATACCAAGGTGGCGTTGTATCTACCGTGGATATTTAACACTGCACCTCTTGGAGACTTGACGTTAATGGTGTAAATGCAAACCGCATTTGTTTTTGGTTAAAGATGAGTGAATGGCAGACTTGAGTCATTTGTTGTTGTGCGAAAAGGCCAAGCTTGAGTTATTTATTAACAAATGTTCCATAAAGAATATCCCAGTGAGGTTCTACGGTTTTTAAATAATTTACTGAATCTGAAAATTTATAACAAATTACTCAGCTCCTTGTATAGTGGCGCATTTATTCATTTTATTGTACGTATACATCACACGTTGTGCAAACTGCAAAGTACTTCAATAATATTGCTGCCGCTCGTACTACTCAAAAATGCAGTATCAAAACTCGTAATATGTACTGTAATGTACGGAATCAACATGTACAAATACCTATCTAAAAGCTACATACAGTATAGCATGTAATGCAGAAAAAAAAAGTTGCTTATCGAGCGCCTTATATAAATATATAAAAGGGCGTTGATCTGGTTAACTAAAGTTTTTAATGTATTATTTACAGCACTTACAGCACATTTATTGTTGATGTTAGCTCAATAGAAATATAAAAACAATAGGCAGTGGTAATAAGCAGGTACACTGGAAATCCTGTTACTTTGAGCAAATCATTTCGTTATACAAAACCATGCAGCTGTGCTTTTCGGCCTTCCAATTACTTTGTATTACTGGTACAATATGATGGTATCCAGTTTTAAATGTTTTTAAATGTAATGTATGTTTTAAATGTTTTAATTGTAGGAGTGCAATTTAAGCCACCAGTTTCGTGCTGATTTTCCCGCACGAGAAGATTGTGCAACCATTAAGTCCAAAATTATGCAACCCCAGTTTCACGTAACCGTTAGCCACATGCAGAAACGGTTTTGTCGATTTTTTGTGCATGAACTTGAAAGTGCTGGGTGCAATCTGATGAATTCATCGCTGTTACGCAAATGTAAATGGGTAAATTTCCATACAAGTCGCGACTCCAACTCTTAACCGTAGGTAAAAATTAGTTGAGAATACTTGTTAATCCGAACACCTGCTAATTTGTGATCAATCAAAAATTTAATAATGACAACTCTAACCCCGATTTATTTTATAGTGCTAACGTTACGCGCTGCACATGGATACGAGCGACCAGGGAGCAATCCGCCTTTTCGCCCAGACTATGGACCTCCATATAAAGAGAACCCGCCGTTTCTTTATAATCAGTACAAGCAGCAGTCCGCTCCCGCATACCCAGTCAGAGGAAATAATGGAATCTCATACCAGAACAACTCCAGGTCAAAACGTGTTTTTATTTACTAACGATATAGATGTAAAGTTTGCCCTTTGTATAACAAAGTGCATCTCTGTACAGACCGAGCGCGATATATTGTATTTAACCGATCAATATCTTCACAAAATATTACGAACTACCCTAGATATTTTAACGGCAGATACTCTGCATATCAATCACCTTACCGCCAGAAAGGGATAAATTATTTGGACTACGCTGGTCGCGATAACTATAAAGCTCCGCCGTACCAACAAGAATTCGAAATCCCCTATCTCCCCAAGCCTTACGCGGCGTCGGAAGTCATTGGTCCCAAATGCTTCCCCGATTATCCGAGAAAGAGCGCGCATATTGCCGGTTTTTGTCTTGCGCGCAGTGCCATTGATCTGTGCCAAAAGGTCAACATGACGGCGTCCGTTTCCAGAGACTGTAATGATTTTAAGTATGGTGACGCCGTCTGCTGTCATGGTAAGTTGTCCTTCTGCGTTCAACCATTTGGCCAATCGAAATCAGAACATGGTGGCATTTTGTGACGCTTCTTTAAATTTTATGCGTAGCCAACCGAACTCCAACGTGCGGTAGGAATGATACGTTCTCGGCATTGTTTCAAAATTCCCATTCCGCTTGCGTACAGGAAATGCAGTGTGGTATTCCCAATATTGATCCCCGTTTATTTGCTCCTATCGAGAAGTCACCGTCTATTTCTCGTCCCAGTAGCGCAGTATCAGCACCACATTTGCAGGAAATGCGTGCCCACAAAGCTAGACGTGCTCGCAAGTTTGTTCAACAACAATTATGGCTACAAAATCTCCTAAAAGGATTGGCAGTGCAAAATCGAGTTGTTGGTGGATTTGATGCTCCAAATGGGAGCGCTTCTATCTGTTGGCAGGTGAGCAAATTAAGAAGCAAATTACCGAATGAACTGAAACATACTTATATGAAAATATACATGTATAACGTTGAAAACGTACAACATACTTTTCTATTGTTGAAAGAAGGGCAAAGAATTCTAAAAACTCGCACAATAATCTGTAATTCACCTTCGATATATGCTTATTTCTGTGTGCCGTGACTGCAGATTGGCTGGTTTTGCCGCAAGTCTGGTTCCAAACAACGCATTTTTGACTTAAGTAATGGCATCTTGTTATTTTTTCTTAGTTTTTTATAAGTAGTAGGCAGGAAAGCCACCATTTGTAATGAAAATCGAAAAGGAAAATAACTGGCATTTTCGAAAACTTTACAGCTCATTACGCTGTCCAATCGGCGGGTATTTGGCTGAAGAACCGGAAGTCTTGATTTATCATTATCTTAAATGCAGAGAAATATATTTGAATTTTGACGCTGTGCAGAAAAAGGCGCAAAACCATGACTCATGATCAACAGGAACTAAAATCACGTTACCAGTAAATTTTTAAAACTGAAATTAAAATTAAAAGTTTTTTTTCTAAAATTCGGTTTACAAATTCAGCAAATTCTGTTAAGGTTACCCCTATTTTGGCTTTTCAAGTTTATAAATGACTTTCTTTTATTTTTATAATAAAGTTTCAGATAACAAACTCAACTTTGGTGCACGACAAACCGTTTAGAATTTCGCGAAACACCAGCAATCGGAAGTTGAAACTGACAAAAACAACATAAAAAAGCCTTTTGGAGCGCGTGAAAGCGAAAGTCTTAGGGAACCGTTACGAGTAGGAATTTGCATGGTACCTGATATCGGGTACTGGTATCTAAGGTCATCGGTGTCCTGATTGCAGGTAGCGGTTAAGATTGACACGCCATTTCACACTTACCTTTGCGGAGGGGTTATAGTTGGTGCTCAGACCATCGTGACAACTGCTCACTGCGTTTACATCGTTCCCGATACTGCAAACAACGTTACCGGCTTTAATGCCTCGTCTGTCAACTTCACGGTGACCATTGGTGCCGCATCTGTGGCCTATCACTTCAACAAAACATACGTTTACCCGTCCGTTGTCGACGGTTGCTCAAGGGATTACGCTGTTAGCGTGGCTATTCCTCACCCTGACTACAGTGACATCACCTTCAACAACGACATTGCTTTGTTACTCTTATCTGAACCCATTGATTTTCGACGCCATAGTGCCTGCGCCTGTAAACTGTGTCTGAGCTCCAAAACACCGCAGCCCGGAGATAAGTGCGTGGCGTCTGGATTTGGGATTGAATCTATAATCGATGCAGATTTCAGTAAGGAATTTCAGATAATGTTAAAATATTAATCTATAGAGAAGTAAATATGTGCATTGTGTAATTAATAATTACCTATTATTTGTAAAGAGATGTAAGTTTTTAAAGTCGCCTTTCGCCTTCGTACTTCATGATTTATACCGCACAATCTCATGTGCCATTTTTATTTTTTTTTATTTTTCAGATGGAACATTCCCTGCTGTTCCACCTCGGCCAGACATCCCCCTCAAGTACGTACTGCAGACTATTCTTCCGTCAGAGAACTGCTCATACGCTAACGATGGTGCAGACCCGAACAACCTGACCAATCTCGATCTGTTTCTCTGCGCCGGTGGGATTTATGGTGAAGACACGTGTTTCGGTGACAGCGGTGGGCCACTTTTCTGTTATGACCCCCGAACACGGACGCAGTATCTCGCGGGATTAACGGATTTCGGGATAGGGTGCGGGCTCGGATACGGAAGTGGCTATACTAAGGTTACTTCGTATTTGCCTTGGATTTTTAATAATGCTCCTCTGGGTGATGTAACCATAATGATTTAGAAAGTATCACTATGTCGCACAAAACAAAATGTGAATTTAAATTGAAGAAATGCAATGTACGGATGCCATAAGATTGTACCGATCGGCTTCTGAAAAACATAATTTTGGAAATACTTTATCCTAGAATTTTGTAAAAATTGATAGCGTTGTAAAATTCTTTTTATAAGCCGAAAAACCCGTATCGAGTCGGCAGATGACTGGTTTTTCTTTCTGTCAGGATCCACCTTCCAGCTGTCGCCTACAAGAGCTGTAATTGGCCAATGTTATATATTGATAAAAATTACTAGTAATCATTTGAATACGCACTGGTACTTTGTAATACGGTACTTATTGCAGTATTGTACAGTTATTAGATACTGTAGCTGAAGTAACCATGCATGTTTAATTACGTATGCCGAAGCTACGTACTGGAATCTCAGTCTGCAAAACAACAAGCGTTATTTACTGAAATTCGTTAAACATATGGATGGAACGAAAGTCCTGGATGTAAATTTCAGTGATAATTGTTGCCCTGTTCTTCGATAAAAGTATTCAAATGCACTTTTCAAGGTTTATTATCCGCTTTGTTTTCTTTTAAATTCTGCCTTACCTTCACAACCCAAGCCCGAGTTGTACGTACGACAAGTCAATATAACCGTATCGGGGTGGCTGGCGCCTCATGTGAAGGAAAATCTACAGCTGTTCAGGAGTCCAAGACATTTTTTGCCCGACTTTTTATATGAGTTTGAAAAGCTTAGCGCTGCCAATCCACTGGAAAAACGCGTGCATTCTTGTTATGTAATACCGTATATTTTTCACTGTTTGTCGACCCATTCTGTTTTAAACGGATAAGAGTACTTGCTTGGTCATGTTCTGCTTGTGTGTTCTGTAAACGTAAACCAAAAAATTTTATAATGGGTGCGACTTTTATGACATTTTGTTTTGTGCTTGCTGCTTCCACGCGAATTAATAGCCAGTCGATTTACGGGCCTTCCCGACTGGTGTATGGACCACGTTTTATCAGTGACCCTTACGAAACCCGGCCGGATCTAACCCCGCCCAATCTGCATTATACCTTTGTAAACGCTGTCAATAGAAAGAACGGAAGTGCATACCGAAGCAACGCCAGGTAACTGAAAAGATGGAAATTTACAACGTGATTCCGGTTAAAAATTAAGGCAGTACTTTAAAAGATGCCGACCACTTAATTAACGACGACTTTTCTAACTGATCTCTGGTTATGGGAATATTATAATAATTTAAATAATTTGGTAAAAAATTGAAATAGATTGGAATTAGCATTCTTCTTGAATTTTCAATATCACTTCAGAGGCTACGGTGTCGGATTGAAGAATGCCCATGCAGGAATCAATTATCTGGACTCTCCACGCTACTTCAGAGCGCCACCATACCGCCCATATTTGCCGGAGCCTTCGTACACTTCGCCACCGTATGAGGTGTCCGCAATCATAGGTCCGAAATGTTACCCTGACTATCCGAAGAAAAGCGCCCACATTGCCGGCTTTTGTCTTGCCCAAAGCGCCATTGACGTATGCCGAAAAACCAATATGACAACGTCGGTTTCCAGAGACTGCAACGGTTTCCAGTATGGCGACGCTGTATGCTGCTACGGTAAATAATCTACTTTTGCTCTAGGATAATTGCTGCGTACTGCGATGTTTTTCACATTCCGGACACTTTCACAAAATGCTTTTGCATAATACTGTTCTGACGCCAAAGTCAGGGAATGCTCCGGGTTCCACTTGCGAAAAACTGATAATTTATGAATCTCGTTTATGAAAAGCTTGTAAAATAGTTATAATTACACACGATTGTATTATTGTACAGTAACTGCAGTATTGTAATTATAATAATACACTACAATAATTATCACCTAACATAGTTTACAAAAGTAGTGTCATGGGGAATTACACGAAGCGTCTGGTGGCCGGTATGCAAAGATATAATCAGAGAAACATCAGAATATATGCATAAGGTGGCTTGTAACGCATTTGATAATTACTCGTACGTACTCGTATTTTCATTCTGCACAGCCAACACAACCACAACCTGCAACAGGAATAATTCGCTGTTATCCACCTTTCAAAATTCCCATACAGCTTGCGTACAGGAAATGCAGTGTGGAATACCAAATAACGATCCGCATTTATTTATCCCGATCGAAAAACCCCGTTCATCTCCCTATCCAAAACAGAAGCTTCCGGATCTGCAACAGTTTGTAAAAGCGTTCCTAAAGCAGCAGCAACTAGTGCATCGGGTGCCGTTCTCTACCGAAACAGCCAGTTTAACGACAAACAATAGGATTGTGGGTGGATTTGATGCTCCAAACGGAAGTGCATCGATATGCTGGCAGGTATTTAACTACCGTCACCGTACAGGACGCAGTGGAATAAATTAATATAATGCCGTGTGAATAACCACACTTAAAATACGATAGGCTGCAGTCAAGATCCAGAGCGCTGATGGCTTATTTTTTTGCGGCGGCGTCATTATCGGCACGCGAACCATCCTCACCGCTGGCCATTGTCTAACCCTTCCGCTTGGACTAATGACCTCTACTGGTTACAACGCATCGGCGGTGACCTTTACTGTGACCATTGGCGTCACATCACGCGCGTCTCGTTTCAACAACATCTCTCTTTACCCGTCGGTCGTCGAAGGGTGCGCCCGCGACTACGCTGTCCGTGACTCAATTCCTCACCCGGGTGTTGACCTTTACGCCTTCAATAATGATATTGCCATGCTGATTCTATCCGAACCCATCGATTTCCGACTGCATAGTGCGTGCGCGTGCAAACTGTGCTTGAACACAAAAATGCCGGAACCAGGAGACCGGTGCGTAGCGTCTGGATTTGGAATCGAGACAATCATCGGCGCAGACTGGAGTAGGTCTACGTATTTAATTAATAACGCTGTGTAATTTTACATCATCATGTAGTTTCTTTAATTATTAACGCTTTTAGGGCTTTTACTGGCGGCAGCACTTATAAGTTATGATAAGGAAAGTTGTGAAAAATTTGTTTGGTTGGTTTCTAGATGATACATTGCCATATCCCGATCCGCCGCGACCAAATGTTCCTCTCAAATACGTGCCACAGACTGTCTGCACGTGGGATGAAAATCCCACTGGAACGACAGACCTCAATCTTGTTCTTTGTGGCGGCGGTGTTCCTGGCGAAGGTACATGTTTTGGTGATAGTGGTGGGCCGCTGTTCTGCTATGACCACCGCACGCGGACGCAATACCTAGCGGGACTGGTTTCAGCTGGACTGGGATGCGGCATCGGTTACGGATCACTCTTTACAAAAGTCGCACCATTTCTGTCATGGATTGCAGAAACAGCACCGCTGGGTGATGTTTCTGTTATGATTTAACAAGGCCAGTTCATCGCAATGGCTACTTCAGATCAGTTTTGCTTCCCACTTAGAACAGTAACCTTAAAGTACATAAATTAAACTGTATAATCCTTCTAGAAGGATTATACAGTTTAATTTATGTACTTTAAGGTTACTGTTCTAAGTGGGAAGCAAAACTGATCTGAAGTAGAGAAGTATCATGAGATCTCATGATTTGTGTTCGGTAGCATCTGGATGCTTTCATGTTGCAACATTTTATTGTATAGAATGCGTTTTACTACAGTAAGTAATTGCTGTAAACTTACAATCAGTACAATACTAATCCCTTCTACTGTATATCTGTAATCTGTATCAATGTGCGCATATTATTGGAGTCGGGGCTATTTCCTCCTGTTCCCGTCAATAACACAAAAGATTTTTAAAGAAGTTGCACCATAAACTTTATGGCATAAAGTCCTTTTACCATAGAAGTAGTAAAAGTTCCAGTTCCAGCATATCTGTACTTCGATTTTACTCGCGTTCCGACCGCTTACAGAATACACTTTCACGTTCCGTCCAGGCGTCCACCCGATTGCATTAGTAGCCCCTGCAGTGAGCGGCTACGTGGTTATTAAGAGCTGACTGCACCGTTCGGTTTGTTTTTCCCCAGCGCGTAAAATTTAATCCTTTAAGTCCAAAGTATATTTGTACTTCTATTGTTCGTTTTTCGCCAACTGCTTATCATTTTGCAGTTTTATTTTTTTTATTTGTTATCGTGGTGTGTAATCCCTATTCGAAAGCGCTATCTCTGTTTTAATGTGATTAATTCTAGTAAATCAAAACCAAGTAAGAAATTGGTTATTATTAACTAAATCGATGATTTAATTGGTGATAATTCCTCGTCTTTATACAGCAAATTCGGATTGATTCGCTGATCTCTAAACTTTTGTAACTTTGTTTTCTGTTAAATTTATTTGTTATTCCTTGTTGCATTCGGTTCCAAAATAAAGGTTTCTACTGGTTAAAAATTACCTGTATAGTAATCCAAACTAATTTTTTTATGGGCCCATGCGGGCAAACTGAAATGGTGGGTGGACGGAACGTGAAGGTGTATTCTGTAAGCGGTCGGAACGCGAGTAAAAGGGAAGTATAGGCACACACTGCCATCACCTCCGCCCGGTCAAAAACGTAGAAAGTTCTGAGAGAAATCGTACATTGCACAATATTTCGTTGCCGAGATCGTCCACAAAAGCGCTTAATTTGTTACCAGAAACTTCAGCACATACTTATAATTACCGTAAGTTTAGGTAGGATGTACGAGATGTGCATTTGTTTCAAAGTCACTGGCGGCGGCGATTAGCCACATGCTTTGCCATTTTTTTAAGGAAGTACAGCCATGCCTAGGTCAAAATCTTATGGCAAGAGCACCGAGTATTAGGTAACTAACCAAGCCATAACCAATTGGCGACTTGCGGGATCTTGCTTTTTAAAATACATAGTCAAGTCATCACTGATCTCTTGAAGCTAGTACTAGTGTGATTAATAAAGTATACTATGACACACATTGAGATTCACATTCTGCGCTAGCCAAAACAAGCGTACAACCATGAAAAATGCATGTGTCGTATTCTGTTTGACGTTGTACAATATTCTAAGCAAGGGATGTGCCCAAACAGGAAAATGGTCAAACTGCATATGGGCATTCTCGACCAGTATATGCACCGACTTTTTTCCAGGATCTCTACAAATTCCAGTTGAATCATACCCTCGGTGTTACACCATACGTCTCGAATCAGTCTTTCAGGTAAGCGATGAAGTAGCCGATATTATTTGTAAACATACTGGAAGTGAAAAATCGTTTTACTGCCGCTAGCGCAACCGACAGGTATCCACTCTGCAAAACTAAATGGTCGGGGTTTCGTTATAAAAATGTATTTCTATTTTAACTACTGAATTATGTAGTTTAGGAACTTAAAATACTAGTTACGTATTTATTGGTATGTTTAGTTTAGTTTACTTATTTTTAGTTTAGCCATTTTAACTTGGTCGTTTGTTCAACAATGACAAGATTTGCGCCGTTGTTGCATAATGTGAATTTTAACAGATACGACGGTTACGGAGCGGCATATCGTCAGAAAGGAATAAATTATTTGGACGACAGTACGCCCGATTACTACAAGGCACCGCCGTACCCACAGAAGCTTTCTTACTCTCCTAAGCCTTACCCGGCGCCTGAGATCATCGGTCCTAAATGCTTCCCCGACTATCCTAAGAAGAGCGCCCACACTGCCGGTTGTTGTCTTTCACGTAGGGCGTTACACAATTGTTTTCGAAAACTCCTGTAGAAAACCGAACATCATCCTGCAGCAGAAATGACACGTTTTCGGCGATGTTTCCTAACTCCCACTCGGCTTGCGTACAAGAAATGCAGTGTGGGATCGTCAATTTCGACCCGAAACTGTTTGCGCCTATAGAAAAACCGACAAAGACTCCCTCCAAAAAATGTTACTCGGGATCCTCACCGGATCGTTAAAGAATCATTCATAACCCGACAGTCTAAATTAAGAAGAGTGCTCGAATATCTAAAAAAGGCTGCATCAGTACAGGATAGAATTGTTGGTGGATTTGATGCTCCTAACGGCAGCGCATCGGTTTGCTGGCAGGTAATATAAAGAAAATTAAATTTACATGTTTCACCTTGAAATGCAACTCTCGTATATACTGTACGTATGTCAATAAACTATATGCTGGAGCTTATTTACCAGGTTTCGGTTAAGTAATATCCAGACGCCAGCTTTTGTTGGCCTTTGCGGTGGCGTTATAACAGGGACTCAAACAGTCCTTACAGCCGGCCACTGTGTGGTTGAACTCATTTAAGCAACCACTGCCGCCGGCTACAATGCTTCCGATGTGACTTTGGAGGTTACTATTGGAGTGAAATCGGTTGCGTGGGATTTCAACCGCACCTACGTTTATCCGGAGGTAGTTGAAGGCTGTTCGCGTAAGTACAGTGTACAATCGGCCATTCCCCATCCGGACTACGACTCGGATACTCTCAACAACGATATCGCAGTGTTGATCCTATCCGAACCCATCGATTTCCGCCGGCATAGTGCGTGTGCTTGTAAATTGTGCTTAAACACTCAAGTGCCGGCACTGGGAGACAAGTGCGTAGCATCGAGATTTGGGTTCGAAGGCATCATAGGGTTTGATTTCAGTAAGTAAAGTCGTCGTCAGTACATGCTAATTATGCTTCATACTTATAACTGTATACTAATTGTTTTTATCAGTAACAATTATTTTAAATTTATAACCTGATTGTTTAATTATGTTGCCACTTTGCAGATGGGACATTTCCTGACCCACCACGCCCGGATATTCCCCTGAAGTACGTACTGCAGACTATCCTTCCTGATGAAAACTGTTCGTACGCTCTCGGCGGTGATAAACCAAGCAACCTCGATCTGTTTCTGTGCGCCGGTGGGATTTACGGCGAAGACACCTGTCTCGGTGACAGCGGCGGACCGCTGTTTTGCTATGATCCCCGAACTCGGACCCAGTATCTTGCCGGGCTAACGTCTTTCGGCATAGGGTGCGGTCTTGGATTTGGCAGCCTCTACACTAAAGTTAATTCATTTTCAACTTGGATTTTAAACGTTGCTGCTCTGGGCGATGTTACCGTGATGCTCTGAAACACAAATATTGACGTTAATAAAAGTTTTACTCAAAGGATACATATTGTGTTTGAAGCAAACTTATATATTGCAGTAATATACATATGATTGAATTACGATTCGACATGTGAATTTGACACAAGTTTATTATACTTGTAAATCGAATACATGGTGCTACTATGAATTAATTTGGTTTACTGCAAATTCTATTTCGCCGCACTGATTTAACGGATTTTTGTACAACAATAAGTGCACACTGCAGAGCTACAAGGTCGCACTATCAGTGTCCGTTACCTTAAGCGGTTCTAGCGAAATTATTGTCGAGAAGGACTTCTAGCACCATGGGAAAATGCAGAACTGTACGAGAGTATTTCGAATATTAACAAAACCTTTCTAGCCGCAAACATATTAGTTACGTGTGTCTGGGTTGCATAATCATAATTCAAATTAGACTCAAACACGAAGAAGCTTGGACGCCTGCAATCTCCGGAATACATCGCTGTTATATAACTGTTAAATATTTGCTGTTGTTGACTATCAGCCAGCAATATTTGATCTGTATACACGTTAATCCAAACTCTGTTATTGATTAAAGCCCAAAATTACGATTAGTAAAATATGTAAATTTTTCACTAATCCATTTGTCGATGTTCGTAATTAAGTATGGTAATTCCATTTGCGGTATTTCTTTTAGTGCTAAGCACTGGTGAAACGAATGGATACCTATAATCCGAGAGCAGTCCGCTCGCTTATGGGTCGTTTCTTCCCGCTTATGGACATCCACACAATATAATTAGAGGGAACAGCACCTTGCCTTACAATGCTGGATACGAAGATAGGTGAGAGGTACTTCGGCAACCCATATACTTGTATTGTTTTGCAATACATGTGCCTTTAAAATTATTTATAGGAAAGTGATTTTCTGGCTGTATGAGTAAAATTTATGTTTTATTAACCAGTGGCAAGGCAGATTTAAAACACAATTTTAATGACAGATACCATCGATATAAAACAACTTATTACCAGAAAGGAATAAATTATCTGGACGACAGCGCAGACAATAACTACCGAGCGCCGCCGTATTTACCACAAAGTCCACAATCTCCTTATTCACCGAAGCCTTACGCATCACCAAAACTCGTCGGCCCGACCTGCTTCCCGGATTATCCTGAGGACAGCGTCAACATTGCCGGTGTTTGCCTTTCACGTAATGCGCATGCCATCGAGTTTTGCCAAAAAGCCAATCTGACGACGACGGTTTCGAAAGACTGCAATAATTTTGAATATGGGGACGCCGTCTGTTGTTACGGTCAGTGATACGACCTTTATCCTTTATCAATTTGCTTGCGTATAAACTTTACACTGTCATGTTTTCTTTTTGCGGTTTCAAACAGCCAACAGAACCTCATCGTGCAACACAAATGAGACGCCTTCGGATCGTTCAACGTTCGGCAATTTTCCCTCGGTTTGCGTTAAAGCAAAACAATGCGGAATCGCCAATATTGATCCGAACCTGTTTGCACCCCTAGAAAAACCATCTAGAAGTCCCCCAAGAAATCCACCCAGGGATCATCACCGGTCAATAAAAGAAGTGTTCAAATTTCGACAGCAGCGGTTCGCTCAGTGGTTAAGGTACTTACGCACTGCTGCATCGACACAGAATAGAATTGTTGGTGGATTTGATGCCCCAGACGGAAGTGCATCGATATGTTGGCAAGTATTAGATAATAAAATCAGCAGGATATATTTAGTAATACAGGTCACTTACTTTGACGTATTTCTGTAGCACACACTTCAATATGTTGACAGATATTAACAACTACGTGTAAAATAAGTGGTATTTAAGCAGTAATAAAGGTAGACTAATACATAACAATAAAGGCAGACTAATAGGTCATAAAGGTCGTAGTAATAAAGGTCACATATTATTTTTATATTTTGTACTTTGAACATGAGTTTTTCCCGTCGCTAAATCAGCTCTGCAATAAATTTGACAGGTTTCGATCAAAATTGAGTCACCCAGTTTTATTGGCCTTTGCGGCGGAGTTATCGTCGGAGCCAAAACAATCCTCACCGCTGGTCACTGTGTGTCTATTCCAAGGATGTTGACCGTTGATGCTGGCTATAACGCCTCTGATGTTGTCTACACCGTTACCATTGGAGCCAAATCAGTTGCCTCTGATTTTAACAGCACATACGTTTATCCGTCGGTTGTGGAAGGCTGTTCCCGTCAGTACGTTGCGCGATCCGCCATCTCCCATCCGGATTTCGATTTGAATATTGCAAACAACGATATTGGGATGTTGGTCCTGGCCGAGCCCATTGATTTCTGCCAGCGTAGTGGCTGCGCTTGCAAATTGTGTATGAGCACTCAGGTGCCGAAACCTGGAGATAAGTGCGTCACCTCGGGATTTGGGACCGAATCCATAATAGGTTTAGATTTCAGTAAGTCAAACGGAAGAGAAAGCTGCATGATTGGTAAACGCTTCATACTGTATATGGGTACAAACACGGAAAGCGGTATATTTGGACGGGAGAAAGGGGACTGCTGCTTGTTTTTCTAATTCTTCGACTTCCCTCAATACCGGCTCCCAACAATAAGAATTACTCTGTAGTCTGTATAAAGATGTGCTTACTCGTGATTCAAATGCACTACGCGATGCTTTCTCACACTGCAGACGGTACAATGCCTGACCCACCCCGTCCAGACGTTCCCCTCAAGTATGTGCAGCAGACCATCCTTTCTAAAGATAACTGTTCGTATGTTTTCGACGGTGAAGACCCCAATTAGCAGACCAACTTGGATCTGTTTCTCTGCGCCGGTGGGACCATCGGCGAAGGTGCTTGCTTCTATGATAGCGGCGGGCCGCTCTTCGGTTACGATTCTCGAAAACGAGCGCAATATCTTGCGGGTCTGACATCATTTACCTTAGGATGTGTCATCGGATTTGGCACTGCCTTCACTAAAGTTGATGCATATTTACCATGGATTTTGAGCAACGCTCCTTTGGGCGACATAGCGATTACGGCCTAGAAAATGGATGGAAGTTGTGTGAGGAGAGTTTTCTCGCACATTAACAATGTCTTAACTAAGTTGAGCTAACTTTGGACTCAGTATTTGCTTTAATGCTATGTTATTTTAAGTACTTATATGCACACAATGTATTATAACATTTCGACACTACGAAAGACGTTAACGCAGCAGTACGTTGCACGCGTGCACTTTAATGTAGGTGTTTGACCATGATTATGTTGTTTTGGCTTGCTTCGTTTTATACATACTTTACGGGTTTTGTCGTTTTGCGTTTGCAGTATTGTACACATTAACTTTTGATCAGCAATAAAATTGCTGCTGATACGCAACCGCGCACGAAAGTAATGCGGCAGTTTTTGCTGTTTTGGCCTTGTCACCGTGTGCTTTAAACTATCTTTGCACCAAGCAAAAGTTACGAAACTAATGCTATGTAGTTAGCTGGTTGTTTAAGTAAAGTACAGCATCCAGACCAGCGACATCGTCAGTGAATATTTCTATATTTGAGTACAAGACGTTTTACATTTGAACGCTTAAGACTGCACAAGCTGCGGCGTAGCGCTTATAATACCAACTTCTGATGACCTTGTGAGTTTTTGTAGCGTGTGGTACATAGAAAACTGAATCTTATTAAGTTTCCCAGCAGAAATAATGATATTAATTACGTAATTTTACATAAACTTATTCATATGTTGCATCTGAGCAACTTGAACAGAGACTCTCGATCATTATTATGCAACGAAAGTAACGTGTAATGGCAGTCGTTATGACTAACTAGAAAAGATCACCTGCCAGTTTTTTAGCAGAACTTGAGTAATCAAGAATGTCCTGAGTTGGGCAGGACATTGGTACACTGGTGTACAATAATCAAGCATTGGTGCAATAAACAAGATGATCTTTGTTTGGTTGCGGATTTTTGGTTATTTCAAACCTTTACTCATACGGCGATACAACCTGTTCACATGAGGAATTTGCTCGTCTATACACTTCATTTAATCCATAAATCATGAGAATGCCATTTGCGGTGCTCCTTCTTTTGTTTGCCTTAAACACTGGCCGAATAAAGGCATACGAAAGAACGGGGACTAGTTCCCACACCTGCGGGCCATTTCTACGGGATTATGGACCACCATACGAAATCACACGGAATTCCAGTATTCATTCTTTTATATACAAACAGCCCTATGCCGCCGGATACGAGGAGAGAATTGACCGGAACCCATACCAGTAAGCCGCCAAGTAAAAACTTATCTTGGTCATTTGGTGTACACCTAAAATACCGAATTATTTTTCTTTTTGCACGCCTAATTTCAAATTGTCCATTTTAAGCAATCTGTAGAAAAATAATGGCACAAGTGAAATAATATAACGGTAATTTTAAACAATAGGTACAACAGATACAGTACCATATACCGGCAGAAAGGAATAAATTATCTGGACGATAGCCCACGTGATAACTACCAGGCACCGCCGTATTTACCAGAACTTCCTTGCTTTCCCAAGCCTTACGCGGTGTCTGAGGTCATCGGTCCGAAATGCTTTCCTGATTATCCCAAAAAGAGCGCACACATCGCCGGTTTCTGTCTTGCACAAAGTGCCATTGATGTGTGTCGAAAGGCCAACCTGACAATCTCAGTTTCCAGGGACTGCAATAATTTTCAATATGGAGACGCAGTCTGCTGTCATGGTAAATCATTCGACCTTTATGCCGACCTTTATTGCTTTACCTTTATGTTTTAAATTCTTCACTACAATTTTCTACAGCAAACCAAACCTCATCCTGCGGCAGAAATAACTCGCTATCGGCAACGTATCTGAATTCCCATTCGGCTTGTGTACAAGAAATGCAGTGCGGAATCACCAATATCGATCCAAAAATTTTTGCACCGTTAGAAAAACCGCCGCGAATTCATCAAAAAAATGAGACCCGGGGACCGCACCAGTCTGCTGTAGAACAGTTCAAAATTCACCAGAATAGATTGATAAAATGGCTGCAGCATTTACAAATATTTGCATCGTCGCAGAATAGAATTGTTGGTGGACTTGATGCTCCCAACGGCAGTGCATCAATATGTTGGCAGGTAATCACGTTAAGTTAGGTATCTATCTGCAATTCGAAAAAGTACTTTTTCTTTCCTCTTGCGGAATCTGCGTACAGAGTAGTGTAGAAACCTTGTTAACTGTTTTATCAGGTTTCCGTTTATATCCAGTCACCAGCCCTCATCGCCCTTTGCGGTGGCGTTATAATAGGAACACAGACAATCCTCACCGCTGGCCACTGCGTGGCTATTCCCACTCTTTTGACTACTCTTGCTGGTTACAATGCTTCTGATGTTACCTACACAGTAACAATCGGAGCCAAATCGGTTGCATTTGATTTCAATAGTACTTTCGTTTATCCATCTGTTGTGGATGGCTGCTCTCGTCAGTACAAAGTGCGCTCGGCCATTCCCCACCCGGAGTTCAGCCTGGATACATTAAACAACGACATTGCGTTGTTAATCCTGTCCGAGCCCATTGATTTTCGCCGGCATAGTGCCTGTGCTTGCACATTATGCCTTAGCACTCAGGTGCCGAAACCCGGAGACAGATGCGTAGCCTCGGGATTCGGACTCGAAACTAGTGAGTAAAATAACCGATTTCAGTTAGGAAAGTCGGTAAGAAATTTTTTGCTATTGGTGAACGCTATTTATTTATTCTTAGACGTACAGCGGCAAATCAGACAAGAGAAAATCGGGGTTAATATTTATAGCGGAAGTAGATTGCAAAATTATAAAATAAAGGATATAAATACTTCGTAAAAACCGTACTTTCCTGCGTTCCTAAAGCAGCCAGCACTTTCCCCTTGCATTAGCTTAAGTAGTTGAAAGCCATAAGAATTTCGTTGGATAACCATTTGCTCGCTCACTTTGCAGCTGATCGGGAAGATCCTAACCCACCACGCCCCGACATTCCCCTCAAATATGTACTGCAAACAATCCTTCCAGCGGAAAACTGTTCGTATGCTTTAGAAGGAGAAGACCCGAATAACCTAACCAATCTCGACCTGTTTCTCTGCGCCGGTGACATTTACGGTGAAGGTACATGTAACGGTGACAGTGGCGGACCACTCTTCTGCTACGATCCCCGAACGCGAACGCAGTATCTTGCGGGATTGACGTCATTTGGTGCCGAAGAATGTTCTGACGGAAGGGGCAATGGCTTTACTAAAGTTAATCCATATCTACCTTGGATATTTAATAACGCGCCGTTGGGCGATGTAACCGTTATGATCTAAGTAAGAAATGGAATGAAGTATTTTTACAACATAATAAACAATATGAAGCCGACATTTTGAAACCCAGTCTGGACAAGGAAATGCACATTTTGAAACAAAATAAAATTTTGAACAGTCTGTTGTGATTTGGTCCATTTTCGTTCATATCGATATAATATTATGTTAAAAATATGTATCTGTACAGTGAGGCGAAGCTTATTAATAAGTTTAAGTCATTTAGCAGAGATCATTAAAGTTGCTTTACCTGCACTAATAGTACTCATCCAGTTTCATCAAAAACATCAGAAGAAGTAATTTATACATCATAGGAAACGCATTGTTACTTGTGTATGCCACTCCTTTCGGCCACAGCTCCCAAAGTCCCAAAGCCTACTTTTAAAAATTGGAGCGGATCTCATTAAAATTATGCAATCACAAATTTAATTGTACAGATTAAGTTGAACAGTGAGTGATGCAACCGTTAAGGCTTTAATTTTAACTATCATAAGAATCTAGAAAGTTGCTGGCCCTTTTTTAGAGATGAACGTGACGAATCATAGAAGCCAGTAATGGAGAAACACACTGTCTGAGAGTCCTCCTCTCTGCGTGGGAGACTCTCTAGTGCCGATCTACCGGAAACGGGAGCGAGACAAGGATAAAAAGGGACTTTTTATCATAAAACCGAAAACATAACATCTCACCAAAACTCATAATCACCAACTGACAATCTATAGCTCACAATATACCTGCGCTAACGCTGCTCTACCATACGCCGCTACGTAAGCCTCACGCAATCGCTGAAAAGGTACGGCGCGATGCCGTTGGCGGAAGATAGCGGAAGGGCGGATCGTAATACCTGCGATCAGGTATATACGATCCAAGCGTGAAAGCCACTGCACTGCGTCTGAGCTGCTGGGACGAGGGCGTAAGTCCCTCTCATGCCACTGGTGGGGACTCGAGGTCCTCCGAGAGCCTGGCACCCCCGGTGCCGATACCAGCGATATGCATGAGTGTGCAAGTGGGAGAATCCGCATCACGCCGCAGTTTCACGATACTGCCGCAAAACCGAAGCGCGGAAATGGATTCCCGTGACTGCATGGTCTCTTCACTGCGTATAAGCCTGCAGCTGACCGAAGTCACTATAAGCGTTTACCTAAATTCGCAAAAATAGAGACAATAAGCGGGTTACGCGGAGCTGTATACTTTTACGAATGCTGCAATTAAGCGGACAACTTTATCGCAAAGTTAGCGCAAGTATACCATTTGCCTTACAATAAAAGGAAATTCTAAACAAATGCTAAGAAAAATAAGATCCATCGAAATGAGTTAGTTAAACAAAAACATCACATGTTACTTTGGTCATTCCGGGTGAGCAAAACAGGAAAATGAAGGTTAATCCATTCCAAGGATGATCCACATGAATTCGTCCTTAATCCCATGAATTTTCGCCTTTAATCCGATTTATCCTTCTCGCTCGTCTCATCATCAGTGATATCAGCGTTTAAAGCGTTCGGAGTTTTATCGCCTTCCGTTTTGATATCTGTAGCCAGTTTTTCGCCTTCAGCTTTCTGATCAGTTTCGCCTCCATTTTCGATATCACGCATATGGGAAGCGGTAAAATTCAAATTACCCAGCTTATCCACCAGTGTCGCTTCATTAGCTGCTTCATCCGTAGACACGTACATACGCTTAACCAGCGGTTCGCCTGGTGGCAAATGTGGGGATCCGGATGAGCCTTCCGGAGACGTCAGGGAGCGTTTGCCAAGAGTGATCTTGGAAGCCTTAGTCTCCATACGCTGTCGCAGGATTGAAGTCCAGTACTGATAAGCGTCCTGGGGCTTTTCAACCAAGGTCGCTAAGCCTTTTGTAGCCTTATTTGCCATTCCGCGTGCGCGTGCACTTTCCAACATTTCAAGCTGCAGTTGCTCATTGGTGAGCGGTCCAAGCGCGGTAATTACTGTCTTCAGCGGATGGTCAGCATTTTCTTTCATTTTCATTCGCTTTTCCAACTGGGAATGGCTGTAAGCATGTCCACACATGGCGGCAAACATCAAGCGAAACAATTCATCGTACTGAGCCTTAATCGCTGGGTCATTAAAATTAGCCTTTCGGCGAGCCTTCAAATCGCGGTAGATGTCCATCAGATGCACGGTACATTTCGCGGCATACAACATCAGAGCTGGATTAGCTTTCGCGGAGATAAACTGGAAAAGGTGCGCCAAATGGGAAGTTTTGCCGAAATACTTAAACTGGCTCAGCCGTTCATAGTCGATGGTGTTAATTTTGTTGGAGAATGTATCCAAGCTGAGAGCTGATTCCATACCATTCGCGCGAAAAGCGTTATACATCAGCTGTGTGTCTTCAGGTTTAGGCTTATCCGTGTAATAATTCACATCCTGCATCGCTTTCTCCATATTAACTTCATCCGCGTATAAGCGGTTAACGAACATTTCACAGGTGATCGCTAGACTTCCATGCGTCTTAGCTGCATTGGATAAGCCGAGATGCTTAAAAATCCTTTCAGCCTGGTCCATAGCGTTCATACGCTGAGGGAATGGCTCCCATCTGGTAGCGGAAGACTGTCCAGTGCGCGTATTCTGCTGAGTAGTTCGCTGTTCTGAACGCCGATCTGCACGCTGATCTGTAGGCTGGCGATATTCGGTGAACTGGCGCTGATCGCCTCGCTGACGCTGGTCATCGCTTTGACTGTGGTTAGCCATGTTCTGCAAATTTAAGCGTTCAGAGTTATAACTAGCCGGTTGTGTTTTTAAAAGAACAAGCGTTTGATCAATACGCGGTTTATTTTCAATACATACTGTTCCCAATGGGCGATCTGCATTTCGCGTCCAGTCGTCAGAAGAAGCTTTCTGGAACGACGGCTTAAGCGGGACAGATTTCCAGTCGCTGATGTTCTCTTCGGTTTCGTCAGCGTACTTCAACTGTGCGCGGCGTAATTCATTAGGCGGATGAGGAAGAAGCGCTTTATTCGCGGTAGATGGAGTTGACTGGATAGACGGAATCGCGATCGCTTCAACCATTTGCCAGCCGGGTTCGTTTTTCGCCTTGAAATGCTGAATAGCCTGAGCGATCCCGCGGTGGTATTGCTGGTTATTCATCGCATAATTCCACAGACCCATATGCTTCAAGCCGAGTAAAGCCTCTGAGTTTCCGCATACTGCCTCCGAGTACAACGCGTAGACGCGATCTTCGATTTCCGCTCGTCCTTTCATAAGGCAGCCGACACATACGCGGTTGTTTAAGTTGATCTTGCAAGGAAAACAGCTGTCGGGATTGTATAAGCCGGAGAACGCCATGTTCTTACGCGATATTCTGCAGAACAAGATAAAAGCGGAATTATTAGCATGATAACTTTAAGCATAATTCAACCAACATTACGCGGTTTAAAAGCTGTATTACAGTTCATTTTAGCTACCATCTGAGACGGTAATGCGAAATAAACATTTTAAGCCGTAACTACTGCATAATTACCTGTATTAATTTAGCCTTATTTAGCATTCAATTATAAGCTTGTAGCTACCATCTAAGATATCGTTTGTTAACTGTAATTAAGCGACTATTTGCGTAAATCACAGTGTAAAACGACGTTTGCGTGTTCGCTTAGGATAGCGTGATTTATTAAGCGTCTCCTGTAACTTTGGATCTTCGCCATCAAAGAATTCATCAAGCTGTTTAGATAACAAGTCATTAGGCGGATGTTTACGCGTTCTTCGCTTTTTTGCATTCTGTTCAGCGTTAATTTCGCCGGAATTATTATTATCAGAGTTAAGCGGTAAATCTACAGTACTATTTTGCAGATTATTAGCCTGTAGCTGAGCGTGGTCTTGCTGAGTGTTATTGACGCTGTTATTAGCAGATGTACTCGTACTATTATCAACAGATGTAAGCGGGGTTATTTCACTTTCATTATCAAGCTGCTTATTTTTAGGTGGAAATTTAAATATTAATCGCGGTTTAAGCTGGTCATCTTCTGGATGATAATGTTTAAGCCGTTCTACGTTAACAATTTGCTCTTCTTTGCGATCGCGTAAGCGCCTAATAATAACTGTATTAGGATACGAAAATTCCATTATTTCGAATGGGCCTTCGTATTTATCTTTAAGCGTTTCGCTGCCTGTTTTAGGAATAGGTAAGCGTAACATTACATAATCGCCAGTGCAAAAATCAGGTTCAACGCGGCGCTTATTAAAGCGTTCAGCTTTTTTAAGGAAGTCGTCGCTAGCAAGAGACCGAGCGATTTCATGCGCCTCTTTTAAACGCCATTGAAGACTATCTAAATAATCTTCGATATCAGCGTAATTTTCTGGAAGATTTGTTTTTGTGATCGTATCGCCTGGAAGCGTTTGTTCGCGGCCAAAAAGCATATAATACGGTGATTGTCTTGTGGTTTTATGCTTTGTACGATTATAAGCGGCAACAACATAAGGCAAAAATTCATCCCATTTCTCAGCGGTATGTTTTTGAGCGAAAATTGATAAACAGTCACCTATCCACTGCATTTGCCTTTCTATTAAGCCTCTTCCTACAGGATGATAAGCGGTTCCAAAATGGTGATCGAATTTAGTAAGCTTAGATACAGTCTCTATTGTACTACACATAAAGTGTGTACCGCGATCTGTATTTATTTCATGCGGTGCGCCGTATGGAAGTATAACTTCATTAAGCAGAAAATCAGCGGCAACTCTAGCAGAGTCGTCAGGTACAGCCTTTGCAATTACGAATTTAGTAAGCTGGTCAATAGCCACAATTATGTATTTATTTTTATTGTTACTTAGCTTTAACGGGCCTTTAAAATCAAGCTGTAACCGGAACCATGGTTCGCCTATTTCAATTTGTTGTAGCTTTCCTGGGAGCGGTTTTCGCGGTACTTTACGAAGCTGACATTTTAAGCAACGACGACAATAGCGTTTAATCTCGCGAAACATGTCGTCCCAATAATAGCGTACACAAATGTGCGATAGCGTCTTTTCGCGGCCAAGGTGACCGCCGGCTGGTGAGTCGTGCATAGCTTTGAGAATATCATAACGCCAATGTTTTGGTACGACAAAACGCCTTGTATGCCGATCATTAATTTCGCCTGTACGGTATAACACATTATTCCATAGTTCGAAATTAGCGGGACGTTGAAGCGGATATTGTGATTTATCAGCGTCTTCTATGGCCAATATGATTTTCTCTAACGCCGGGTCACTAAGCTGTTCGTTACGCAGAAAAATATAATTTTGTTCTTCTGCATCGCGTACAGAGCTGTTTGGCGCTTCTGGTATGCTGATTACGCGTACTGTAGGTGTACTGAAATGGATGTCAAAATCCTCTTCCGGTACAGCCGGGTCGACAGGTGCGCGGCTTAATGCATCTGCATTATGAGCATATTTTCCTGGCCTGTATACGATTGTCATATCGTACGCGCCTAATTGTAAAGCCCATCGTACAAGCCTGGGATTCATCCCTTCGCGATTCGAGGTTGAGCGCAGTAAATTGACTAACGCCTGATGATCGGTTTTTACGGTGAACGGCATATAATCTATGTAATAGCGGAATTTACGGACAGCGTAAACAACTGCTAAACATTCAAGTTCAGTAGGCGCGTATTTACGTTCAGCTGTAGTTAATAAGCGGCTCGCGTAAGCAACAGGATGACCATCTTGGCTTAATATGGCGCCGATCCCTATTGTACTAGCGTCACATTCTATTAGCGTAGGTTTTTCTGGATCGAATTTCGCCAAGACTGGAGCATTTATTAGCGCTGTTTTAATAGCCTCAAATTCCTTATCACAAGCCTCATTCCAGTCGGTAATATCGTTAACATTTTTAAGAAGCGCGTAAAGATTTTCAGTAATCGGGGCATAATTTTGTACAAATTTGCGATAATAATTCGCTAAGCCTAAAAATGAGCGTAATTGCTTTTCTGTTTTAGGCTGTGGGAAATTTTTAATAGCTGTAATTTTTTCGGGATCGGTATGGATGCCTGATTCTGATATTACATGTCCCAAAAAATGAAGAACTGGTTTAGCGATATGACATTTAGCCGGTTTTAGCGTAAAGCCTGATGCGCGTAAAGCTTCAAATAAAAGCCGTAATTTAAACAATAATTCTTCCATATTTTTAGCTGCGACGATTAAATCGTCTAAATAAGCGAATATTCCTAATTTACGGAGCTTTGAAAGCGTACGGTCCATTGCGGCTTGAAAAGTCGCGGGGCCGTTGCACACGCCGAACGGCATTCGAAGAAATTCGAACAGGCCGTCTGGTGTGACAAAAGCTGTTTTTTCGATGCTAGTAGGATCCATAGGGATCTGCCAAAAGCCTTTTTCGCAATCAAAGCTGCAATAAAGCTTATTACCAGAAGCCGTATCCAGAAGTTCATCTGGCTTAGGAAGCGGATAGTTATTCTTTTTTGTGATGTTATTTAAGCGTATATAATTAACGCAAAAGCGTGTACCGATTGAGCCGTCAGGATTTTTCTTTGAAGCCAAGACAACTGGAAAACTCCAGTTAGAGGTCGATGGCCTAATGATGCCAAGCTTTAACATTTCCTCCACATGATCTTGGATAAGCTGTCTACCGCGCCAACTTGTGCGGTGCGGTAGAGATTTTATCGCCGGTGCATCGCCTGTGTCTATTGTATGCTTTATCGAGGCATCTACATTGCCAAACGGTCGCGATTTTGTTGGCAACAGGTCAGCGAATTCAAACAATAGATTATCGATGCGCTTACGATCAGCTTCTGATAAGTCAGCCGATATTTTAAATTCGCGTATTGCTTCCCAAATTTCAGCTTCTTCTTCTGGCGTATAATTAGCTGCAGTAGCGGTTAAAGCGGTTTTATCTGGCTCAACTTCTTCATACGTTTCGATAACGCCTAACCATGTACCTTTCTTTATTGTACGCTTATGAGCGGAATAATTAGACACGCAAATATCAAACTGAAAATTTTTTGGTTCGACTAAGCCCTGAAGCGGTAGTAATCTACCTTCGCTGTATAAAGCTGGATTAGGTGAAAATATAAATTGCGGTGTACGCAAATTAGCTTTTTTGTGTGCATAAGCCGACACCCAAGATGTTCCAGGTACAATTGTGTAGTTATCAGCTGCATACACTTTCACCATTTTGAGCCTGAATCTTTCTTTATCTTTTTCGCTAATTTCTTCGCATTCTGGCTTATTTGCAAATGGTTGCTCTTCAGCTGATAATTCTTCATTTTTAAGCGGGTTATTAGCGAATAATTCGTTTTCATTAAGCTTGTCGCCTATTGACTGAAATAATTCAGTTATATCACCTTGATCTTCGAAATAGTTCTCGCTGTTAGTTACAAGCGGGATATCGCCTTCTGGTGTTTCTACAATGAGATAATTAGCGCCTTCTGTTTGCGTAGCTTTTGTTTCTTGATCTGCAATACATACACGCACTTTAGCTGATTTTTGCAATTGCTTTCGAATTTTATCTGCATTTTCTGTAAAGCTTTTATTAACGCGGTCAAAATCTGCCCATACTTGTTCTTCTTTAGCCGAATTGTTTTCCCAAAGCGGTAAATTATACGGCTTTTTTAATGGCTTATTTAGCGGTAAACAAGAGCGTTTAGGAGCTGAATGTGGATTATGCCGCAGCGGCGGCAGCTCATCATCTTTTCTAAAATAGCGTACTGATACAGTAGGAAATTCAAGCGTTTCATGAAATCGCACTACTTTAACAATATTCATAGGCGGTCTACGAGCGGTTACTTGTAGTTTTTCCTTAGTTTTAATTTTCGCATAAACTTCTTTCAGGTATCGCCTTGCTTCGCCTATCGATTCTGCGTAGTCGCATATTGGTTTATTCATTCCGCGTGCAGATTTACCGTAATGTAGCTTAATCGCTTTATTAATAGCCTGTCGCCATTCTTCATAGATTTCTAATCGCCTTACCAAATCAAGTTCAGCATCAGCGCGTTCTTGGCTCGCCTTTTTAATAGCTTCAATGTTATCGATTTTAACAGCATCATTATAAGCCTGATTGAGTTCAGCCATTAATTCCTTAAACTTTTTTAAAGTATTCATTAAGGTAGAAACATAATTCTTGTACTCCATTAACGCTGCTGTCTCACGATGCATTTGTTTGCGCGACTTTTTAGCGGTAGACGTACCAGTGGCATCGCTAGGTGCCACTGGTACGGGGAAAAGCTTAGAATTAGAAGCGGATGATTTATTTTTGCCTTCACCAGTGGCTACCGTAGGTGCCACTGGTATGGGAAAAGGCGTCATTGCAGCTTGTGTTTTTGCATTTATAGCTTGTGCTGTACGAGTATGGTTCTTATAAACAACATTTTCGACATGAGCCTCTGCAGAAGGCGTTTTACGTGATGCGCGCATATTTGATACAGGTACACCCGTAAAATTTGTAGCGGAAAAAGCCTGTGACGGCGGAACTGCAGCGGCCGACTGCACTTCGCCCAGACTAGTTACATTACAATTTACAAGCTTTTCCTGTAATACATGAAAATTAATTATTTTATTCGCCTTAACTTCATAATTAGCCTGACTTAAAAAGTCCTGGCCTAATAAAACATGAATACCATCTCGTGCGGGCTTTACAAACATAGAATGATTAAGCGTACAATTACTAATTGTTATTGAAGCGTTGCAGTAGTGTGTAACACAAAATGCGCACACACCGCCGATACCGCGTATATGAAAAGGCTTTTTAATAGGAAGCGTGCTTAAATTATTTTTCTTACAAAACTGTTCAGATATAAAGCTTGTTTCAGCGCCTGTATCAATTACAATTTTTACCGGAATATTATTTACATAAGCGTCGTGATTAAGCATTTTTGCCTTAAATGGTTCATTATAATTTACGCGGAAATTTTGCTTATCTGTATGAGCTTGTGAGAGATTACATGTACAATTGCGTATTATGTAGCCATATATTCCCGCGCTTTGAATTATGCATTCCTTCTCAACCTTATCCGGCGGAGACGGTGGGAAGGGGGTTGCATAGCCGGAGTATGCGCCCCTTAATCGTTTAAAGATTCGCTGGAAGAGCTGTTTAACGCTGAGGTTTCGCCTTCACTGTATTCTGAAGCCGTATCAAACTGTGAATTAACGCTGGCACCGGACGGAGTACGCTGCCGGGCCGGCGAAGGACCGCCTAAGCTGGGACCACCAGAAGGGGTCGATGCGCCTGTAGTCCTGCCTGAAGGACTGCTGGTATTACTGCGATTAGCTTTCCATTCTGTGAATTCTTTCAAAGTACGCCTTTCACCTGTGGTGGGCCAGTGAAACTTGCACCACACTGGATTTTGCTTTTGAGGAATGCCTTCATATCTGCAAGCTTGACGTGAATGACCTTCGACATCACAGTTTGCGCAGTAAGCGATGCCTGGACGGCGTACACTTTGATTAGCCGTATTATAAGCTGTATTATTTTGTACCTGATTATTATTATTTGCCGGCGCTTGAGCGTGGGGAGGGTTAGTCGCGTTATTATTCTGCTGAATATTGCCTTTATTGAAGTGCGGTTTGAATTGCTTATTGCGCTTAAAATTATTAGCTTTATTTCCATTATTAGCTGCTGCTTGTGCATATGAAAGCGGTTTAGCTTGTGATGCCTGGGCTTGATTGCCATAAGCGAAATCCTCATCATCTTTATAAGTAGCTTCAAGGTATCGCGCATTTTTCAAAAATTCTGCCGGTGTAGCTGGCTTCATAATAATCATATTTTGCCTTAAAGTGTGATGCGAATCTAAGCCTTTCATCAGATACGTCAAAAAATGAGCGTCGTCTGTCACGCCTGCACGAGCGCGTAAAGCGATCATAGCCTGATAATACTCGTCAAGCGTTTCTTTACCGACTTTGATTTTGCGGCTTGACAACTCGTTAAGCGCATTGTAGCCTTTTCTGGATCGGAATACCGATCCAGAAAAGCCGATCTCCACTGGGAGAAAGTTTGTGGTTTATTCGGGCCTACAATCGCGACCTTGAACCATGAAGCTGCATCGCCTTCTAAAGCGTTAAAGAAGCGGCTGACCTTTTCGTCTTCATCCCAATGACCATATTTAGCGTTAAGATCAAATAATTCCAAAAAGCCTTCAACTTCGTTCTTATCGCCTTTGAATTTTGCTTTAAAATCTGCTGACTTTTTATTTGCCTTTAAAGCTTGCGTAAGATCTGATACAGTGATAGCCGGTGCAGGTGCACTGCCAGACAATCCCGGAAGTACACTGCACTGAGCCGATGGCATGTTGCCATTATCGCGCATCATCGGAAAAGAACGTGAGGGTGGTGCGGGCGGGATGAAAGCCTGGATAGCTGGAAACATATTATCAGTCTGAATACTGATAGCCTTTGTAGCGACAGGATGACTGTGTTGAGCCCTGAGCGCCTGCAGTTCATAATGCTGATCTTGATTCGCCTTTTCTGCCAATTCCACCTTAGCTTCTAAATTAACACAAGCGCCTTCTAAACGGGTTGATTGTTCTTTGTAATAATCAGCGGTTTCATTAGCCTTTCGTACAGTAGTCACATTTAAGCTTTGCTCTTCCAACAATTTGCGTTGACGTTCAAGTGCCTTATTTAATTCGCCTTCGCATGTAATTAATTTAGCCTTATATTCCTGTGCCATATGCTCTGTAATTTGTAGCTTTTCATACAGCTCTTGCTTAACTTCCTTGTATTGCTTAACCACATCATCGTGATCAGCAATTCGCCTTTTTAAATCGCGTATATAATTATGCGCTTTTTCTCAAATTCTTCCTTTGTCGCGATTACAGTGAAAGCCTCATTACGCTGTTGCAATAAATCAGCAGCTTGACTTTGAGCCGTATCGCGGGCTTCAACTGCTTCAGTTATAAACTGTCGCAATTGCGCAATTTCATTTTTCGCTTCATGTACAGTATGTATGAGCTTTTTCTCAAGCGATGAATTAACGCGGCGTAAATTGATGATTTCATTCTGAGCGTCATTTAATTCGCCTGGAGTATGAAAATTAGCTGTATTAGGCTGGCTGTTATCAGCAGGCGGTGTCTGCTGATTAATAGCGTTATTACCGCTAAGCGTTTCATCAACATCAAAATTAAGCAATTCTTGATCAGCCAATAAGCCTTGATCTTTTTCAATAAAAGTAAGCGCATTTTCCGATAACGACATATCAGAGTCTGAATGAGAATGACGACTGTCACTTGAAAGCGGAATACTGTCAAACTGGGATACACCGCTAAGCTGCGAATGCGGCCTACTTTCCTCCTGTTCTGGAGCGTTATCGACCTGTGAAGCGGCATTAATAAGCGATGGTGAACGCTGCATTTTGCTACTGCGCGCGAAAGCTTTTTCTGCCGGGAGAGTAGCAACCGGCTGTGGTTCTTTTGCTGACGATTGCGGTATTTGCGGTAGCTGCGGGTTATGAGCTCGAGTACGCTGATTAAGCCGTGTGTTTACATTATGCGTCGGTGCAGCTGTTGATTTAGCGGCAACAGGTGCACCTTTAGTTTTCGCGGACTGTTTAGGTTTTTGAGCATTTTTAGCTTGCAAATCTTCAGCTTGCTGTTCTGGTTTTTTTACAATACTACGCGGAGAAAGAAAAGCTTTTATAGTTTCCATCGTATTATCATAAGCGTAGTCAATTTCAAGGAAAGAAATTTCGTAATACCTGGCATTAAACGATAAACGTTTACTATAGGTAAACAGTTTAAAGCGGAGATATTAATTCTGCATTTAAAACTCACAAAAGCCTAATCTGCGAGAGAAATCTAAGGAATTCTATTCAGCTTGCAATTACCCAGGTAGGTAACCGAACTGCGCCTATTGTCTGTAGCGTCTGCTATCTGTAAGATCACGGAAAAACAAGCCTGGACAGAGGTTAATGCGCTTGAGAGTTATGCAAAAATATGCGGAAGAAAAGCCTGAATCTCGAGGGTTACAAACCTTTAAAAATTGAGCCTAATTTCTCAAAGAAATTCAGCCTAATTATACTGTAAAATTAGCGAGAAAATAAGCCTAATATCACATACAGCGTTAAATCAACATAATGCAACGATAAGCCTCGAAAACCATATACGCCACAATCACTTACCCTTTTCCGAACGAGAATGAGCCTGACGATCCTTAGGATCCGAAACTTCTACGCAGGAAACGCTTGAGAAGGTGCACAGACGAAGAGATCCAGAAGCAAGTCCAAATCTCCACCGCGAAGTCGCTGGGCACGCTGATACGCTGCTATCCCTGTAGTCCAATGCTGGCTCTACGGGATACGGGGTGTAGGGTGTGCGCCGAGTTTCCGCGTCCTCCTGATGGCAAACGGGAAAACGGTGCTGTCCGATAGATCTGAAAAGTAACTCAGAAAACAGGTAACCACGGATCTTAGACTGCTACCATCTGAGAGTCCTCCTCTCTGCGTGGGAGACTCTCTAGTGCCGATCTACCGGAAACGGGAGCGAGACAAGGATAAAAAGGGACTTTTTATCATAAAACCGAAAACATAACATCTCACCAAAACTCATAATCACCAACTGACAATCTATAGCTCACAATATACCTGCGCTAACGCTGCTCTACCATACGCCGCTACGTAAGCCTCACGCAATCGCTGAAAAGGTACGGCGCGATGCCGTTGGCGGAAGATAGCGGAAGGGCGGATCGTAATACCTGCGATCAGGTATATACGATCCAAGCGTGAAAGCCACTGCACTGCGTCTGAGCTGCTGGGACGAGGGCGTAAGTCCCTCTCAACTGCTGTTATGTAAGCGTTTAAACATAACACCTGCTTTACATAATTTTGCCGTTCAAGGCGCTCAGTTAATTTTACATGTATCTGTACCGGTGTTCTATTGATACAACCCCCTGTAAACGCTTATGTTCCGATCTGTGTGTTAAACAAATATTCCAGCCTATATGATAATTATGAAAATTCCATTTGCGGCACTTTTTCTGGTGATATCGTTTAATGCTGGCCAAGCGAATGCGTACGAACGGCCAGACAGTGGTGCGAGCATATATGGGCCATTTCTTCCCAACAATTATGGATATCCATACAAAACCACGGGGAATTATACTAATCGTTCCCCGTATAAGCAGCCATACGTTGTCGGATACGAAAATAGAAATAACGGGAACACTTACCAGAATTCATTCAAGTAACAAGCGATTTTATTATAGTGTTCATTATGTTAACCAGTTATAATAATATTATGAGTTTATAAGTCTATGACGTTAAAGTTTCGTCATTATTTTATGTTAAACGGTGACAACGCAAGCGCCATTATGGTAAAATAGACTTCTAACGGCAGGTACGAAGGATACGGAACGGCATATCGCCAGAAAGGAATAAATTATTTGGATAACAATACGCGTGATTACTCGCACAAGGCTCCGCCGTACCCACAGGAACTTTCTTATTCTCCTAAGCCTTATGCGGTGTCTGAGGTCATCGGTCCGAAATGCTTCCCGGATTATCCCAAAAAGAACGCTCACATAGCCGGTTTCTGCCTTGCGCGAAGTGCCATTGATGTGTGTCGAAAGGCCAATCTGACAGCTTCCGTTTCCCGAGATTGCAATGACTTTCAATATGGTGACGCTGTCTGCTGCCATGGTAAATAAGTAGAATAACCTTTGATTCAAGCCATCCCTTGCATATGCCATTGTTACAATTTTTTCCACGAATTTCTTTCAGCCATCCAAACTTCATCATGCGGCAGAAATGACACGCTGTCGGCAGTGTATCTGGATTCCCATTCTGCTTGTGTGCAAGAAATGAAATGTGGAATCGCCAACATTGACCCGAAAATATTTGCGCCGTTAGAAAAACCACCAAGGTTTCCTCCGAGAAACAGATCCAAAAATTCCAGCTCGCAGTCGGCAGTGCAGGTGTTCGCAAGTCAGCAGGCTGCTTTCAAAGCCTACCTGGCGCGTTTAAGCAGTATACCGCAGACGCAGGGTAGGATTGTGGGTGGATTTGAAGCTCCCAATGGAAGTGCGTCACTTTGTTGGCAGGTAATTGCACTATGACGCGCTTTCTTGTTGTTCCTAATCCGTTACAAAAAATCCATTTATTTATCAGGCATCAATTCGAGTCAGATCGCCCAATATTGATGGAGGCCTTTGCAGTGGTGTTATTATCGGAGCGCAGACAATCGTCACCGCTGCCCACTGTGTGACCATTCCTGAAAGTATTACCGTTGATGGCGGCTATAATGCGTCTGAGGTCACCTGGACCGTTAACATTGGCACCCAGGCGGTATCGTCGGCTCCCAATCGAACCTATTTTTATTCATCGGTCGTCGAAAATTGCTCCCGCGAATATGCTGTAAAGGAGACCTTTGTCCACCCGGAATACAACATAACAACACTCAACCACGACGTTGCGGTATTAATACTGTCGGAGCCTATTGATTTTCGTTTGCACAGTGCTTGTGCTTGTAAAATGTGCTTAACACAAAAAGTTCCCCAACCTGGAGATAGATGCGTTGCATCCGGATTTGGGATGGAATCTATAATAGACTTCAGTAAGTCAAGTTAAAATTTAGGTCGTACGCTCTTATATTATTTATACTTAGTATTTATTTTATAATGCTTCGTAAATCTACCAAGTTAAATGGCTACCGTAGCCTGTCGATATAATTATATCTGTACAACGATTGTACCCTGAATGTGAATTTGCCCACTGGTATTCAGTTAACGCTCGGGTTGATGTGCAAAATATTGGCGAGTCGGGCCAACAAAATAATTATTGGTTGTTTAACAGATTACACAATTCCTGATCCACCGCGCTCTTATGTTCCTCTTAAGTACGTCCAACAGATCATCGCTCCAAAAGAAGCGTGTCTTCAAATAGATCCAGAATCGAAAACTGATACTGACTTCAACATTGTTATCTGTGCGGGTGGCGTCGCCGGCGAAGGGATATGTTTCGGTGACAGCGGCGGGCCTCTGACCTGCTATGATCACAAAACCGGAACTCAGTATCTGGGGGGGATTATTTCAGCCCTCGACGGATGTGGTTTCGGCTATCCCAGCTTCTTTACCGCAGTCGCTCCGAATTTAGCATGGATCTTCAACACGGCTCCTCTTGGTGATGTCTCTATCATGGTTTGAACACTGCGCATTGTTGACTGTGTGACCTTTCCATAAATCCCCAAACGAGACACAAAATTTTGTTTCCAGCTTCTTTTTGCATAATTATGGAGAACACGTACAGAGTACGCCGAAACTGCTCGATCAAATTATTCTCTTAAAAATAATAATGGACTAACAAAACAGTAATCAATCAACATATCTATACATTAAATTGTTCAGAACTGTACATAGAATATTGTGTTTTTAATGGATCTAATTTTGCGCCGCCCTACTGAAATTGAATGAAGACTTGTCAGCCTGTTGCAGCAAGTACTTATGTATACGTACTCGTATAACTGTAAGTATACTTCTATCACAGTTTCGCTGTTGTCCGAGCGCCTGCATCACACGTCATATAATTTATTCTGAATATCATATCTACCCAGTAGGTACAGAAGTACAAATACAGATAATAGTATATCTATATGTACAGATATTCCGTACTCGTGCTACGTGTACCTGTACCTTCACCTTTACGGCTTTACGCAAGAAATTAATCACCGGGTTTGTAAAAACTAAAATTTTCAAATTATTTGCAGCTCACACATAAGCATAACCAGGCAATGGCGCACTACACAGTACGGTAAATGTAAACAACAGCTGTTGCAAAATTTATTGTAGATTGCTGTTGATGTATATTTATGCCTTTTCTGTCTCGATCACCGAATCAACCTTTCTTTGATTATTGATGGTTCGATTAGAACCTGGTCAATTTTTTGGATTTTACCTTTCGAGAAGTTTATTGAATAGCGGTATTTCAGTTTTCAGACGTATAGTCCAAGGGAATTCGAAAGCGCCGGAAATTCAATAAGCGACCGAGCGGTATTTCATGGAAATTGAAGTGGACCCTGTGCTCTGGTGTTGCGCGGACGCAGACATCCAGTGACCGAGTGCCTTGACCGGAATATCGGGGTGCACGGAGCGACCCATGAGTATTATAATGCCGGCGACAATGAGTAACGGCGGAAACATTGTTTCTTTACGACCGATCTTTTTATAAAGCCCGATCAGAATTACTGACGAATTTTTGTTAAAAAATTCGCACAGACAGATGTACTAATGAAAACGATTTTTAATGCAAATTATCATACGCAAAGAAATTTGAAATTCGCGTGTGCACTTGTGCAATATGGGTTAATTCAAAACAAAAATATACCGCAAAAGAACATTCAGAACATCTGTACAACAGTACAAATTTACGATAAGTAAATACAGTATGATGCACTAACCCGGTAAGCCGGAAAGCGGTACGATACTGCGAAATGCCGGTACAATACAGTATGAATCTGTATGATTGTATGTCTATTCGATAAGTACGAGTATTACTGTACTTGCAAGGGCGAAGGAAAATCGCTCATTGCAGCACTTTAAATTTAAAATTTTTTCTACTTTTGACGTTAAAAACCGCGGCAAATTACAGACATTTATTACTGTACAGCGCCAATTGCCATTTCGGGTCAGACAAGGATTTAGTCGGTGACTTGGAACTACTGTACAACTAATAATATTAACGAACCTTTGATACGACTATCTCCAAAATCTGCAAAGGCATAGCCCTGTGGCCCCTGTCCTATCATGACAAGCGATACACATTTTTGAATAATTTATTTAAAGGCAAATTCCATTTATCGCTTAGATACAAATTTGATTCCAATGAACAATCTTTAATTTAGAAACTGTCGATGACACAATAGCAAATCTGCTGAGCAGATATGCAATGCAAATAGTGAGAAACGCTGGAAGCGATTATTCAACAAAGCAAACTGTCACTGAAATACTTAACATTAAGGAGGGTCTCAAGCCAATTCCCAAAAACAATCCCGCTGATATCTTGAGACAAAAACGACTAGATAGCCTCTACCAATTCCCAACCACACTTTGAGCACAACTACATATTAACTACGAAGCGGAAGCACAATTCCAATCAGGCCACAACGGCGGGACGCTCGGCTTCCACCGGCAACGGTGCCGCCGTCGGTGAGCTGTCGGGCGGTGAATCCTCCTCCTCCACATCGCTCTCACTGCCCGTATCACTTTCCTCTAAACTCGGATCCACAGCCGCCACGGAAACGCGCGGTATATCTTCATGCTGGACAATGGTCGCCGCTGATTTGACGGTGGCCTGATGCACCGGTGTTTCTTCTTCCGCGATGCGGGTAGCGGTGGTCTCGTCTTCTTCCTCTGATGAGCTGGACGACTCGGACTGGTTGTCCAATGAGCCGGTTAGAGGAAAGGATCCGCTGCGCTGTCCTTCCGCGCTTATGCTCGGTCGCGAAACAATCGGACGAGGCTTACGAGACGGATTCGGCATGTGGCACTCGAAACATTTAAATCCTAAAACGGGCAAAAACTATTTTCACAAAATAAAACACTTTTCGCCAGAAAAGAAGCTAAAAAAGTTGTGTACAACAGTCACAGTGTACTGGTATTTAAAGAAAAGAGCCACTGTGGCATAAAACGTAGCCAAAGAAAAATCAAACAACAACCAAAAATCGGCAACCAATCGGTGCAAACAATGTTAATCAGAAATTCAACACAATCAAATTTGGAGTGTGTTAACTCGCATCATTTTACTAACACATCAATTTTATCTTTACTGCTAGCTAGTACATTCTCGCAGTGAAGAAAAACGTGTTTTTAATTACAGTATTTTTTACCTGTATAATCAAATTCATCCAGCATAACCAACCCATTATGCGCCCCACAATTCCGGCATATCAACGCCATACGGTTCTCCGGGCCATCCTTAACGAGAAAATCCAGCATACGATCCATGGTGGTGCGGTGCTTGATCTGTGGCGGTCGGCCATAGACCAAATCCCGATTTTGCGCATATGGCGGCGGGTAAAAATTATTGGCGCCTGGTCGCGGCTGGGGTAAAGGAGGGCGTGGACCCGGTGCTGCGGTGGGGGGAAACGGTGTCACAGGCATTTTCGTCAGGCTCACATTGCTGCCCGAACGGACCTGGGGATGGGAAGGCACGGCCTGAGTGGAGCCCCGTGGTGTGACGGAAAGCGGATCGTATTTCTCCAGAATGGCTTTGGCTTTATTGTACGGCTCATTGTCTCGCACGTGATCCAGGATCTTCTTCTTATCTTGACGGAATTTGATTAGTTTCTCTTTTTTCACTAGAATCCGACGCTCAAAATACCAGGGGATCCATCTTTGGAGGAAATAAATGCTGCAAAAAAACAACAACTGGAATTTATCTTTTCACCTCGCACATGCTCTGGAATTATCGGTTATTATTTTCACACGACAATCAAGTGCGTCTGCCACACAGAACAACCAAACGACTACACAAACGCGGAGACCACAAACGAAATATTATTAGCTTCAAGCCCATGTATCATAACTGTTCTAACACTCACAAGAATAACAAATCAACCATGTGCAGTGGTGCACGTTAATAATTAATTAGTAACTCTACTAATCTAATCACTCGTATTTCAATTTACCTCACCTCTCGCATTTAAATTCTACAATTTTACCAGATTCTCAACTAACTATTTCTGCAACTTCCCGGAAAAACTACCCGAGTAGGGAAAATTTAAGAACATCTTAGCACATCAGCACAGCACAAAATTAAAGCACATCTTAGAAAATTATACGTTAAATTATTATATACGACTGTATGTTAACTACGGTATTCGTACAATCATTATATAAATATTTATGAGCATAATGCACTACCAAAAGCCCTCCAAGACTGCGCAAGCCAAACGCAAGAAAGCTGCAGAAACCACACAGCTCCAATATTCTTCGCATCACTCACAGAAAGACTGGCGTGATCCAAATGAGAACCAATTTCGCATAATCGATTATTGTGCTGCGCTCCAGAACAAAGAAATGGAGAATACCCGCAACGGTAACGTAGAGGAATCCCGTGATAAAGAGGAAACTAGCCCAGATGCGTTTCTCCCGTTGCCGATCCTGCTGGATAATTTCGTCCAGGCTTTTGATCTGAGATTCAATTTTTGCCAATTTTTCTTCAGCAGTCTCTTCGGTCTTCGCTTTCTGAAAATAACTAAGTTATCATTATACAATACAAAAGGAGCAAAGAGAGCTTCCTAAAAGTAAGTGTAACTATCAAGCAAAAGAGCCTCAAATCTTCAAATCAAGCAAACAATAACGATATTCAGGTACCTCGTTACAGAGTTACTGCAATAACTATAGTCTATAGTAGGCGCTTTTCATGATTTTGAGGTTCACGTACCCTGAATTTTGACAACAATACTCCCATTTTGAGATCTCAAGGCAATACAGTGAGAACAAAAGGATTCGAAGAGATGAGATAAACCATATATCGGAAATTCCACCAACACGCAATGCTGAAAAGGAAGACCGGATCATAGACAAGCGTCGATAGTAAGAATTCGGTCCATACAATTACAAATTACTGATTAATAAATCCAAATAATTTCAAGCACGTCCCATTCAGGCAGACTTTAATAAGGTTATAAAAACATTTACACGGGGAAATATGCTTATCATTAATAAATCTGAAACAAGACGATACAAAAATGAAGAGGAGCAACGCTGCATTTTTGATTTTGGAACAGATTTCACATCTGTTTCCGAAGCTGCAGTCAGAGGGGATTTACCGCGAGGCAGGAGCTGAGCAGATGCGGAGTATAATCCGCATCTGCTGAGCTCATGACTGAGTCACGCCATTCTGACACTGATTGTGCACTATTAAGTAACCGCCGCACGCGGTGCATGCTGATTCAAACCCAAAAAACCCGCCCGTACAGTACTTACAGTACGATTACTTACTTCCACACAAGATTTTGATAAAATTTTCCGCTCTGATTACAACAATACCTTTCGCGTGTTCAGGTTACGTAACACTACTACATTATTGAACGTATCAATCAATTTTACAATTCAGGTGAGCGAATCCGTTGGGGACTTGAGCGGGCGTATAATTACCAAATTATGTACTCGGTACACGTACGAATTGTCGGAATTGATACAATAATGAAAATAGTCGTCATAATTATTATAATTACCATACGTATATAAATAATTAATCAAGGACTTATAACCTTGGCAATATTATTTTAGTGTATACGTTTCCACTTGAAGTATCCTTACCCGGTACATGTTGCTGGTTTTTGGGACTATTCGCTCTGTACATACCCTGACAATTTCACTTCCGGTCCACGAGCCGCTACGGTAACTACTGATCACCTCTGCGAAAGCATTCGTATAAAAACCGAACACTGTTAATCATAAAGATTCCTTTTAAATTTCAATGTTTCATCTACTTTATGAATGAGAGCGCTAATTGATGTTAAGTTTTTTACGCCAACTTTTAGCGAATACCAATTTTATATGCAGTGTGCTGTATACACGACAGGCTATGCGTTGTTTTTTAAAGTTATATAGATATAGTATTATCATTATAACTGCATGGTACTGCATCACCTTATCTTGATACAGATCTGTTTTAATTTGCTATGTTGATACTCTTTCGAAAACAGGTGGAACCGCGAGGCAGTACATCGGCAATGTAACATGGCTGACGAAACCATCACTGGTAAAATTAAAGCTAATCTCTAATAATCCGGGTGTCGCTCCATAGCTATCCGGTTCCGACACCCACCACACAATCCCGTGAAAGCGCAGCGAGCACAGTGACACCGAAGTTGTACACTCAATGGTAGTGTTGCCCTCGCGGCCCATGAAAGCCTTCATGGGGTTACCGTCTTCAATTTTCAAAATCCCGTGCACCGGATGGTAATACTCGCCGGTATAAAACGTATTATCAATTTGTACTGCGCTGGCAATGTCTGGCGTCGATGGCACTGCGGGAATGCTGGCATTCTGGGTGTCCAGTTCTACACAAACGTTGTCCGCTGGATTTAGAGGAGCCAGTTGCATTATATAGTCAAACAGCCGATAGTGCAAGCGTTGATTCATTTCCGATACAATTTCATTATATGGTCCAGCCGAAGTGGTGAATATGCTGATATCGTGATCCGGAACAATCGAGTACAGGGATGTATAACTGAGATATCCGCCTGAATGCTGAAGGTACCGGTAACCTAACGATAAGTAACAGATTTTCGTAACCTTTAGTGTAATGCGGTCCGTCGCGCGACGGACGCGGACGTACGTACGTCTTACATAATTTTCTTTAGGCGACGTTGTGCTGATGAATATTATAATTACAACTTACAGTTACATAATATACGTAAACAGTATAGAACGCACCTCGGTGCCTGGTTTCCATCCACCCTAAACCATAACCAACGTTCTCGATGAATTCTTGTCCGTATTCCTTTATTGTAAACGTCCGATTTCCTAAATTTGATGCAGGATGGTCCGGTGGGTTGGGCAAACCGGAAATGCGCGATTTCCATGTGTCTTCCAAAGTTCTACGTGAAATCAGCTGTCTAGACTTGAACCGCCCCCGGTCGAGCAGGAACTGCATCCAAACAGCCATTGCGTTGGGAGTTAAACAGGCACCACTAACAGATTAAAAAATGAGATTGTTCAGCTTTTAACGCTGTCCTGTGTGCAAACGCATCTGTACAATACATACAGCGCCCTGATGTATTGTACGTTTTAGAACTCTTTTCAGAGTGTACAGTACATTGTAAAATACAAAAACACGGGTTTTAGCGGTTTGCCATTTACCAGATTTACAGTCGGATTGTTAAGGTGAGAAGGAGCGCGAAAGTATTTTACCCAGAAGGCCCAAGCGGCTCGATCAGGCTTATTGTCTTCTCGTCCATTGCGCGATAACCGTCAGTCTCCGACAAAATATAGGGTAATGACAATCTTGAAAATGATGTGAAGTTATAGCCTGCTATGTCAACGTCAGGCTGAATTCCCAATGGTTTGAAAAATATAATTTTAACAACTCTTCCCACGTTACAGGATGTCCCAGCAGTTTTTCTGCAAGGATTTCCGCGAAGTATCCTGCAAAGGTCACTGCAATTAGCATTTTATGGATGATTTGTTGCCAGTTTTGAAGCAAAACTTACCTGCTGTACCGAAAACGTGGTTGTTGTACATATAGCGCTGCCTATTTGGGTACAACCGCGGAGCATTCGCGGCGCCCCATGCCGAATGTTTTCTTGTCGTGTTTCTGAGCGACCCCACAAGGAGAGGAGCGAGATAATCTACAAATTTTGTTATTAACCCAGTTTTTACAAGTTATTCGGTAAGTAATTCGTAGCTGAACATGCAAATTAAATGGTTAAACCAGGTTTGCGTTCATAGCACACATGACACATGCATGTGGACAAACTCAGCCAATGTTGCGTTTAATTGGCTGTCGTTTATGCCATGATGGATACGGTTGTAATAACAATATCGGTACCTGTAAGGCCTGTGCGATGGCTAAGAACATCTTCCAAAGTAATGTTAATGAACTGTGATCCAGGGAAGTTCAAATCGGGATCAAGTTCAGTGATCACTGTCTGTAACGTGTACCTGCATATATACAAATCGCATACATAATAATAACATAGACATAGTATAATTAGTATAGTATAATTAGTCATAGTATAATTAGTCATAGTATAATTAGACTTTAATAAAATTTTTAATGTATTATATGATTCATTATCTGACAATACAATTAATGCGCTATCAAACTGATTAACTACAGACATAATAAATAAATTTTACGGATGGTGACAAGAATCCCTATAAGCTAAGCGTGACTTTTACTAACCGGTGCCCTTCCTCATGTAGCAGGTCTAATATATGCACCAACAATGTTGCGGTCATATGTTTGGACATAGACCCAATACAGAACATTGTGTCCGCGTCGGCAGGCGTCTTCTTGCCCAAATCCCGATATCCATATCCGGATGTGAATATAACGTCCCTTTTGACGCCGTTTTCAAGACGATTTTTTGCAATCACCACCACACCGTAACCGGCTTTCTGGTCCAAATGGCACGCTGATAGCTCTTCTCTAATTATCAAATCAATATCGCCAGTCATTGACGTTGTCCCGGGTTTGGAGCTAAAACTGGTAAAAAAGGTTGCAATACGTACTAGCAACCTGAAAATAATATCATAGTTGAACATTTTCTCGGATTATACATATGAGCTCGCGCAGCGCCGGTCAGAAGTGACAGTTTACTGCAGGACTGCAGTAACCACGAAAGTACACTGGCTGCTTCTTCGTAATAATGTGTAAGATTTTGAAAAACATAAAAATGTGGTCGAGAATTTTTCCGCCAATTTGGCACATGTGCTCAGTACAACAGCAGCCAGAAGTGACATTTTTCAAGGACTGAACGCTTCGTCAACGCTACAGCTGCAGCGTTTGTGTAATAAACTGGGAAACTGCAAATCAACAAATTCTTAGACTTGTACTACAAACACAAAGTACTAATGTGGTAAAATTAATGCTGACCATGAAAACAAACTGACGTTCTGAGCGGGCGCCATTGATAGAAGCTACAAAGTGTACAAATATGATACTGGCACAACTATGACTGTCAAAAACGACAGCTCAATAGTTACTCCGAGTAAGCATTTTGGTGTTGAATTTAGGACATTAATTTTTAAAAATCAGCGACTCCAACAGAAATTTGTGCGCATCTGTCTAGCGAGTGGGCAGCGCACGAGTACGATGCACGCATGATAACAAGAAAATAAATATATTACGCCAATGCACTGTACAATACAGCATCCACAATTACAAGAGGATTAATTACTTTTAATCCATTGGTTCAACTACATCACTTCAACACATAATACACTGTAATCTTTCATAATAAAGATGTAATCTACAGTCTCAACCGACAACAGAGATAGACGGTCTGATTATACTGAACATCTCATCTAAATATCTAAATTAGCCGATGCTGGTGCTGTTCCCATGACGGAGGCCGCATTCCCGCGTTGAATTTCAATGCTGAACCTCTGGCGCAGATACTCAATCGCCCGTATCTCGCCCGTTTCTGCGCGTATCATCTGTCCGAGTTCGGTGACCATGCGAGAAGCGTCTGGTCCCAAAGGTCCGAGTGTTTCGACGCCTACTGCACGGAACATGTAGTCCGGTGTGATGTCACGATACTTCGCCACTTTATCCTGCTCTGCGCGCGCCGCGGCTGCTCCCGCTTGTTTCGATGTTGCCACGATGTGCGACAAGGCTACTGTGCACACACATGTAGCATCCCAGGTCAACATCTTTCCTCTTTCCCACGGGACCAACGTCACTCCGTCGGGACGCATACCATTGGTTAGGCAGATACCGGGTGGTTCCAGTTCCGTTTCAATACCTGCTGAAGCGAAGGCGCGCTTTAAGGTGGCATTAAGGCAGCTGTGTCTGGACATCCGGCCCCGGCTTTTTTTTGCAACTTAGGCCATGATATCCTCGTGAGTCTACCCATTCACCGCAGATGCAACGGTGTGGTGTGGTGATCGGTACTCCGAGGCGCAGGCCGACTGCGATTCTGAGTGTGGTATCGTTCAGGAAATTTCCCAGTGATGCTGCTGGGAGCGCTTCCAGCCATGCCCCGTTTTCTTTGCTGCTCACGCCTCGGAGACGGGCTTCACTGGACATGTCTGACTGTGCGGCCGCCAACAAAGCTTCCGTTGAACCCTGGATGACTGGTTCGTCCCATGTTTTCTGGTGCTTTCGGGTTTCGAGAGTCGGGAGATCAGCCCCGCTCATTCGCTGCCACTCTTCTACGGCGCCACGACAGTACCTTTCCGGGTCGAAATCAACTATCTCGCAGGTAAGTTGAGCCACTGAGTAAGCCGAGGCCAAAAAGGCCGGCAGAGCTAGCTTCTCAATGCTCCGAATTCCGAGACCACCCTGTGCGACCGGCAAGGACGCTTGCATCCATATGGCGTCGGTAATTTGGTAACTGCGCACAGGCAGCCGATTATCATTCTGTCGAACTGTCGCAACAAATCTGGTTGAAGATAACAACGTGCAGTGCGTAATCTGTAAATCATTCTTACAGGTCCCATACTACATTTCAGAAGGTACAAAGCATGGTGAGCAGGCAAGAGAGTCAAACGCTGAGTCATCCTCGCGATCTTTTCAGTTTCGGCGACGAGAGTGCCCGCAACTGCGTCGCTGTGTAATGGTGCACCAAGGTAGGTCAACTCATCCAGGTGTGGGAACTGCAAATCAGGAAAGGACTGGACAAAGAGGATTAATTATAGACAATACGAACTCTGTACACAGTACTTGTGAGTTGTATGTTATATAGATGCTAATGCTGCACGTAGGGTAGCCACCAGCTACAGTACTCATAAGTACCTGTTTTATTAATCTAACTGGTGTTCCTTGACTGCTCACTTGTTTTGATAAAACAATGTCATGTTTGCAGTAATAATGTTGTGCAATTTTATTTTATGACCACCCATTTTTAAATAATTCGACATCAGTGCATAGTTCGCACTTCGAGAATTGTCAAAGAAGTTCCTTATCACAACCAGTGAAGATACGAATCTTATAACACACCACCTTATTTAGCACTATATTGTCTTGTCAATAAAATTAGGTTCTGTTTTTCGATACTCTCTCGAAAAGTGGCGGATCTGCCAAGCAGTACATAGGGACCGTAACTTGGTTGACAAAACCATCCGGGGCGAAATTGAAGCCGATCCCTAATAAGTCTGGTGTTCCATAACCATCCGATCCCGACACCCACCACGTAATCCCGTGAAACCGCAGCAAACACTGGGACACCGATGTTGTGCATTCAATCGTGGCGTTGCCCTCGCGACCCATGAAGGCCTTCATTGGACTACCGTCTTCGATCTTCAGGATGCCGTGCACCGGATGGTAGTACTCACCAATATAATATTTGTTATCGACAGTTACCACAGTAGCAGGATTTGATACAGATGGCGCTTTGGGAATGCTGCTATTGAAGACCTGAGCACAAACACTGTCCGCTGGATTCAGAGGAGCGAGTTGCATGAAATAGTCAAACAGTCGATAATGCAACCTGGTGTTCATTTCCGAAGTAATGCCAATGTAGGGTCCAGCGGAAGTGGTGAAAATGCTGATATCCTGATCCGGAAAGATAGAATATAGCGACATGTAGCTGAGGTATCCGCCTGAATGCTGCACTAATCGATGCCCTGTAATGATAATTCCCGATAATTATACAAGAAAACCGAATCGATGTGTGTCTGTGCATACACCGGTAAGTGTGGCATTTGTTCATGTACTGTACATATACTGTACCTCGATGTCTTGTCTCCATCCATCCTAATCCATAGCCCAGGTTCTCGAGCATCTCTTGTTGGTATTCGGCCAGTGTAAACGTTCGGTTTCCCAGGTTCGTTGCGGGAGGATGAGGTGGCTCGGGTAGGCCCATTATTCGTGTTTTCCACGTGTCCTCCAAAGTTTTACTTGAAATCAACTGTCGAAATCTATGCTGACCCCGCTCAAGCATGAACTGCATCCATACCGCCATAGCATTGGGCGTCATGCACACAGAACTAAAAAGTTCACAGTTAAGGTACCGCACATGCAAATTAATAATCTAAGATTCATACGGCATGGTCATCAGTTCAAAAATTGACAAAAAGCAATTTTGTCTTGGCTTGGGCCCGTGTACACGTAAGCGGTTACCCTGAAGGGCCAGTTGGTTCGATTAGGTCCACCGTTCTTGCGTCCATTGCACGGTAGCGAAGATTCTCGGACAAATGTGGAAAGGACAGTCTTGAAAAGGATGTAAAATTATAGCCGGCGAAATCGACATCACGGTGTATTCCCAATGGCTCAAAGAAATACATGTCCAACAACTCTTCCCATGTAACAGAACGGCCCAATAGCTTTCTGGCAAGGACTTCCGCAAAGTAGCCTGCAAAAGTCACTTTTGCAATTGGCAGACTTTGTGCACGCTGCATATGAAAATTTGGTCATTTGGGGAAGAATTGTGAGCTGATGGTTACCGCGATATGATTATTGTAACCAAAATCTGGTATATTCAAGTTTTTATGCAAGATGGATTACACATATCGTGGTAGGCTGACGCTGTAATCGCGCGCGTTTTGTTTATCCTCATGCCAGCGAGGAACGCCAAAAACGACTTTTCTTCGGACCGAAAGTTTTTTGTTGTACATTACACTGTACCTGCTGCACCGAAGACGTGGTTGTTGTACATATAACGCTGTCTGTTGGGGAAGACGCGCGGAGCATTGGCGGCAGCCCAGGCAGCATGTTTTCTTGTCGTATTCCTGGGTGTTCCCAGAAGGATAGGAGCCAGATAATCTGTGAAAACATAGTACAAATACATTACATTGTCCAAAACACCAGTGTCCTTAGTGGATGTTTCATTTTCATGGGTTTATTTACGGAATAATAGTTTTTACGTTTCGGGCAATAAGGGTATGCTCATAATATTTTCTTCAAAGCATTTGTACGTGTACATTAGTACAAGTACTATTGCAAGTGTAATGGTAAGTTAACCGCTAACGGAAGGCTACCCAAATGCATGTCTGACTATACAGAAATGCATAGTTGATGCATGCAGTAGTGCATGTTGTTAGAGAACTGATTACCCATACCCGCGATTCCCGTTCGATGGCTAAGGACATCCTCCAGGGTAATGCCAATAAACTGTGATCCCGGAAAGTTCAAATCTTTGTCAAGTTCGGTGACCAGTGTCTGCAGGTTGTACCTATTTGAAACGATAGGTAGCTACACAATTTGCGAGGATAATAGTTAATACGATCTGGCTAATTTTTCGTATTTATCGTGACTTCTGAGCAGTAAGTACGGAAGTTTTCTACATGCGGTGATTTAGTTATAGAGAGTTATCGTGCTGCTGGCTGATTATCTACTCGTAGTACGAGTAGACTGCTGTAATGTTTAGTAATTAGCAGTAACCGTTGATGTCGCAGTGTAACAACTTTACAAATTTAACAAAAATTCGTACGGAAATTTAAAGATACCATGCCTGTGGCAGCAGCAGAAGTACATGCACAAGTACTAAAAAAATAAGTTACTAACCGGTGCCCTCGTTCTTGCAGTAAATCCAATAAATGGACCAACAACGTTGCGGTAATATGTTTTGAAATCGATCCAATACAAAACATGGTGTTCGCGTCGGCATAGGTTTTCTTGTCCAAATCCCGGTATCCATATCCAGAAGTAAATGTCACATCTCTTCTAATTCCTTTTCCAATATAATTTTTTGCAATAACAGCAACGCCATAACCGAATTTCCGGTCTAGATGGCATGCCGACATTTCTTCTTTGATTATGACATCAATATCGTGCAATACTGACTTGCTTGCAGACCGTGCACCGGCACTGGCAAGGAAGGGCACAATACAGAATAATATAACGAGGGAGCTTAAAGTAAACATTTTTTATGGTTTATAGTAGCATCCAGAAATAGCAATATTTGTTTCATGCAGATATCGTTCACAATACAAATTTCAACTATTTTTTGTTAAGCTCTGACCAGCACATTTTCAGGGTAGAACTATTCTTAAACTATGTACCGATCGCTAAAGCAGACTGACGTTTCCCGCGCAACGATTGTTATTATAGTCCTAAATTTTCAAGTGGGTGATATTGCATACACATATTCGCTGCCAAAAACGATAATGCAGATTATGGGATTTTAAATCGGCAAACCTAAAGGAACATCCAGGCTATCGTTGGTTTACATATGTAATGATAAAAGTGACGACATATTGTCCACGATTACAATAAGAACAATCTAAAGTTATGGCTCGACAATTAAGTTGTTTCTACACCGATAACGCATACTATCTCTGTTTTGACGATACAGAACACAATACCTGTATTGTAAAGGATTCGTTTTCTTTTAGGGCAAAATGTGGTCACCGAATGCAAATAGCGAATTTAAATGCATCCTTACAATAAGACAACCATGGTATGAAAAATGGTATGCTTCCTAATGAATAAAGCACACTTGGTTAATGATTCAATAACAAAGTAACAATCTATTATTAATATGGTTTTATGATCGGAATTTCTGAAATGCCACAGCCGATACAACACTCACAGACAGAGACAGTTGTGATTTAATTATAATGCTTTGATATGGCAACACGTCTACAACTATTAAAGAACAGTGAAATGAAAGCAAATTTTTTTTCTTTGTCCATGCGCGCTTTCCTGTTTTGTACATGCAACCTTTTACATAACGCAGCTCTGAAAACTCGTGTACATTTACCTATACCGGCTGTACGGTATTTTGAACTTTACACAGAATAAGTTTGGTTACCCAAAAATTATAAACAGAGCCGCTTTTTGGTTCAACGCTCACCCGCTTACCTAACCTTCTCAAAAACCGGCGGAAGTGCCTCCATATATATCGGAAGTGTTACAGTACTGACGAACCCAGTGTCCATAAAACCAAATCGGATATCCCTAGTTTCGTTATATGCATCCGAATCCGACAGCCACCACATCTTCCCGTTAAAACGTAGGGAACACTCCCTTGCCGACAATAAGCACTGAATGGTCGCGTTACTATCCCGACCAAGGAACAGCGTCAGAGGATCACCGTATTCGATCCTGACAATACCGTGGACAGGATGATAATATTCGCCCACGTAAAATTTTGGGTCAATTAATATGCCAGCACTCTCGTTTTGCGCTGGTAGGTCCTTTTGAAGGAGTGTCGTGAAATTATGCTGATGGCACAGATTATCGCTGGGAACAAGAGGAGCCAACTGCATCAGGTAGTCAAATAGCCGGTAATGTAGTCTAAACATCATGTCTTGCACAACGGGAAGATACGGACCAGAGGATGATGTCAGTATTCCGATATTCAGTTCCGGAAATATGCTGCATATAGAGCCATAACTAAGGTATCCACCCGTGTGCTGAACATAACGGTATCCTGCGAACAACAAAAATTAACAAAAATAGCAAATACAGATATAAGCTTTATATACTACCTGCAGTGCCTGTTACCATTTTTTTAAAATTTTACAGGGTACTATAAAACACTGGGTTTTGTAAATAAGGTAATGGGTACAAATTTACAGTGAGTACAGTATCTATGATATCGTATCCGCAGGCCATGCTGTAACAAAACAATAAACGTTTTCTTTTTTGTGGCAAAACCCAATGCACTAACAGAATAATAAAAGCATTTGCGGTCGCAAATGCAATACTTCCAATACAATACTTCCAAATAATTACAACTGAATACGGCTACGCTTAATTAGTTTTGTCTAATTGCTCAGGTTTTCCTTTGCTTATTGGTTCAGTTTAGCCGTGAAATATGCGTTAATACGCTCTGCCTTCCCTTATATTCGAACATGACAATTTGGATAAAATTTTGTTTTTAACCAATTTCAAATCATTTTATTTTATCTAAAATGCACGCCAAAGAAATTGTGGATGCTATTTATTAAAAAACTGCTTTTGCAGAAAATATTTTACAGTTACTGGTCACGAAGCCGGACACCCAATTGTTATGGGTCGCTTTTATGCACCCCGTGCTTTGGCGCGTCTAGTTACGCTGCCCTATTGGTTTTGAAGGGACGGTGCAGGCTGAATTCGCGCCGGTCTCCTTGTTTGCTTTTTGGTTCCGGAACTTCTCTGTAAGTGTCCGAGGTTATGATTTGCAGTTCGCAGCTCCGGCTTGCAGTTTGCATATTCCGTCGCGTACGACGAGAAGCAGTTGCATTGTTCATAAACTGCGAAAGGTAAAACCCAAAAATTTTGCCGAGGTTCTAACCGAACCACTAATAATCAAAGAAAGTGAAATCTAATTCGATTGACGAAGTCAATTTCCGAATTACTGTACTTAGCCAATAGTGTAAATTAAGCATTTCAGAAATACTCGTCTGTGTTTGGTACGTGGTACCGTACGTACTAACCATAAGTATGTATCAATTATTTTAACTACGATATACTACATACTTATTTCTGTGATTCAAAAATACTTGTCCACCTCTGACCTCGTGGTAATTTATGGTGTTCTGTGAGCCCGATATTATTTATGAAGTACTGTTTTACGAAAATAAAGATGATATCGTATTTTACCGGGCGCAGCCGATTTGACCGTTTTTGATTGAAACACGCATAGAAATGTTTTTTAACTATATTTATATGTGTTTTGAGTGAGGAAAACCCAAAACAACTCTTGAAAAAAAAGTTTTCAGAAAATGCAAATCAAGCAATGTTATGCTCTGGCAGTGCACTCAAGCAAGTCTGTCCATGCGTTTGGTGTAGCAGCCAGTAGCTGTCGTTCGAGGAGCGGTTAGCCAGACCGCACCAGCTTTAATTTTGTTTTATTTCTAACTCGTAGATTTCTTTTAACTTTTTAATGTTCTTTGGTTTCATAGGTTATTCTTAGGTTTCTTAGGTTTCTTAGGTTTCTTAGGTTTCTTAGGTTTGTTAGGTTTCTTAGGTTTCTTAGGTTTCTCAGGTTTCTTAGGTTTCTTAGGTTTCTTAGGTTTCTTAGGTTTCTCAGGTTTCTTAGGTTTCTCAGGTTTCTTAGGTTTCTCAGGTTTCTTAGGTTTCTCAGGTTTCTTAGGTTTCCTAGGTTATTCTTACGTTTTTTAGATTCCTCAGGTTTCTTAGGTTTCTTAGGTTTCTTAGGTTTCTTAGGTTTCTTAGGTTTCATAGGTTTCTTAGGTTTCTTAGGTTTCTTAGGTTTCTTAGGTTTCTTAGGTTTCTTAGGTTTCTTAGGTTTCTCAGGTTTCTTAGGTTTCTTAGGTTTCTCAGGTTTCTTGGGTTTCTTAGGTTTCTTAGGTTTCTAAGGTTTCTTAGGTTTCTCAGGTTTCTTAGGTTTCTTACGTTATTCTTACGTTTCTTAGGTTTCTCAGGTTTCTTAGGTTGTTTTGAAAGCGATTTTGTTTCAGTTTTTGTGTTTCGCTGTTTAGCGTATGTAATAACACAGTGAGTACGCAGTATTTGTGAGTTGCGCCGGGTTTTCTGTTTTTGTCTGTAACTCTGGAAGGTTTGAGTTCCTCAGTCGGGACCAACGTTTTTGGATTCAGGAAGAAAAGTTGCATATAAAACGCTTAAAAGTAGGTCAGTAGGTCGCGCCCGGTATAATTATAGTATATCAAAATGAACACCTATGTACAGATACAAGTACTCCTCAAAGCTCCTTCATAAAGTATCGTTTAAGTTTCACTTTAATTCCACCCGAACAAGACCGTAAATAAATTCATTGTTGTGTCAAATTATGTTAGGTAATTTGCATGCATTGACATTTACTATGCAGTATTTTATAAATGTGTTCAGGACGAAAGCAAGTGAACCGTCTGAACGTGTAACGTGTTCAAAACCACTTAAAATTACGAACCTCGGTGTCGGCTTTCTGACCATCCCAAACCATAACCAGAATTATCTGAGAGCTCCTGTTGATATTCGGCAAACGTGAATGTTCGATTCCCCAAATTTAGTAAGGGCTTCGTGGGTGGGTTAGGTGATTCGTACATGCGTGATTTCCACGTGTCTTCCAAGGACTTTTGTGACACCAATTGCACAAAGTTGTGGTACCCTCCATTTAAGATAAACTGCATCCAAACTGCCATCGCTTTTGGCGACATGCATACAGCTCTGACAATACATCATCAATAAGTTCATATGCAATATAATAAAATATATATTTTTTTAGCTATTACCCAGCAGGCCCGAGCGGACCAATCAGCTCGACTACATCCGGATCCACCGCGCGATACCGGCCTTGCTGCGTTAGATACGGATAAGCTAACCTCGCAAACGCTGTGAAATTCAATCCCGCAATGTCGACATCCTCGTGAATTCCCATAGGTTCGAAGAAATATAAATCCATAAGTTCCTCCCATGAAACAAATCTGCCCAGCAGTTTTTCTGCCAGAATTTCCGCCAAATATCCTGTCAATTCAACAGCTACTGTAATCTTCCAGAGTTCCAGTTGGGTTATACCGTGTAACTGTTATACGTAATGCATTTCGGCCGGCTGGGATGGACCGATTCGAACCTGCTGTTCCGAAAACATGATTGTTATAAATCCAGGATGTCCTATTGGGAGACGCGCGAGGCGCATTGGCTGCGACCCAAGCGATATGTTTTTTTGTCGTGTTTCTGGAGTATCCAAAAATAGCTGGACCAGAGAAATCTGTTGATCGAAAACATTTGAGGTCGTTTCTGGCGAATGAACCGCACTTGGCTGTTTCATAATACGAGTAAAAATATAACGCGATATCGTTGCAAGTTGTGGCACTTTATACTCGTGATGTTAACTAATCATGTATCGATCAGAATTATGTATTTACCTAGAATTCCGGTTCGGTGAATTAAAATATCTTCCAGTGTGATACCATGAAAAGATGAGCCGGGAAAATCCAGACTATGGTCAAGCTCCGTAACTAAGGTTTGTAGTGTATACCTGTTAATTAATGTAAAAAAATATGGTCAGTACTGACCAGCGATAACTAACCGGTTAGTTATCGCTTGGGTTTAACCTTGCTGGTTTGTACCTCTATCACACGGACCCAAAATTAATTGCTTGATTAGTGTAGAATAGAGTACAATAGTGCTCTTGAACACAGGATGAAAAATAATACCAACCGGTGACCTTTTTCTTGCAACAAATCCAAGAGATGCACTATAAGCGTCGCGGTCATATGTTTTGAAATGGATCCTATGCAAAAAATACTGTCCTCATCAGCCAATGAGCGCTTTTCCAGTTCTCTGTAGCCATATCCGCCAGTGAATGTTACGTCCCTTGTCTTGCCATTTCCGAAGACGTTTTTGCCGATGACGGCCACACCAAACGCAAATTTCTTATCCAAATTGCAGGCCACTAGTTCCTCTTCGATTATGGCATGGATATCATCAGCCACTGTGTTTGTTACTGATCTCGAAAACACACCAGCATCAGTGCACAAAATGATTACCACCATGGATATACAAGCCACCCTTGGATAACTTAACATGATTGTTGCGACTCCTCCCAAAAAAAGCTGAAAAAGATACAGATAAAAAACACAGATAAAAGTAACAAAGTGCTAAAAAGGCTCCGAAGTACCGTATAAAGTTTTAATAGTACGAGTATAGCACTGTGTTAGAAATACGCAGGTTTATCGAAACTGTTCTGTTCACTTGATGGCAAACATTTCAAATCAAAATCTGTAAGATTTTCCTGCACCTATTTTGTACGAACTTTCGAGCAAAAAATCTTTCATGGCAAGCTGAGCACAAAAACCCGATAACCACTGATTAGTCTACCGTAGTATAGCTCACAGTTTCTTACGAGTTAAATCCACAATAAACCTTTCAATATGATGCGTAGAAGTATACAAAGTAGCAGACCTATTGCAGGCCGTAATAAGTAATTTAATTACGCGCGTGTGCGAGTGTGGCGTATTTTCAAATTTGCAAAATTCATGATTGTAGCGCATCGATAAGACACGAAGTACAAGTACTACTGTAAATGTGTTTATACTTCAAATGCCATGTTGTATGACAAGCCTTTGTTGTTTATTCGTGATAACGCTATTATTGTGCTCCTATCACTAATTAATGCGGCTGTGCATTGACGATGTGTACGAATAGTTAAATTAATTTTGAAGTAATAATTACACAGATAGAATGTGTCTTGGTGGATTCCGCTGAGTATCTATATAAATCGTAGGTATCCTAAAGTGTAAATCCCAAAGTGTATCCTAAAAATGTAGATCGTATGTGTCCTAATGCAACGTAGTGACTGGTGACCATTGTAACGCCGCTGCTGCAGCATGTGTCGAACATACCAAAATTCTAGAGAAGATCGTCTAATCCAGATTTCGCCATGAAAACTATGAAATATGAATAAATATTCTTCCGTGAGCGAAATCAACAAAATGGTACGTCAACGTCCGCATGTAATACAAGTTGTCTTACATGCGGACGGGCAGAAACTGAATACAAATGGATGGCAGAATTTACCAAACTGAAACGCATATTGCCCAACTAAAACGCTACTGAGTCGGAGTGACTACCTTAAGAAGATTTACACGCAACGCGCTAAATATGTTGAAACTTTTAATGCAAAACATGTTTCTCTTAAGACATTAAAACAAAACGGATCTGCATAGGTATAACTGTAACTCTATCTGTACTGGCGATTGCCCGAATAAAGGTAACATAAACAACAAGAGGAAAACGCCGAATGCATAGGTCCGTGAATCATTACGGCCACTTGAAGCAAAAACAAAGGCACTGCTTTGCAACTTCGAACTGAGCAAATCATTCAACCATGGAACTGGAAGTGATGAGATTTGTACACAATGCCTTCTTCTTTACCAACACGAACCACCTGTCCAAAACAATGGCAACGGGCGCTGTGCCCGAGTAAAATCATCTCCACGTCGGAACCGCAGTCAGTCCAATTCACTGTCAGCCGCCTTCAGATGTAATTCGGCAACCAACTTTTGAATGGCCGCCATAAAATGCCGCATCTGTTCGGGGCGGAGAACCTCCAACATGGCAGTTATGTATTGTCCTAGAGAAGAAAAACCAAAAACGATACCTATACAATATGTGGGTTTAAAAAGTATTCTGAATTCCATAATCTCTTTTCCGAATTTACGGACAACTAACAAGTAAGCAAAGCATTTCGCCTTAAATTCTTACAGTTTTACTGGAATTATGACTACTTGTATGACTCGATAAGTAGATATGTTACCATATGTATGTAATTTTAAAATATTACTGTAGTTTCAAAGCATTTATTCCACCAGCTGTTATATCATGACATTATGAAGTATGTATGTTTGTTCAGACATAAAATATACATCTGGTAGAAATAGTATACAGTGTTAATATATATTATATATACAATTTGTACAAAGCTTTAACGAAATTAGCTCCATACTGAAAGAATATTTATAGCCATGATCTCAGTTTAATTATCTCTGAATCCGATTTAAAGTTTTAATAATTTTTCGATATCTATCGTTTTTGTAAAGCGTAACCGACCGCATTCATAATTCAGCCTATTTTAATTCGCAAATGTCTGCCGTTTAACAAGCACTATAATCACCATCTTACCAAATTTTACGGCCGCATTAGCCCCAACGGTCTCCGCGACCACATTGTTTCCCACTGGAGCCGGCAGCGCTACAACGTTGCTTTCCATCGACAGAGCCGGAATCGCCGGAGAAGTAAGCACAGAAGCAGCACGACGTGAAGGTAGCCGCTTGCGAATTCGGCGCGATGCTGGTGCCCTTGGAGCACGAGGAACCAGCGCAATTCTGGCCCTTTTCGTTGCATTTCCCTGCACCGGTGCGCTCATGGCAGCCGTAGCCAATTGAAAGATACTCGTATCTACAACAGAACATCAGCTAACAATAAGATATGAATACAAAAAAATAAATAATTTCATGACTACTTGATAAAATGAACATCAATTTTTGTATCCCTGCGCATAATACTGTACTACAAATTTAGAAGCCAACGCGACCTAGAAAATGTACTTGTACTGTATAACCAATTAATAAAGCACAAACTTAACTACGAACCTGACGCTGATTTGCTGGTGCGCGCCAAACCGGTGGCCGGTTGGCTCGGTTCTGGCTCCGGATACTCCCATTCTCCATCCTCACTTTCCGCGGGATTTACAGCCTGACCCTTTCCAGGCATCTGTAGCCTCTCCGTCACTGCGGCTAACGGCGGGGACGCCGCTGCTGGCTCCTGCTGCTCATGGCGTGAGTCTGTAGCTGCGGGATCGCAACGGTGAGGCCTGAGCAGTCTGGCCTCCTCCTCGCCCATCTCCAGCGCGCCGTAACATACCGCAGCCTTTCGGCAACGCCACCGGTTGGCACCGATCGTAGCGTTCCGCAAATATTCATAGCCGTCGAGAATCAGCACGTCGCCACCTGACCTGCTTTTCGAATACACGGGAATCGACATGGTCGCACGATTTAGCTAAGTACAGTGAGGAATACTACGTCGGTAACGGCTGCCACGAACGGTAGCTGTGGATGTCTGATGATACGGTTGGAAACAAGAAGCGTAATTAAAAGGGAACCGTTAAATGCTAAACAAAAAACAACAGAGCAGCTGCTTGCGAGCTGGAAAAGTGGCGAATCTGGCGTCTATCACCATGGTACGTAAGCCCTATGGTCAGCGTCTGATCGACAGAATGATGAAGCATGCTGCATGCTTGAGCGTGTGTACGTGAACTGACTTATATTGCAGTGCACACAAACAGCCGAGAACAATGGACGGCAGCTGTGATTGGACGGACGTATGTATCGGTTTTTTGTACTTACGTACAACAGATGCGCACCACACTCACAAACTTTCTTATTTCTCCACATGGTAAAAATTTACCAAATGCTGCAGTATTTCAGCAACATCAAGTAGAAAATAGTCCCGCCAAAACGGCGCAATCAACTGCATTCCCATAGGCAACCCCCTGGCCGACCAGCTAACCGGTACACTCACAGCCGGGAGCCCCGCCAACGAGGCTCCCACGGTGAACAAATCTTGCACTTCTTGCTGCGTCCGATTATCAATGGCTGTGAAATCCGGAAAACTCGGTGCGTCGGTTAGCGTCACCGGGGTCAATATCACATCCACACTGTCGAAGGCTTTCTGAAAATCTTCGGCAATCAACCGGCGTACTTGCGCCGCCCGTACAAAATAATTCTGAAAGTTGCGTTTAAGGAGAAAAAAGTTTCCCGCCAGGATCCGACCGCGGACGACCTCGTTGAAGGCTTCGTGGCGGGTGGCAGCGTACAGGGCGTTTGTACTCGAACGGTCGGTGTTGCTCCGGTAGCCGAATTCGATTCCGTCGTAACGGGCCATATTCGATGCGACATCACATGTGTTCAAAACCTACAAGCAGAAGGCGATTAAGTAAGCAATCAAATCGGAAACGAAATCTGCTTCTCAAATCGAAGGCATTACAGCTTTGCGCCATGTGGGTGTCATACGCGACAATATTCTGCTCGACACTGATGCAGTAATCTTCAGTCAAAAAAGTTAATACAGATACTAAATTTGACCACAGGTTACATATCTTGCACGAACATTTAACTATAGAAGTATTATTATCCCCACATGCAGTAACCATAATGTCATTGTACTACAAAAGCAGACGAAAGCTGAACTAACAGCAGCGTTGAGTGTCGTCGAATAAAAAATTGCACTTTACCGGACAATTTCGATCAAAACATGACGAAGTACTGTATTCAGAATAAATTTCCTTAGACTGAAGAAGGCACTGAAATTTTCGATCGGTTAGCAGTTAGCACTAAACTGGTTCTTCAAGCATTCCACTTCTCTCGCAACACCCCTTCGAGAAAACCCACCGTGTAACACGCATTCGCGTATTCCGAATGCGGCAGCGAGACACTCCTAACGTCCGCTCCCTGTTCTTCCAGTGCATCAGCCACGCGCATCCAACACTCTCGCATGTCGTCACTGAGCTCGGGGACATTGTATTCCTTGGCAACACCAATCCGCAATCGCTTAACGTCCGCTTTCTCCTCCGGAAGCGTCTTCCTGAATGTGGTAGAGTCTTTGATGTCGCATCCAGCGATCACGCGAAACACTGTCCGCACATCCTCCACCAAGCGGGCAAAAATGGAAGGTACATCCGTAGAGTTCAGGAGAGGGATGAGGCCATGACGCGAAACCGATCCGTATGATGGTTTAAATCCGACAATGCCGCAGTGTCCGGCAGGATTCCGCACCGAGCCACCGGTATCGGAGCCTAGGGCGAAATGCGCCGCACCGGAAGCGACGGCCACGGCGCTCCCTCCTGAACTCCCGCCTGCCAAAATAAATTGTTTTAACTTTTACCTTTTTAATATAAACGTAGCAAAATTTGCAGAAAAATAGGAGCATTCATTGTCAAGTGAGTTATCGACTGTACAAAAGCAATAAGATCAACCACAACCCGCTCTGGTTAAAACATTCACATACGGCAAGCGAGTTAACTAATCACAAAACGCACAATCCGCAAACCTATTATCTCTAAAGTTTCTAAACTATTGAACATGGGCATGGCATGGAAATTCTTGAAAAACTAACCCAAGCAATAATACAAAAATTCACTCCGACCAGTACTGCGCTAACAATTGTGACTGTGCTGTAGTTAAGTGGCTAAATCCCCGGCGGGTGTTAGAGTATTAGAATTAAACAGAAATTAAAAAAATTTGGCAATTACCACGCGCTGTGCAGATAAATTTTTTCGGTTTACTTATTCCATCCAAAAGAACAATAAAATTTCTTCCCTTTATCGTACGCAATATTAAAGCGCGAACACATTGCTCCAGTTGCTGTTCCAAATTCAAGCTTTCAAGAATTGCGAAAAAAAGGAAAGTGTAGAAATACTGATAATTCCTAATTGTTGCGCAGTCATATTATATCGATCAGCCATGCATGTATATCGTTCAACTGAAATCGACAGAAACGACATAAGCTATTCATTTTATTGCACAAAATTTGTAAGACACAAATACGAATCACAAAATACCTGCTATGTGCAGAGGATTCCAGGGATTCTTGACTGGTCCGACAACCGAGTCCACTGATCCGGAGCCCATGGCAAATTCATCCATGTTCGTCTTTCCTACCAGCACCGCTCCGGCATCCCGCAGTCGCTTCACCACCGTCGCATCGTAGGCCGGAACGAAGGGCTGCAGCATTTTGGATGCGCATGTTGTGGGAATACCCTTAATACAGAAGTTGTCTTTGACAGCAAAGGGAATCCCTTGCAGCGGCTGTTGCTGCTGAGATTGTGATGCAGAGGCTGATCCGTGCTGAAATAGGCTGGTTACAAATGCATTCAGTGCCGCAGACTTCTCCCATGCTGTCTGATGCACGGAGAGGATTTCTTCGGGGGTTTTAGAGCCGCTGTGCAGAGCATTTCGCAAGTGCGCAATGGATGCTGCTGGAAGGGAGCGCATGTTTCGTGGCTCGCACAAACTGTTGTGAAACTTGAGTGACTTATGACACTTATCACTTAGTCCAGTGTGAAAACCATTCTTCGATGTTCAGCAGGGAGTTTGGCACTCACTGTCAGTGGTCAAATTAAAGCCCGGATCTCAAAGCACTCTAAATTTCAAAATCAATTACTGTTGGTAAAATCGAAACAGCCAAAGCAAAAAAACAACAACAAGGCAAGCCGCAAACAGGCAGAATACTAACAATGTATTAGAATTAGCAGCCAAAAAAAACTGAAGCACTTCATGACTTCAAACTTTCAGCATAAATTTTTCATACGCTAACCGCCTACCGGGCGGATGCTGTTGCGTCGCAAAATGTAGTAAGCATCCAAAAACTGCTTTGACGACAGCCTAATAAAGCAGCTATTATAAGCCTAAGGTGTTTTTGCCTTTTTCAGTTTTTCTTCGATGATGTCCATTTTTTATTGATCTTGACTTTCGAGCACATTTGTTAGAACGTTTAGTACCATTTTATTAACCAGTAAAATGTTGTTGGGATCCAAGTCATGGAAGAAAATCATTAGCACATCCATTCTATCTTGTTGATGAATACGCAATCTTGAGTTTTAGAATATTCCGTCCTGACACGGTTCGACCATCGATGATTCCATCTCGATCCTACCATGTACTGGATGCCTTTTTGCAGTTACAGTTCTTGTTGAAGATCTCGGATTCTCGGTTATTTTAAGAAAATTTTGTGCTGTCGCTGATTCCTGCTAGACTGTTTGATCCTCCGCGGAATTGTTCGTTCTTCGTCGGAGGCGCCTTCAGAATGGGACGTGTTGGTGCTTTTGCTGTGCTGCCTGCGCTCCTGCTTCTGGCTGCTGTGGAGACCCTTTCAAGCCAAAACTCTGATAGATTTTCCGAAGAACTCTTTGTCTCTCCTCTCAGTACAGGGCACGTGTATCTGCATTTCAAGTTTTCCATCAGCACGCCTTTACGGAGTAAATGTAAGGCACTGAAAACAGGAACACAACAATTATACATTTATACCTAACTGGTTAGCGTTCTCAGAACGCCGTTCTGACTACGCAGCTACAAATTCCTGTACCAAAGCCAGATTAGTCATTCGAAGATGCTGTTAAGTTTGCTTTCCTATAGATGTCCACATGGACTACTTCCCTAAATCCGTTATTGATATCGTCCAAGCGCACAACGTGCGTGAGCTGCATGTACGTCTGACACAAGGTGCATTTCGGCATGAAAAATGGGGATATCCCATTCTGTCGGCGCCTTCCGGAGCTGAAGTGTGGGCCTGGTTCCAGGACGATGCGTCCAGGTAAATGCATGCGTTATCTTTGTGTGTAAAAGTAAAAAAATTTAATAATGTTTGCGTACACCTTTGACGTGCCAATGATCGTTCGAATTGCCAATTCGGCTACAGTCTGGGATATTTTGGCCCACACACTACGATACTTTCCACAGATTGCTCGCAGTGATTTTTGATATTTGTCGCACAGCTTTGATGGATCACGTCAGACGGGGGTCATAATATGCCGCTGTCGAATTTTTATTTTTCTGAATAAATTTAATTTATTATTGAAGGATAGTTCGTGACTTAGAAATTTGGTCGATGACGAATGACGGTTGCGCGTAATTTCGTTTACACCGGCACTGATGTGTTTGTGCACTGTAACGTTGTTCAGCTCTTAAATCGCTATAATTTATATAATTTATCAGTATTATCTATCAATGATGACAATATTATTGACAACTTGTGTTATGACAGTATTGCGGATAAGTGGCGGGGATTGACAAATTCACTGGCTGGATTATTATGCGCCACCTTTAACGATATTAGCAGTGTGAACTCGATTTCGCCGCAGTGGAACTTCCGGCCCGAAGGTTAGTTGCGCGTGGGCTAATTTGGAGTTTTTCGTATATCTTTATATGAACGAATAAGAAATAAAGCTTCCTTCAACTTTAAAAAAAGATGATGATTGATTTTCAGAAAGGCCAACTAAGAGAACTAACTCTTTAGATTAAAAATAGATTCGTCCCTAATTAAAGCAGACATATTGGAAAGTTATGTCGTGCGACTTGGTGCTAATGTGCTAATGTAAGTGCAACTGGTTTCACGCTATCTCTCGTCGCTCTTCTACGTTATTCTGCAGCGTAAAAATGCTTTGATTAGGAACGGCTTCTGTTTGGAGTAAAATATGTTAGCGCCCTTTGGCCGCAGTTTCAAGCGTGACATGTGAGTTTACCCAGTCTTTAAACCATTATAGGTTTGGTAGACTCGTCACGATCCGTTAATACCAGCTTACTTCGCTACAGTATGCTACCGCGAGAAAATCTGTGCACGGAGAACCTAACACCCTGGAAGAAACTTTTGCCGTGCTACGATCGTGCTGGATTGGCCAAACTGCTCAACGCCGTCAAATTGTTATCCGCTCATTATTTCAACATTGCTTTTGACGTTAAACCGGTGTGCGGGGATCCTGAATGCCATGAACAACGATTGCAGCTGGAGGTTTCTGCCACGGCTGCTGTTCTGCCGGGCAGCATCGAAGACGAAGACAAACTTAGTAAGGAAAACTAACATAAGCCGGGGATTTTTTCTGAATCTCGTCGATATTTCACCGTTGACAATATGATCGCTAAACCAGACTGTTACACGAGCGTAAAAGATATCCTACATAGCGTTGTGCTTTTTCTGAAGTGCATACTAGAGAACGTATCAAAAGATGAGTGCTAGGCTGCTTTTTTTGCAGTAATTTAAACAATTAATAAACAGTTTTCTTTTTATCTTATAGTTTTTTTTCTTACAGAAAAACCTTTAAAATTTATTTTGTTCTGTTAAGAGTATTGCACTGTTCGCGTTCTAGTTGTTTAGGCATGTGGTACATACTGCATACCTTGATGAAATTTATATGGAAACGAACTACGAGATACCGTATTAGTACGCATCTTTGATCGATTCGTTGTGGCGTAACGGGATTGTTCTAGTTTACTTGGTCATTTGTGTTCAGGTTGGAGCGAAGATTCGGTTTAAGCGAATGCTAGTGTACATTAGTTACAGTGGCAGTAGCAGAAATTTTGGCAGTTATAGTTAAAAAAGTACATTTGCCAGGATGTCAAAATGTTCAGTTTATTGTTGCAGATTGGTCATTACGGGATCTACTGGAGATCGACGTGGATTCCGGTTGCCCACTGGCCACCCACTCCTTGGTGTACGTTAACCAGTCCATGAAAAGTCGTGGGATGGTGTTCTATCCCGCTCCCACGTATTTCACCGTGGCCCATGAAGAAGACATTGCTGTGTACGATCTGCGCAACACCATTACCTTCCCGAAACCGCAGCGAAACATCGGCGGCAAGAGTTCCCATGCGATGGATTACACGCACACCCAGTCGCCCTTTTTGGAGGTGCATCGCTATGTGTCCGGCGTCGGTCAACAGTACGGTGGAATCAAATGCTTGATGAAAAACAATAATCCGGACGTGCCGGTGACGGTGTCGTACATGGAAATTGTGCCATGGTTTCTGAGATTGTATTTCCATACAATCCGGTTGCAAGGTAGGAATGAGTTACCGTCATGTGTGTTAAATGACGTAGCTTAATGGCCGTTTCCAAGTCTCGTGGTACTTCTACGGCGTAATTTGTTATATTATTTCCGAAAGTAGTCTCATTTTGCATTATTTTTAGACGGTTTTCTTGCGTGCATCACCAATAAAACTGATTCTCCGTCGAAACTGTGTTGTGGAAAAATTTAGAAAACCTATTACCAAATGGCTTAAAGTAGAGCATGATCTGGAATTGTTCGCCACGAAAAGCAGACAAACTAAAACTGTGTCATAATATTTGTAGGTAACCACAGCATTGTATTTCCGAGCGAAATTTCTCTTCTTTTGACAAAAAAAAATTCGAAATAGCGTTCGCGGTCTCGTTGTTGATACGAATAATCATGGTATATTATTTTTTAGGGACCTTCGCTTAAAAGAGTTGCACAGTTTGCTTAGTTATTCGTGAAAAGCATTGAATAGAACTGCTTGTCCGCAGGAGCAGACAGGCTCAGTCTTTCTACATTGTAACGTATGGATAATGGTGATCATCTAATAACCGTAGCATTTTCCGACTTATGAATTCCCATTTACACCGTAGATCTGGAAAAAGGCACACCGGTTCCCATAACCCGCCAGCACTTCGTCCTGGCCCGTGACCGTCAACTCCCTCATCACATCGAACTCCTCTTTACTATCCCGCCGGCCACCACCGTCGAGCTCTCCGTCGAATTCGACTACACTTTACTGAAGTGGACGGAATACCCTCCGGATGCCAATCACGGTTTTCACATTCCGCCGGCCGTCATCAGCGCCCGTCTAGCCGACTGCCAAGACTTCCAGTTCCCCAAGAACTTCACACAACTCCGCTCTACTGAGAATGCCTGCTTTTTGCGCTTGTATACCAAGGCGCTGCTGGTGAGTCTGCCCACACCGGATTTCAGTATGCCGTACAATGTCATCTGTATGACGTGTACGGTGCTGGCGCTGGCGTTCGGCCCGATCCATGCCATCACCACCAAACGCTTTGTGGTCTTCGATCCGCAGAAACACGCCCCTCCGCTGAAGAGGCTGAAAACGGTGGTGGCCGGGGTGATGGAGCGCGTGAAGGGGCGATTGCGACGGTGGCGAGGGAAGAATGAGGAGCACAAGGAATGAGGAATAAGTCTTCCTAGATCTCGGGTGATATATTTTGTAGTGATTGTTTTTTTTCCTACGCGGTAAAACTGCTTGGAGTGCGCGCTGTTGATCTTTGTAGTCGTTCATCGTATCCGTTGTTGATTGTTTGGGATACGTGAAAGGTCGGGTTTTTAAAACTTTCTGCTTAATATCTGAAAGTATGTTGACGCTGATCTGACATTTGGCTTTCGGGAGCGAGTGTCCAGCTGTTTATTGTCGAGGTATCTTTAATGATAATTAAACTGGAATTTTGTTTTTATGTGGGATCCAGGTCCGATTGCGCATTACTAATACACTTACGTAGTGAGATGGCACAGACCAAGGAAAATGTAAGCAGATTAAAAGGTTGCGGCAAACGTTGGCTAATACTGATATTTGCAAAAGTATAACATTTTTTCTGACACTTGATTGTTGAAAATTATGTTCCCAATTTGCAAGTTAAGTTGACGGTTAAGAATATTAGTAGAACTTTTTTGTTCATTTCATCCCCGGGAATGAATAATAAGTTAAGCATTTTTTCGACACGATGAGGCATGAATAAATGCTGATGGTGAGTGTTAAGTTGTTAACGTCTTATGACATAGGCCGCACAGCGGTACTTTACAAGGCAGACAGACGCAGTTGGCGAGGGGAAAGTTCTCCTTCTGCTCGTGAAGTATCTTTCAAAAAAGTTTCTCGTCGAAAAAGTACAATTGTGGTTGCACGTTTTTTGGATAACCGATATTATTGAACCAGGTAAACGCACGTTGTCAACAGCGAATGGGATGACGACCACACGATGAAATGAATTTACCAATTGGCACAAGTCTACCCAACTACAGGATGTGTCCAATGTTCGTATGAGCGCTATGACGAAACACAAAAATCAATAAAGTACGGTTAGTAATCATACAAATTCACAGAAAACAGGTTTGATTAAAAAGTATCGCATGGCTATATGCCGATGACCTTTGCCGCCATAAAGACATGGAACGCTCGGTGAAAGGTTGCTACTTGAATGGATAATTTGGGGAATCCGACCACCTTAAAAACAGCGTTAAATAAATTAATACAAAATAACGCTTGAGCTCGTTAATTCGATTAACTCACATATCGAGCGTGAACATTCGACCATCCGATTTGGCCAGACCGCTGATTTGGCCCATCTCGTGTTCACTGAGACAAAAATCCCACAGCTCAAAATTCTCCTGCAGGCGCTCTTTCTTGACGCTTTTCGGGATGGCGACAATATTGCGCTGAATTAACCAGCGCAGTAAAATCTGTGCCGATGTTTTTCCATGTTTTTCTCCGATTCGACCCAACAGTGTCTCCTGAAGAAGCGCCCCGTGGCGGTTGCCATTGTTGGTTTTGGCTGATTGAAATTTTGCTGAGCCGAGCGGTGCGTACGCGGTCATGACGATGTAATTCTTCCGGCAAAATGTTTGCAGGTCTTCCTGTGGCAAGTATGGATGACATTCCACCTAATATACATAACTCCAGTTTTTCCAGTTATCGGAAACCGTGGGTGCAGCGTACAGTAGCACGTATATTTATATGCAGTATCGCATTAAATGCGATGTATGAACAACAACATACCGGTACTAACAACAATGCAATTTTATACTAATGACATTAAACAAACTCAAATTCGTACTCGTATGATAAAATCAAATAACAGAAACAAAATTTGTACTATACGTGAACACGTAATATTATTATAAATAATGAAATCTGCGTATTTACAACCATTAGTTTTATATAACTGTGTCTGTCTATTTACCGCCGTACGAATGCGATATCACAATACGATAACGTCGGCCAGTATTCACTACGTAATGTTCTTATAATAATTGTTCTGACATTGTCGCCTATTTCGTAATAAATAAGAATATATACCCGTATTCGGTTATGCTATACAGTAATCTACATTGCGCTTCGAATTGCATTAATACATACATAAATACGAAAATATACCAGCGCGGAGCACTTTACAACGAGAAATCAATATGAGATTTTTAATAAAGATATACGATTCAATTCAAATTTCAAAAATCGTATTCAATTTTTGAAAGCTTTATCTACCTAACATACAAAGCAAAATTAATACAAACATCTTGTCCAAGCTTATCGTACCTGGAGCACAGCCGGTTTTATACGGCAGTTATTCAGTACATGCTGGATTTGGTCTTCGTTGAAATTGGACAAACCGATACTTTTGGCGAATCCCTCTTCCACGAGTTTTTCCATTTCCTGTAAAGTCACTTAACCTAAACGCTTGTTTTCTGTTTGCACGTGCGAAGTGTTTACATACAGCTGCTTGTTTCTATAAACTGTAACACTAGTGTTATGGTATCAGGTTGACCAGTCTGTATATAAAACCCGTTCCTAACTTCTTCCACGTAAAAGTAACTGAAATGAAAATCCACACGAGTATACGTAGTAACAAAACGAAAGAATCGAGAACACTACTTCCAGATGCTTTCTGGGACTCGTACAGTGATCAATGCTTCAACTTTAAATTTGTGAAATTCACCCTGTAAAATATATGCAGAACTGATATTAGTCTACATATATACCGCCGCCGGTGTAGGAGCTGTACGATCTTAAATTAACATTAGGAAAACGGAATTAGCATTTGTTTTGGCTAGAAAGCTAAGCCGTCCAGGCTTCAGCCAAAAAACAAGAATTAACTGTTCGGTAATATGGAAACGGAAATAAAGATTATCTAACTGATTGATGCATTATATGTATTAATGGTTTCTTATATTTATGAGAAGATGTTGGAAAGTAAGCAGTGGAATCGGCACCAAACCAATCAAGCTTTTTTGCCTAGAGTAGCGCAATACCCGGGACAGAGAAGAAGAGCTGGTTGCTTTTCAATTCTAATTCAAATGCCAATAAATAGACAAATTATGATGCACAATCTCCGGATAAATCGACCAGACATTCACGCAATTTATCTTTACATAATCTACTTTTAAACCGATCATGACCAGCGGCTTTTGTCAAGCAGCGGAATCACTCTGACGCAACACGGAACATGCTAAGTATGCTGACAGCTGAATGGGTTTCCTTGCAACTTCCGGTGTGTCTATCAACCACCGATGTACATGTTGATGCAACGGCGTAGCCACACGCCCACGCTGTGCCCTGTTCCTCCCGCGTTCCCCACAAATGGAAATTTGAACAAGAAACACACACATACATATACATCAGTTTGGCCGGGGAAAATGGAAATCAATAGTAATCTCGTCCGTCCCAAAGCGGAGTCAACTCTAGTTACGCCGGCACTTGCCAAACGGGGGATAATGTATTCCGCAGCATCCCTTGCAGCGCTGGGCCCAAACACCGACCAAGTTGACAGTTTACATTTATAGCTAATTTAATTACATCAGCGTCGGCCAATGTGTACAAGATCAGAAAACTAAGGATGGACTGCTTCGATCATTTTTTGATTGTCGGCAAGATTCGCTTATTAAGCTTGTTATTTTATAAATTATCAGATGAGCGGGATTAACCTTGTGCGACGTTATCCGAATTTCCGGTATAAAATTGTACTAAATTTTCTGGTCAAGATCAAAAATAGGTTTCGCAAAAGCTTTATTTTAAATCTGCGCAGAATAGCCATTTCACGAAGAAACAAGTAGAAAATTTAAGGTATTTTTTACCTACTTACACACTAAGTTGTGAGTAAACATGCAAGCACTGACAACTGAGAACAGTGCAAGCAGGAGCTTTGACAATCACCGGTAGCTGAAACAATTTAGCTTCCGGATAAAAATTTAATGGAACATATTAATTTATTCGTTTAGAGTTTAATTTGAACTACACCGATTTGAATATTCGTGCAATACTACTTTTAACCTGACAGATTAGCTTTATGGAGGTAAAGTATACGCAATTTTACGCGCTTAAAAGTGTTGTTGTATTTTAAATTTTTAAGTACAAATATAAAATGCTCATTAAAAAATTTAGTAGCATCTGTAATAGTCGGACTTGTAGTTGCAAGTTACTTTAAGGATTTGTAATAAGCATTCGCGATGCTGGTAAGAACTGCATATTCTTATTTTTTTTAAAATCTACCTGTACCCATGAAATTGAAACAGGTAATCATTGCATACCTTCCATACAAGCGCAGCATCCATATCTTTAAAGAATGTTGAAGGATCCTTCGGCTTGTTGAAAAATTCATCCCGACCTACATTGTGACACCGGGTTACAAATCTGCATCAAAACATCCGTCTCACGAAAATTTTCTTAAATTTTTAATTGCTTGTCTCGGTTTACCGTGTACGGATGACACCGTAATCCAATACGGCTGACACAACAATTTTCCTATAATTACAGACTTTATGCTCACCTAATTTGGCAAACTGTTTCCCGTCAATAGACACCGGCGCGTGGACAAGGTACAGGTCGACGTAACTGGTTTTTAATCTCTTCAAAGATGTACTAATTGCCTCTCGCACACACTCGGGATCATTTTTATAGACTGGAAGCTACAAAGATATCCACGCGTATTTACATATAGGCAGACTATTGATCGCTCCGGTATTTCCCGGCATGGTGCCTAATTACACTCGGCTGACCTTTGTCGTGAGAAATACATCCTCCCGGCTGATGACACCTTGATCCACTTTTCGTTTAATCGCATTACCAATTTCCTCCTCGTTCTCATAGATCAGGGCACAATCAAAATGCCGATAACCAATATCGATGGCATCCTCCACGGCTTTTCCCACTTCACCCGAAACAGCCTAAAGAAAAAAGTTTATATAGGCGAAATGTACGCAAAAACTGCCGATGACGTACACACTTTCCATATAGAATTTTTGTTGCTGTCATACTACTCTAGTCATACATTGATTGTAAAACGACGAATACGAATAACAATAAAGTCAGTTACACATGCCACGATTCGGTAAAAATATTCGGTAATATTCGGTAAAAAAAGGCTTTAAACATTTTTTGGTAGGTACATCACCGTACATGTACTCTGTAATACTTTAGACATATGGCCGTATTCGGCAGAAAACAAGTACAGAGTATGTACTCGTAGTTATGATATGAACTTCTGTATTATTTAAGCACGTACCTAGTCTGAAAACGCTATGTACGAATATCCAATTAGAAAATCAATAATTTATTGGCGAATCTACGTCAATAGTGTTTTTATCCAGAAATTTACTCGTACCTGGATAAAAGACAATTGATTGGTGTGAAAAGTCGAATAGTTTTTTCATCAAAAATCGCTATCGAGCCATTTATGTCTAGTCGAACGGTGCTAACCGATGTAAACACTTGGTACGAGTACATTATCCCTTGCTTCGATTATTCAGTTGATCTATTTCCTACACTGTTTAGTGCATATGAAAGAAAGGTTTCCTTCAAGGCTTCTGTTATGCAGTACAATAACCAGACTTGGGAGCACCTCGAAGGAACTTCTCAGTTAAGGAAGTAGGCTAGATTAAACTGTAATATTACGATTTTCATAGAACTGGATATATGTGCTTTATTTTACTTGCTTTGCATGCATAAATTACGTTTATTAAGCGAATGCGAGATTTGTTATGAACATATTTTCACCAAAGAGAAAATTTTTGAGAATTTCTCTGAGTGGAAGCGTTAACGGTTTATTCCCAAATAGCAAAACATTCAAATAATTTTTCGCTGTGCTCTATTAAATTCATAACTATCATAACTTTCAATCTCCCAATCAGTACCGTGCTTGCGTACTGTCACAAAGAATGTCAATCCCTTTGTTAGATGAACACATTATTCTATTGATCGTACAGCCAAATATTCCATCATAGCAGTACAAGTTTTAGATTTTGGGATACCGGCAAAATATTTGCATTGCCATTACTAATGTAAATAATTAAAGAGTAGACTCCATAATTATTTCTTCTGATACTTTCAATAATTGTACGTATGTATGCGGTAGACAATGCGACATACCTGCCATGTTCCCAGTCCGAGAATAGGCATCTTATATCCGCTACTCAATTCCACATCCGGCACAGCCGATAGAGCGACACCATGGGGATTCCAGACAGCCATGATCACCGGTGGAGAAATAATTAGATATCCCTGGACGCACCGTCTCCCGCGCTATACTAAATATGTGTGTACACACTGCAGCCCGTCAAGTGCCAGAATTTGCCAATTTGAAATTACCGGTTATTATGCGATGTGCGCACGATATGATTATACAAACTGCACTTGGCGACCGTTGGAGATTACGTCAACAATTGCCGCGAAGAGGCGCCCCCGACATAATAATGTTGGGAGAGAGAGAGATCGTGCCGTAGATGACGGAGGAGATGCTGAAGATTATATCGGAAGAATCGGGGCCGGGCCGGAGAACAGAGTTGTGCGCGCTCCTCGCCGGTTGGTGATGTGATTTCCGGCTGGCGTGACCGGCACAATTGGATGGCGGGGCGGTGCAGTGGCCTCGCTGGACCAATCGTCCACTTGGGCACACGCACTTCCGGATCGATTTGACTGGGCCAATGTGCAATGTGTAATGTGTGTGTATATGTACACCGACCCCACGCGCATCAGGATGGGAGAGAGCGAGGGTGGATGGTAATAAATATTTTATCAAGATAACGTCGTCGATAGATGCCTAGATGGAATAAACTGTTGGATAATGCCATTTCCGTTTGTTGTGACAATCGTTCACAGTTTTCAAAAACTATCCAGTGGTACCGGTATTGGATTGGAATTACTCACGCCAGCCAGGCGGATTTTAAGCGCTATTATAATACATCATTAAAACATGATTGTGTAATAGTAGCGACAAAAAATAGCAAAACAGCATACCAGCCAGAAAATGTGCATGTAAGACCGTTTGCTAATTGTGGCGTTGTGGGATCGCTTAATCCTAATCCCTCAATCTTTTAACGCTCTGTTTAATTTAACGAGCTTATAAAAATCCTTAAACCACATTACTTATCGTTAATATAGGAATTTATAAGTTTTGCGGTGCAAACCAGCAAAGTAAACAGCAAAACGTTTTTAATTTTATTGTACATTGGATTTAACTTTATATGTGCGTCGGCTGGCTTAAATTTTGCACGCTTTTTATACACACCCTCTTATCAAGCTAATATTATCGTGAAACTTTTTCTAAATTGTAGTAAAATTAAATGTACACCTCCGGCTCGATGAACATGTAAAATGGTTATGTAGTTACGAAGTTTTGCACTATATAGTCATAACTGAGTTTCATATTCGTACAAATGATCCCATTATTTCGATGGAAATCAATGTTAAAAGAAAATTTCTTAACCGACACGACACTCACGACGAGCGGCAACAAAATTCTGTGCACAAAGCGTACAATTATTAATTACATACTATTCATAATAGTAGATATAATGGAAACCCTGGATGTTGCGTAGAAATCCATGTGAACTTAGCTACCCTATGTTGATAGTCTTTTTGAAATCTCCGTTAAAATACCACTTATGCGAGAAGAAAACTAGGAAGAAAACCACTTATGCAGGAAGAAGACTATAGTTATCCAGATCAAAATTATGTAATCATAAATTAAGGAATTCGTGTGAGTCTTAAACAAAATGCAGAACATTAAAAAAACATCCATGCAGTACAACTTCCCTGTAACACATACATAAACGTACTTACTACTTACCCTACGGGCCCACTGTTAGTGACATACGTACAAAAAGTCAAAAGCCACTCTAATTTATATTGTATGGTAACAATAGTGAACAGAACGGTTCAAGTTTTCGTAATTTTCGCACGGTAGCACGAGTCTCATTGGTTTTTGCATCAACGTTGCCATCTCTCCTTTTTCTGCGTGCCGACTGATCATCCTTATCCGTTATCGCTCTCTTTTGATTATCACTTTTTAACAGAATGATCAATTGCGTGTAATGCTATCTTGTTAAGTTCAGACAGTAGTTAAAGGGTAACCTAATGTCCTTCAGATTCACATGACCTCACGTTTTCCGCGTGCCACATTTGGTTGATATCATCGTACCTGGTGAAATGTCATAATGAATGTAATACACCGGTTTCGCTGTACGTGTCTGTGCAGAGATTACGGTAGATCGTAAGCACAGAATTTATTAGACGACAGGAGTGCACTGTAAGATCTCCTGTGCAACCATGGCCAGAGAAAAAGCAAAGCTGTTACCTATCTGTCAAACTCTGCAACGAAAGCCAGTTCCAAAAGATTGCGAACATGGGCATATTATCGCTGGAAGAAAGGGGTGTCAAACTTTGGCAGGGGGCAAATATGTTCCAGAAACCCCCCCAAACTTGACAAGGGGGACAATGCTAATGTTGCAGTTTATATGGGAAAAAATTATTCGATAGGGGTGTCAACGCCTCAAGTCGAAAAATTTTGTTTCGCGCAAAAACTTTTGGGAAAAGGCGGGAGTCGGATTCCAAAAAAGTGCCGGTTGACACGGACGCACTTGGGAGTGGTTATGTTGCTAACCTAAAAATGTTTTACGAGTGCAGCACTTTAAACCACATAAGTCGGCGAAAGGCTTTAGTCTGCCGTTGCACACCAGTATGCAGTTTCCTAATAAAATGCTGTTGAAATCGTTACACTTGCAGGTTGAAGGATTCATTTGGATTCCTCGTAGACTATTTTACCAGCAAGTCAGAGTTATACAGAGTGGACAGAAAGTCTCAGCGGCTTTCGGGCAACCGACCACCACGTACATGCCGCCTTCCGTATCGGCTGCCGCAAAGGTCGAACGATTACAATTATGAATTAATACGGCCAGATCTATGTACTACAGTGCTACTACAGTCTCGAAGCGGTTTGACAGAAAATATTCTTAGTGGAAAGGCAGATGTCGACGTCGACGAATCTTTATCAGAATCCGAGCGGTTTGGGCAGTCGCGAAAGGATTAATGCTGAAATCCAGTATGACTGACAACTTGACGTCAACGACCAGATTCTGACTAAATGACAAGCCTGGGAACAGTACTTGGCTTCGATCACAAGAACAGTACTTCGATCAGAACAGTACTTGGCTTGGTACACCGTTAAGTGTAAAAATGCTGAAAATTTAACACTATTAGTCCAGCACTTAAGTGTCAGCAGAATGTAATATTCATCCGATTTTATCAAAAAGCATTTACGTAGCTTTTATTACTTTCCTTGTTATGATTGCATGATTTGCATCACATACACACACATTGTGGAATCACATCCAAACACAGACACAAATCACACAATTCAGAGCAAGTCAGTTTTAGCTAAGATCCTGTTCAGCTGCAACTGTTTTCATCTCGTTGAGCGGCGTAATAAGATTTCCGTTAATTTCGACGACATTCCAAGCGTTTCTCATTCTGTTCGGAACGAAAAACTGCCCCCACAGACCGGTGTCGCGGTAAACTTCCACCACCGCACGAGAGTTTGCTAGACCCGAAATGGCATTTGGATAGCTGGCGCCTTTGAAATAATTCTGCACAATAATCCGGTATGCACCGGGTAGTTGTTGTTTAATTACCGTACTTCTGTATACGTAGGTATTGACATCGTGCGATACGAGGTTATCCGGGCTATTTAAGGAATTCCAATACACATGAGATCGATCACTCTTTCCTGCCAATGGTCCTCGCACATGCAATGTCATGTCTAGTACTCCGGAATGGTGTTCATGTTTGCCTCTCAATAGTATTCGAATTTCACCACTCTTTGGCATGGGCGGAATCGCTGTATCGTAAGTCAGTGTTTTCCCGCTAATGACAATAATATTCATCGTGGCATTTATGAATCCCACCTTAGACGCAGTCAGTGTGTAGTACCCAGTGGGTAAACTGGCTTGCCAAGCCCCGTCTGTGAATGTTCGGAGTGAAATAGTAGGAGTTCCCGTAACATTATCAAGCCCAGAACGGAATTCCACAACCGCATCGGCCAGCGATTCGTAGCTACGGGTATTCTTTACGCCAGGTACGGAAGAAAGCGTCCCTTTGACAATCCCAGATCCGCTGTATTGTTTGCTAATGAGCACTAACGGTTCAATATACCCAGCCGTTGCGACCGCACCGTTAATGAGATTTCGCTGTAGATTATTCGCTGTGACTGGATAATAGCCTGTCGCCTCGAAGGTGAATATGAAATTAGTACTTTGTGAGAGAATCAGTGAAATTTCTCCGGATTGGTTTGATGTGATGAAGAACCGTGCATCCAATTTACCCGTTATGGAATTTGTTTTCGTTACATGTACAGTAAAGCCAGTCAATGCTTCCCAGGTATCGCCGTTTCGCACTAACCACGTGATAGTGATGTTTTTTTCGCTTGCAATGTAATGATGCGTAGCACTCTGCCGATCGTTGGTTGTACAATTACTGTCCGCTGACAGCGGTGGCATTACGAATTTTACCGTTCTAGAGGCCGCTTCTTCGTAAGCACGATGCGGTAAATGCAGCGACGTTACGTAATCAGCAATTCGCAGGGTAACAGCTGCCGCAAAGTTACCAAAATTTTGTTGTCGACGGAGTGCAGCCAAAGGAACGCAGTAAAGGTCAACTGAATCAAGAACGAATCTGTCACCTGTCCATCTCACATAACCAGAAGAAGGCGTCAACTCTGCCAACGCGCTACCTGATAAAATTCCAAATTTCTTGTCAAAAAGATTAAACCTGGCAGCAGACAACTTATATACGTACCTATTTCTCCTGAAACGTTGTCCCCTTTTGTCGCTTTTTGTATCCAGTACTTTCCGTTGCTGAACAAGATTTCCAGGTTCTTTGCTTTCAGATCTGGACGATGGACAGTCTCCTTCCAGAATGTGGATTGCCACATGGCATCCGTAAAGTCTTCAGTGGAGGTAACATTTCTCCGAAAACTCTCAGCAACTTCTTCGACCAGGTCGTCCACCTGATCGTCCGTTACAAGTTCGTTACCGGATAACTGTGAATTCAGGCACTTCGTCACAGTTTCTCGTACCAAATCATAAAAATCTGCCTTCTGAATGAAAACATTTTCAGAGTCCGGAAATCGTTCCTTAATCGCGCGCAGCATTGAGGTGGATGCGAGATGAATGGTGAAGTTCTTTTCCGCCACGCTGGGTACGCGATATCCAAAGGTCACGTGCGCATTGAATGCAAATCGCTCGGTATTAGTTAATGACCTTTCGATCTGTTCACACGCTGCAGCGGTGGTACAGGCAATGTTAAAAGTGACCGTTTGCGGAAACTGGGCAATAGAATTCCAGCTCGGCCCGATGTGACTGCCAGGCCAGTTGCCTATTGACACGACGCGCATCCACTTGAAGGGAACTGGTCGAAGTTGAATGTTACTGCTTCCAGTGTGTTGCGAGAGTAATGTATGAATGTGGTTGACGTAATCTTCATTCCAAAGCCTTATCTTAAGCGTAACTGAACGCGGTAAGGTGTTTCTTGGTGAAAACACTGTAGCATTCGGAAGAAATACACAAGCTGGCATATAATAGTATACCGGAGTGGAACCATTGTTAAAAGCTGGATAAATTTCGATGTGATAGCTTTGGTACGGTAAGGTAAAAGCGGGTGCGGACAGATCCGGAGTGCCTATACAGTGTAGATGGCAACTATTAGTAGCAGTTGTTACTTATATACAATACCAATTATTATAACCATTTTAGTAAGTAGGATTTATTTTAGTACGTTGCAAATATTAAAGCAAGTACTTACTCTGTTATACGTAAATATTAAATAAGCATTCGCTCTTATTGCAACTGTATAATTATCACGTTAGATGGCAGCTCATCCACAAAGCCAAGAAACGCTTCCTCTCTGCGAAGCGGTTAAGATTCAGCGTTTAACAAAAGATAAATGTAAATAATATTATTAAGTAAAAGTTAATATATGCTTGATTTCAGTGTGATGCATGGCAAGCAAATCTCATAAGATTCAGCGTGAGATAAGTCTGACCATTACGCTTCTAAGCAGTGGTGCATTTAAGTAAACAGAAGGCCATAAAAGAATTGATGATACGGTAATTATTACCTGTGCGTACGACTGCATAATATATAGATATTAATTTTGTTGTACAATATGTTGTACTCTACCTTGTGACAAGACTCGATTTGCTGTGGATGTACATGTTACTGCGAGTAACAGGATCAGTCGGTAATGCATGTCCGGTAACTGGTTATAATATCCCGGAAGACGTACTAGCAAATGTTTTTAGTCGGTTTTAGAATGCAGGTATCTCTTCCGATCCTCCTGCTCATTAGTACCGGCAACGGAAACTGCAAGATTTAACGTTCCAGCAGTGAAAAGAATGTACACTGCTTCCAAATTTTTAGAATGTACACTGCTTCCAAATTTCTACACAAAATGATTCCATACATCCGCTATTATGTGTTGAAAACGTTTCGAAGATTTCCCATTGCTAGTTAATTATGTACATTGGTCAACATTCAACACTCCCTCCCGTTTTGTTATTCGAGTTTCGATAAAAAATCGTGATAATTAACAGTAAAACGGACATGTACAAAGGAAGAACCGATCGCGTGCAATTGACTGCAATTGTCTGCAACTGAAAGATACAAATGACGAAATAAGGCAAAGGGCTGTTTCGGAGTGCCTTTCCGTCAACAGATTCAAATATGCGATATGAAAACAAGTAAACAAACAGGGCATTGCACTACCCGTGTGGCGGTGTGGGTACATTTCTTAGCATTTTTACAGCGGTGTCCAGATAAACGAAAATAAACAGACTTCTGTTTACTTCGTCTCATCACTTATATAAAAACACTGCACACTTTCAGTCACAAATCTTCTTCCCAAGAACCATAATAATTCGGATTAGCTATAATAACCTGCAAAACTTTTGACTCTGGTATTTCATTAAATTGAAGACTGTCCAGTTAGTCTTTAATGCTGAATCATTCATCGATCGTCGAAGCCAAAATAAATCTTATCGCCGCATCACAAATACTTCGATATATAAATGTTTTGCATCTTGGATTTGTTTCACCATGAATTTAATAACAATAAAGTTAAGTATGCGATTACAATGAAGGTGTCAAATGACGAACGAAACAAACAGAAGTCTGTTTATTTTCATGAACGCTTTCATCTGGACACCGATGCTCAGAAAGGCACCCACACCGGGACTCGGGAGTGGGCTGCTCTGTTTGTTTCCTACTTTCCGCTCTTTAAATTAAATAATTAATCGACCGAAGCGTAACGAAGGTCTTCTATGTTCAGAATTAATAGAAAGCTTGCTGTCCGTTCGTCGGTCCATGACCGAACTACCAATGATGATTGTAGTGTCCGTGGTGATGGAGACATTGCGAAACTGTTGTTCAGCGTTGCGCTCATAACCGACAGAATTATCCGTCGGTTCACAAAAGCGTTCGTCGTAAATCTGCCCTTCCAGCATTGCTGTTGCTTTTCTTTACTGCCATCCGTCAACCGTAACCCTATGCGGACAGTTTTGCCGGCATAAATTTTTGTTTTGCCGAAGTGTAAGGTCTTAACTGGACGGTTCTTAAATGTACCGGACCGGTAAAACTGCCCAACAGGTATTTTTGCTTTTGATATGAGTCGTGGATAAAATGGTAACTCGTTGGCCAGAATGGCGAAATCACTGAAATGAAAGAATGAACGGAAAATTTAATGGATGACCCTTCTGAAGCTTCCAGGAGGGCCAACATTGCCTAATCAAATTGTTAACTTCAGATACATAATTAATCATCAGCAGTAGTGATCCAAGTTTCTTAACATAATCCTGTTGCGCTTCGATCATGCAGTGCCTGCAAAAAGCAACTGCACTATCCTAGGTTAATTATCATAGAAAATCAAACGAAAATTCTGTTCAAAGTGAAATAAAACCAATGACAGAAAAACGAGGTAAGTACCAAGAAGCAAAACCACCTAAATCTCACTCTTTAGCGTACTTCAGCGCCTCCTCTTGTCTCCTGGATATTTCCTGTATAATAATCCTTCGCACCTTCTCCACTCTCGTCAGTCGTCCCCCCAGCTTGTTGGTTCATGTTATTTGTATAAAGACCTCAGAGCTTCACGAACATCGATCTATGACGAGATATTTGTGTGCCGGTGCTTTCGAAACTATTTCATCCCTATTTAGTTTTAACCGGCGTGCTGCGCGCATCTACTGTCGTTACAGTATTCAGAGTATTCACAATACTAGGCGCGAGACATTCATGAAACATGTGACACAATAAGCGGAACGGCCCGGGAGTATCCTGTGATGTTGGTAGTTGTTAAATTAATGTTCGCTGTCCACATAATATATTAACACCTTTTGTGTCGAAGAGAATTCGGGGCAGTTGATGCTGCAACGTTTTAAAGTTTTTTATAAAACCGTTTACGGGTAAATCCATAAAGTTCGGTTGCTTTTTCTGGTTTGATAGTCTAATCATATTTCAGTCTGATTACATACTAATACGTGAAATGTTATAAAAGGTTAAACTGCCAAAAATTCAAAAGCAGCAGTCAAAAACAAGAAATTTGCACTTTGCAGTAATCCGATGATACAGTATTTCAAGACGCGTGATTATATAATACTGTAGTCTGTAGTCTATACTAATTTACGAAGCCGCCAGTGTTTTTCGTGATCGTACGATGCATCAAACATTCAAACTCACAAAAACTGAGAAAAATCATCAATCAGAAATGGTCATCTAGCAACATTTCAATAAGATCCTGGTCTGTTGCGATGTTTTCATCTGGTTCAGCGGTGTTATAAGATTTCCGTTGATTTCGGCGACATTCCAGACGTTTCCCATTCTGTTGGGGACGAAAAACTGTCCCCACAAACCGGTGTTGCGGTAAACTTCCACTACAGCACCAGAGTTGGCTAGCCCCCAAATGACGCTTGGGCTGCTGGCGTTTTGAACGGAAGCCTGCACCGTAATACGGTATGTGCCGGCCCTGCCGGGTAACTGCTGTTTAATTAATGTACTTTGGTATACCGGGCCATGGGCATCGTTTGATATAAGGTTATCCACACTGTCCTTGTGTTTCCAGTACACATGGGATCGATCAGACCTTCCTGCCAGTGGTCCTTGAACATGCAGTGAGTGGGCTACTTCGGGGTCATCAAAAGCAGCTACTCCTCGCCACGATATTCGAATCATGCCACGATCTGGCAGGGGCGTCAACGCTGGATAGTCAATGTGCGTTCTCTCGCTTATAATGTTAACATTCAAAGTTTCGTTGATGAATCCCATCTTGGACGCCGTTAATGTATAGAACCCCGTGTGTAAATTGACTTACCAAGTCCCTTTTTCTGATGTTTGAAGTGAAATAATTGGCTCACCCGTATAATTATCACTCTCGGTACGGAACTCCACCAAAGCATCGGCTACCGGCTTTTCGTAGTACCAGCCACCTTCAATTTCGATCTTAGGTAGGGAAGTCACTGTCCCATTGATAATCCCAAATTCGATGTTCTCCTTGATTCCAGGCGCTGCGACGGCATCGGTAGTATTAAGACTACACAGCTCATAATCCACTGTTAATCGGTTGGTACCCGTCGCCTCTACATATTTTTAAAGCGTACAGTATACGTTATGTTAACGTTTATACTGTATTACGTTCCCATTAGTTTATGTACTTAGCACATAACCTTTTGAGAAAGTTCTTTCTGTTGCGGATGCCCATGCAAGAAATAGTTACAATCGGTACTTCATGTGACATGTCCGATATATGGTTAATCTAAAAAAAAAGCAGTATCTCTCCCGGCCTTCTTGTTTCGAAACGACACCTGCAAACAGGGCCGGCACAAAGGGGGGGGGGGGCGGTCCGCCCCCCTGTTTTCGATTTTTGACCGCCGGGGGGCGGACTGGAAAACGTGGCTGGAGGTGAGCTGCCAGGGGGGCGGAATAAATTTTATTTTTTTTCCGAATTTTTAAAATTTGTTTTTGATTTTTTTAATTTTTCAAAAAAGTTTTTTCAAAAATTTTTATTAAAATTTTTCAAAAATTTCATTCCGCCCCCCGGCGGACGGTCCAAAATCAGTCCGCCCCCCGGCGAATCTGGCGCGCTCGGGTGCCCCCCGGCGGCCTTCCGCCCCCCCATCCAAAAATTCCTTGTGCCGGGCCTGCCTGCAAATCTGTCGATGTGCTTTAAAGGACGAAGTGCATTATTGTTACTAACAATTGTAAATTTCTACACAGTATTTTGCAGTACAGGTGTGTGCGCAAACGCTGGAAAGTTTTAAAATTCGCATCGGCATTCAAATTTGTACTGTACTTTGACTCTTGACAGATTTGTTTATTCGAGATTCGATAAAAAATCGAGATAAATCGTTCACAAAACAATATATGGAGGACAGTGCAGTCCCGGGTTTTGGTGCCTCGGTGCGCACTTTGCAGAGCGACATCCAAGTGTTCACGAAATAAGCAGCCTTCTGGTTAGTCTGTAAGTGATCTGTAAATGTCGCACGCTTGCCAGAGAAAACGTCAGCACATGTCAGCCGTCCCAAAGAATAAAATTCTGATCAAATGTAACAATCCGCAAAGCTTTTTCGAGTACGATAATCCATTGATGCCGATTGTTTCGACTGCTTTCTTACGCTGAATTATTCATCAGCGAAGCTAAAACCTTATCAGCCCATCACAATTTCAACATGATTATAGAAAACATTCCTCCATAAATTTAATAACAGTACAGTCATGCGATTACAATCAAGACGTCAAAATAAAAATTCTTTGAACTCTAATTTAATTACCGTATTATGAAAAACCAACGAAAACTTCAGTCCAAAGTGGAATAAAAACCAATGACAGAAAAACGAGATAAATAACAAAAAGCCGAACAACATAAATCTCACTCCTTGGCCTTCTTCAGCACGCCCTCTTGTCTCCTGGCGCTCTTCTGCGTAATAACCCTTCGCACCTTCGCCACTCGCTTCCCCACAGCCTGGTGATTCTTCTCCTTCTTCACTTTGTAAATTCTCACCAACCAGTGCTCACTAGTGAACGCTTCTTCCAGATGCTCCAATTTAATATCTTTATTGCCGATTTCCACGCCGCGCGCCCGATCATATCCGAATGGCTGTCGGTGTCCTAGCTGAATTTCCCCAAAACGATAATACGACAGTTTGTACATCAGACAATTCAGCAGCGTCTTCGATCCACCGCTGTCCACGCGGAAATGCCCGTCGGGCGAGAAGTAGTCCGTCTCGCGGATCTCGGCCGGATGTTCGCCCTCGGCGATGCGCACCATCCACAGGAATTTGTTGATGTCGTCGCCGGAATAGCCGATGATGCCACCGAAGATCACCAGCACGTAGTCCACGTCCAGTTCGCGCATGATCTTGTACGCGGCGGTTTCGTTGGAGGACATAGCTTTTCCAACGAGAGCAATGTGACTGTTGTTCCACGTGTTGTTATCAACTATTGTCGTCCTATTGCCCATTCCCGCTATCTGATAGCCATAATCCCACCTACAAGCAGTAAAGTTCCGCAATTTATCATGGAAAACTATACAGATACGCCTCGGCTTCAGCAAAACGTGTACTAACATACAATTGTACTGTACATAACGGTCAGAGCAGTAATTATAACATGCCCATACAAGTCCCAAATTTTGTACGGCAAAATAGGACACAAAAGTGTCTGGCCACTCTATTTAAATTAAAAACTATCAGATTTCGAAAAAAAATAGTTGGAAATAATTCACAAATCTTTTCAGCACAATATAAGCGAAGCCAAATCAATGATGTTGCGTATCAATGTGCCCGTGCACTACGGAATCTACATACATACGCTAAATGTACGGCTTCCTACTTATCTACCGTACTAAAAGCAATAATATTTAGCGTATGGCTATCGTTGTAACGCGTGAAAAAAAAACAGTATATCAGGTAATATGGCAGATATCTATCTACAGCAATTACGCAAATCTCAAAAGTCATCAACCGCTCAAAACCAGAGACCACATTTGCCTGGAACACGTCAAACAACACACAAGCTCGCATTTGTAAACCAGAATCCGGATCTCGTTGTAACTGTCTCACCAGCTCATAACAGTCGCCTTCTCTTCCGTATTCTGCCACAACCAATAATAAGCTTCCCGGAAATCATCCAGAATATTCCGACTTCCATCATGTCCGTACGTGGCCAGCACGATACTGGGTGAACTGTAGGCGTTGGATGTCACCCAGGTGCAATGGACCGCGAACAGCACAAGCAGGATGCAGATGATCCCCGTGACAATGTTTCGAACACTGATACCAATCCCGGTGGGATCATTCTCGCCCAGTTGAGCAGCAGCCGGCGTCTTCTGCGCCTTGCCGGCCTCATCGAACATACTCTTGGTCCGGTCCTTGGATTTCTTCGATGAGCTGGCTTCCGACACGGTCGTGTCGGTGGTGGATGCCCCGGCTGAGCCGTCAATTCCCATCAAGTAACTGTCCATGACCTAAACAAAAAGGAAAAATATTGAGAAAAACGATAATTTTGTACATTTACGTAAAAAACTGTTTGCAACCGGTAAATGTGTTTTAATTACTAACAGCCTAATTGCCATCAACGGCAGGCGAGTCCAATAGCCAACACACTACGAATTTGACGCTACAATGCGCATGCCACTACGTAGTACGAAGCTAGTTAATTCCCAATCGCTGTAAAAGTTAGGCGAATGCGAAATAGTAATACATCCGGGAAAATAAGTGAACTAATAAACAGAAGTACATACTAACCAAAACGGTTTTTTTAGCTTTAATTCCTCATTCGATGCAAAGCCCAAATTTTCTTGCATGTTTTTACCTGCGACAGCGCAATTCCAGCCAGGATACACACGACCGGCGTCAGCGTCAGCATCAACCGAATCATCACACCGGCAAAGTAGGACGCCGTGGCGGCGTACAGCACAATGAACACCCTAACATCGTTGATGTTCTTGATGCAGTAGTAGGCTCCCACCGGATACAAACACACCAGCACATGTAGATCGAAGAAGAAGGATGTCTACAACACAGACCCCAGTGATGACAATTACAATGTGGCTTACATCAAATGTGTCGGCATTCTCTCGTGAATGATGGCTTGTGACAGCCGGCGATCCCCGTGACCCTCATTACAACTGGCAATCAAGGATCCGCCGACTGACATAGCTGGCGATCGATTATGTAAATATTGAGAAAAATATTATCCCCATCGTGCCAATATCAGGAGTGCACCAGATACTCGATACGGCAATTTTACGACCAAGCGTAAAACAAGAAAACTCATTGAGGAAGTAATTTTCACGATGATGCGCCGTAATTAAAACTACCGCGAAACCGGCGCGAAGCTACCTGTTCCATTTACGGTCAGTATTTAGGTCTTTATATGAGCAAGATACTATCTATATTTTAAAAACGAAAAACATCCAAAAGTTCACACTAAAATCTAAGGCAATGTCAAATAACGACACACAAGCCATGAAGGTTCCAACAACCAGAGCCATTAACCTACGAAATTTCTTTCTTCTATCAGTGTAAGTGCTTGGGTGTACAGACGTCAAAATAAAATACAATTATTTAGTAAACAGCAGTACGAAAATAGTGTATTCGAAACCGAAAAATATGTCAACATCAAAATATCCCACTGTTTTCGCTACAAAAAGCATTAAGGAACCAATTAGCCTGACAGGCAAATGCAACCAAAGCCATTTTTCTACGAACCACCTTCTTTTTCCAACGTAAGAGCTTTGTGATAGACACTACAGAAATTAGTCTTTTCTACTAAATGCTAATTAAGTTTAACGTCAACACTATTCCTGACAGATTCGTTCGTACACTAAATCCAGTTGACACTCACCCAAGTGGTCGGTTGATGCTCGCTAACCGACGCAATAATGGGGATGTGGATCTTGGCATACCCGGTATCCCACAGACTGTAGAACCGCCCGCTCCACGGAGCAATATATCCCAGCGCCGTGAGGCCCACCACCACCGCGAACACCGCCCCGGCCGCGCCGCCCGCCAGCAGCCACAGATTAATGTGCTTCTGGAAACGCTGGATGTACTTCAGGAAGGCGTAGGCCTGCAGCAGGGCAAAAACGCCCGCGGCGGCCATATGCTCGCTGGTGCGGATGGGCTGGAAGCCGACAAAGGGGATCTGCATGGACAGGATCAGGCCCAGGATGAAGAAGGTGGAGTAGGCCACGTAGATGCGGCTGGTGAAGCGGCCCATCAGCAGCAGGACAAAGACGTGCAGCGGGATGAGGTTGATGATGAACACGTAGCCACCCCAGGCGGATACCATGTAGAAATAGGCCAGGGCGCTCAGGGCCGACCAGTAGACGGATCCCGTGGAGACACTCTTGACCTGTCAGTACACACAGCACATATAATGCGTGAGTCCGCAGGGAACGTCAAAAGTAATTAGCCAAACTCGAAGCGGAAAGCCAAATTGCATCTCTAATTAAAACTGCAAGTGTTTACGCAGACAATATCAAAATGGAACTTTTATAGTTAATAACGAGCTAATTCAGTGTTAAAACAGGCGTATATATCGCGCTGAGAAAAATTAATTTTGCTTATGGTACCGCGAATGCTGTTCGATACTCGGGCGACTAAATTTGTGCTGTACTAAATTTGTTTTCATTCAAAAATAACATCGTTAATTAAGTATAATAATAATATCAAATGAAAATCATTGTCACATAGTGCTGCTAAATTAGGAAAACTTTAGCTATGCGCAAAAGTGCCAGTAAATAATCAGCGTCTTACCCATAAATAATAAACAAATATAAGAGCAAAAATGGCGATGCCTTCATTATCATAAGAACCGGCCACTGATCGGGAAATGTATCCAGGCACAATGGCGATAAAGCAGGCAGCAAACAGTCCCGCTCCCGTGCTCCATAACTCCCGGGTCAATAAAAATGTAGCAATGGCTGTCAGGCCACTGAATATGGGTGCCAGAAAGACACAAATATCACGAATATGGACGGGAATGTTCAACAGACTCAGCGCGTAATGAATGGCGCCGGATGTTATCATCAAACCGGGATACACCTGAACATAATAATACATATTATTATTGCTCATAAAAATAAATTATCCGACAAGACGACAAAGTTCAACGCCATGCGATAGGAATAAACCAGTAAAAAGCTAAAAACTGTAAATATTAATTAATAATTTCCTTCATAATCACATCGTGCGTCATATTTATCACTGACAACGAGACAGAAATAGCTCGAAAAGTGCGCTACGAAACACTGCACTATGATATTTACTATTTCAGTTAATTACTTATGATAAGTACGAGTACAGAATAAAGTACATGTTCGATTTATTTTCTTTAAAAAAAATCTTCAACAGTTGTCCAAAAAATGTTTTTTTCGAAAAATGGTTGTTTCAGCTGTCAGATTTTCGACAACCCTTACTTATCTTTTTAATTAGCAAAGTAACTATAAGTCTATAACAGTGTTTTATGCGCGAAATTTTAGAGAATTGCAGATCTGCTGAGCTACATGACAGAATCACGAACAGCGGCAACGAAAATTACCTACCCCCACAAAAACGCTAACACGGGAAAATTTTCAGAACATAAATTAGACATGTACATGCCCCACAAAAGCTGCTAGAAACAGGAAATAACTTCCGGAAAAAAAGCAAAGTGTATAAAAAGACTATATTCTTGCAGGGAATTAATAATATAAAACATGTTTGATGTTTCAACCTTACCGTGCCTCCAACGATGCGTCCCAGCGGATACCAGGCACGCTCATCGAACCAGTTTAGAAAATTATAAAACCCGTTCTTCACCATGTAGTGCGTGGCGCGATAATTGAACCACGGGTCAAACTCATGGATAATGGCTTCAAACCGCACCACCGCAAACAGACGTGAGCAGAATCCGACAATCCACGCTAACGCCAGCACCAGTATCGGGAAGAGCGCCAAAAAACCCACTTTCCCGGCGATCAGCGGCCGTTTCGTCTTCTTGGCCACTTCACTGCTGGCCGGCTTGGTGTGCGATTCCTCCGGACTGCTCTCTTCCACCTCCGTGATTTTTGCCATGTTTGCAGTCGAAAATACTGATAAGGGAATACGGACTGCGGAGCGCGAAACACCAACGAAACTGCAAAATTTAAAAACACCATATTTTCATCTTCTGACTGTCAATCGACTTGTCAAACGTCAGCACAGTGCAAATCACGTCGCTGATGGTGATGCTCATGGATCTTAAAATCATCTGCATAAACAGAAGCTTGCAAACCATGGTTTTGCAGCATTCTCACCTTGTGGAAACTGACAGATTCTGACTGAGACGATCTTCACTGCTGTTCAACGAGAATTACAAACGATAACACTGCGGTTTCGCATCCATGAGACGTCAGTACGTGCCGTCCCGAGTTCCGCGTGCATTCAAGAGATTCGACAGGAATTATTACTGGTGATAAAAGGGAGCAGAAGAAAAAGAATTAGCCAGAGAATCAACAAAGCAAAAAAACCGATAACATGGTGAAAATGTGTTTGCCTTTCGATCCGGCTCGCCAGCTCAAATTTCGCGTTGGCACAATTACAGTTTCTCGCAGGCCAACTCATCAACATGCATTCCAATGGAAGTGGAATTGCAGTGGTGGTCCCATCGCTCTGTAGCCGGCATTCCACAAAATATAAGACTAGAAGTTCCAAAACGGCATCCGTGACTTCTGCATGGCGTCTGCATCTTTACTTTTTTCATTGAGTAATTAGTATCTATTCAACACTTTTAAATGTCGCAATAGAAGTGCATGCTATAACCGGAAATGCACGCAGTCGGATCTTTCGATCTTTCCGACCACGGCTATCATGGAGTACAGACTACAGTTTCACACACGTCCGTACTCCGTAGTAACTTTGAGGTGGGAAACGTAGTGTAGTGGTTGCTAGCTCCCATCAGGCCATCTGGGGTTGCAACATTCAAAAAGCACGCGTGATCAGTAATCCCACTATTACACAATTTGGTTGATTTAGTACTTGATTCCATTTAAATTTTTGAAATCAGCTTTTTTATGTTTAGGATTACAACAATTACACGGATTTTTCCAAATATTCTCATTACATGATGGAACCACTACTGATTCACTAGGTATTATTATAGCCAATTTAAAGGTACTGTAACCTTACTGTCCTAATTGTAAGTGTCCTTACATAACGTCAACACGTTTGTCGACGCATAAATGTGGCTTACAGTTCGGTTGAGAAGTAAGAAAATAATTACGTACCCACCAATGCAACACTACCGATAGAAACAGTTTGCAATTTTTTCTCCGGTTTGAGTAGAAAATGTGCAATGATGTTGCGGGGTACTATTCAGCAACCAGCACGGACCGGTGAGCAGTGTGTAAACTTTGCTAACATTATAACGTGTAAGTAAGCCCACTTCTAGTTACAGTGCTTATCGTTAATGAACACCTAGAGCTTGCGACGTGATTCATGAAATTTCTTTAAATTTTCATTCAAAATTGTTCAAAGTCGAATAAAGGCGCGCAACAAATGCCAATAATTGTAGCTGATTCCAGCCAACAGAAATCCAATCCAACAAAAAGCGCAAAAAAGCAATCATTCCGCAGAAAATAATTAAAGGGGGAAAAACTGGAAAACATCATTCCACAAAAACAAAAACTTCACTCATTCCACCGAAGGTTAATAATCACAAAAGAGACAAAACTGTACTGCATCCTTAAAAACAGTATGGAACACACACCGCAATGCCGGATCTATACAGTGCAAGAAGAACCACTTATACAAACGGGCACATGGCGTATGGGCAGACCAAGCGGGGATTAATTATACACCGGCGTTAATAAAAAAAAGCGCGCGTTTAAATAATTAAACTGTCCAGAATAGCATATGTACCAACAAATACAACTTCTCTCAACAAACATTGGGGCGTAATTCCAACTGCACACATCATGCTCTTCGTCCGCAAGCAGCATTTCACGGCAGCAGGCTCATGCTTTCGTGCTTGATGGAGAGCGACGGCGGGGGCTGCGGCTCCACCATGGTGATGCCCGCGGGTGTGGTGCTGCTCGTTGTCGGCGTGGATGAGGGGGTCGTCGCCGCGGCGGCGGCGGCTTCCTCCTTCTTTATCTTCTTGCGGGTGGGCGTCTGACCGGTGGCCTGTAATGACTCTTTGCGGCGGAGATCGCACAGGATCTGCGACATGAAATGGTTGATCTGCGTCTCACTGGGAATGGGGATGCCCACGTTGTTGCAGTGATTGGCTACCGCTTCTGCAAAGATCAAAGAATATTTGTTTGTAATTCTCTCAAATTCGACCTCAATCCTCGTGCATCCACCGGCTGCAGTACAAATTAATTTTATTAACAACAATTAAAAATACTCATCATCTAAAGTACAAATGTCAAAACTCATTTACAATCAAATTATAACTCATTATTAAACATTTCTTCAAATAAAAACTCTTTACTTCACATATCTTAGTATCTACATCTATTAAGTAAGTACATACATAAGCACCACATTCACAGATACGTTGATGTACCGCACTTTATTTAAAGTATTAACTTTATGCTTAGCAATATGCTAAGACTTTCGAAGCCACCTAGGATCTACTACTTTATTAAAACTTTAATAACGTGGAAAATACTGAAAAACAAAAAAACTGTTTGTAAAAGAAATCGCGTCGTGACTGACAAGGTTGAACACGTAACACCCTACTGAAGTACGTCTTCGTTCTTCGTAGTACAGTGGCTTATCCGCGCCCGACGATCCCCACAGATCACCATAGCTAGACAAATTATTAACGAAAACTTTTGAAATGACTGAACTGTATGAACCAATTTTTCCAAAAATTTGGGGAGCAAGCAAACTCAAGGAAAATTTATTCACTCTTTAGTACGCATACGGTACCTGCAATGACGCGGCGCTTTTCCGTGTCCATCGGCTGCAGTCCAGTATCCACGGTCTTATCCACCCGACGTCCCACCACACACAGTCCAAGAAGCTCTTGAGGAGTGTGAAGACTGTAGAGATTGTTCCGCGCAATGGCCTTCCAGGACGTCGCCAGAGATCCCACCTAACACCGTACAAATGCGCGTAAATCAGAACGTAAACCAAACGAGCGAAATACACTCGAACTGCTCACCTTGTTTCCGGTGTGGGGCGTTGTCGGGGTCGCTGGTATTTCCCGTGGCGGACCATTCGGGGCGTTGGCTGCAGCAGGGCGCTTCTTTCGGGATTTGGCTTTCTTCGGCGTGGCCTGTGCTTGGGCGACTGGCTGGGGGGCTTGCTGCAATATCAATGAGATACAAGTGAATACCAGTGAAGCAATCGTCCAATAATGCAAACACCGACAAGTACACTTGTTCTTCCAACTTCAACAGACAACAATGAATAACCAACACTTACCGAACCGGTCACCACTGAAGTCGCCGCCATAGGAATTGAATTAGTGGGCAGAAGCTGTCCACTGGCATCGAAGATCCCGATCACCGTTCCTCCTGGGAACGGACTCAGAGAAGGCACAGACGCCACCGATGCCACGGAATTCTGCATCTGCGGCACTGCTGCAAAGAGCCAAATAATCAGTTCAATTACGATTAAAATTAGTATTATTTTATTAATAATATATATTATCATCGCCATTATTTAATTATTATTATATATTTTTATTCATTTATTTAATGTTCTCTTTATTATTAATTTTTTATTATTGCATATCTTACTTATTTATTTAATATTATCTTTGTTATAATTTATTTACTTATTCATTATCTCATAAAAACTTTATGATTTCATTTTATAATATTATTTATTACTGAAACACAACCATGAAAAAAATTCTTACTTTTTACAACCGGATGTGCGGCCAGAACAGGCGCACTGTGCGTCTGATGCCCGGAGTTGAGGCAGGCTTGTGTGGCCGGCCGTTTACACACATTACAATGCGTGGCCACATTGACCGCCGCCCCGCGTCCCAACCGCTCCAGCCAGTGGGCGGCGTTTTTGATTTTGGAGAAATCCCGCCCGCTGTTGAGCAACATGATGATGGCATCCATAGTCTTCAGGTCGAGATTGTTGGCCAGCATCAGGGAGAGCAGGGCCAGATCGGCCTGCAGGTCGTGCGTGTCGTGGATGGTCAGGGTGGTCCCGGCCGGGTGTTGAGCGGTCGGTTGGATCTGGATGTGCGTCGGCTGGCTGGCCTGGATGTACACTTTCTGCTGGTGTTCGGTGGGGTCGGCGATCATAGACGCCGAACGATTGGACATGAAGGTCGGCTGACTGGGTTCTGGCACAACTGCAAACCGAAAATTTCCATCAAGATTGTGCGAGGCGACTGGAAGAAATCAGAATAACACCCATTATTTGCAAAACATATTCCGTGCAAATTCCTGCAAGCGGTTACCAATTTCTATAACACATAGTTGCAACTTTCGTATTAATCCAACGTGCGAATGATTATTGTCAATTAAATTATCATAACTTTAATATTACGTACTCATAATAATCTTAATAATACTGTAGTAATTTTTCATTACTCCCAGTTTACAGCTTACGTGTTGTAATGCGCGGTAATTCATCGTATTAATTTTATTATTTATTGTAGTAATTTCAATAAACGTAATAGTTTTTCATTTTTTTCAATTTTACAGCTTACGTGCAGACGGTGCAGTAATGCATGTGCCGCGATTTATAACTGGATTTTCTAATAATGCAGTTAACGCTTATGAGCTCGCTCACGACCGAAAGTTGCCGCCTGAGGATGCCGGGGCAAGTGATCAGCCTGAGCGATGTCCAGACGACACGCTGAAGGGTGCCGTCGGTCACCCAGGTTATGATACAAGCCGCGCCGGACACCCCTTTATTGAAATCGAATTGGTACAAGCAGTATGAGAAAGAAAAACACGAGATAAAACACCGAACAACGTTGAGATACAATACAATGCGCATAAACGGGCGGGCGGGAGGGTTGCGAATTTTTCTGGCCGTGAAACTGCGTGTACGTGGCAAAGTGGCCCTGGAAGCATTCTGAAGGATGCAACCATGGTTGCCAAGACACGTGAGCTCGCTCTGCGTTAACGTCATTTAACGCTTGGGCGTTAAATGGCTTTAACGCTTATGAGCTCGCTCACGACCGAAAGTTGCCGCCTGAGGATGCCGGGGCAAGTGATCAGCCTGAGCGATGTCCAGACGACACGCTGAAGGGTGCCGTCGGTCACCCAGGTTATGATACAAGCCGCGCCGGACACCCTCAAACCGACAGGCAACCCCCAACCGCGCGGAGGCACACAGGAGGACTGCAAAGAAAAAATTGGGTTAATAATTAAATTTAGCAAAATAATTTGAGAAATAATTGCAAACTCGATAAAGAAAGCGCAACGAACAAGAATCTAGACAGAATTCATTTGATGAAAACCACGAATGTGTGTTGTATCGTAACACTGCTCGCAGACGTGTATCCGGTGGTGCGGGCAGGGCGTTGCACAACGGCCATTATTATAGTCTCGACAGATAACAGGGCGAGGACTGCGCGAAACTTGCTGCGGAGTTGCGAGGCTTTGTGTAGAAGAAGTGCTCAGGCTGGGAATGGTAGGGCTACCGGAACCAGTAGGGCTCACCCCGGCGCGCTGTGGGCAAAGGTTGGCGTAGTGAAAAGGATCCTTGCATATAAAGCAACCGAAGGGGGGAATTCCGGAAGTTGCAGGAGTTGTGGATGCATGAACAGCGGTGGCTAACAACTGGCTAGAGTTATCGCTTAAAGGTACAGAGCGCACCACATCAGCCATAATTGCAGAATCTTCAGAAAACCAGGCCAACTCAGCTACATCTGGGAAGGTCATTTTCTCCCGGAAACGGCGATCGTATTCAAGCCAGATAAACAATGGGCGCGATACGGACAAACCACGGATTATCTCAATATATGCGAAAAAACAAACGTTCTGAAACGAGCGAAGAGCAGAAACGCCTCCAACCACGACAGGAAACTTTCAATTTTTCGACGAGCGGGTGGAGCAACAGAGGGAACCAACTTTCCCTCAGCGTCAGACACAAATACCGTCCGTTCATTAGATGTGTCAAAATCGCGATTGTTTGGCTGCAGTTTGTTAAGATGAACGAATGCTCGCCGATCTGAGAGCGTCTTCAGGATCGAATTCTCCATTGCAGGTAGAGCCATGTATGCTGGTGGACGGGCGGGTGAGTTCACTTGGGTATTAGTGCCCACCAGATCAACTAAAGGAGGAAAAAACTGTTGAACATGGGGCATGGGGGCCACCACCCGTTGCTTGTCCATTAATGCGGTCATCTGGCTTTGTAGATTCGAGATGGATTCGGTCAGTGAATCAAGCTGGGTTGGGCGTTTCCCTCTATTAGATTTACGTGCTGGAGATGCCATTTCTACTTCTGGTTCCGACACTGAACTTCTAAGACGTTGCGCCTTTTTACGCGGCATGATAAATAAGGTCCTTTAAAGGTTTGCGAATTTAAAATTTGCGAATTTTTCTGGCCGTGAAACTGCGTGTACGTGGCAAAGTGGCCCTGGAAGCATTCTGAAGGATGCAACCATGGTTGCCAAGACACGTGAGCTCGCTCTGCGTTAACGTCATTTAACGCTTGGGCGTTAAATGGCTTTAACTGTTAAAGGTTTATGTTAAAGACTAAATCAGGATCCGGTTTTCACGTTAAATTGAAACTAATTTAAGTCTGAGAAAAATAAGCTGCAAACATTTTAAAGGGTGGCGTTGAAATCAAATGAAAAAGTGACCACTGAACATCCCAGTACAAAAACAATGGAACAGCTGACGCCATTAATCTTCATAATTCCCTGGGGAATTCCCTCATGTCCGTACCTTGTTGATGCATGTGCATCATATCATTCATCCCCCCGGTCGTCCCGGCCCCCTTGCCCCCACTGGCCACGCCCTCCCCGCCCATCCCCCGCTCCCCACAATCCCGGCACACCCGGTCCTTGTGGACATTGACCACATGGCGTTTGGCACTGGACTTCACCGTGAACCACTGCTGACAGCCATTGCACTTCCAGGGTTTCTGTTGGCGCGGCGGCGTCATATCCTTGACGAACAGGGACTGCTGGCACACCACACAGTGGACATCCGCCACGGCACTGTCACTCTGACTACTGCTGCCTGTGCCCCCGGCGCTGCTGGTGTCCTGCGGGGGTTGCTGCCCCAGCAGACTGGGCGGCAGCACCATGGTCGGGGGGTTACTGGACAGGCTGACGGTGCCGTTATGCATGCCTGCTGTATATCTATACAGGGATCGATGCAGACCAGACCACGGGAGGAAGATTAGTCACCTGCAAAACACACACACTGGAGATGCTGCGGATGCAGACGGGATGCTGCTGCTGGCCTCTGACGTGGCATAATCGGGAGTCGAATACTGTCCATGGGACAGGATTATTCCTGTATCCCGCTGCGGACGACATACACTTACAAACCTGGTTCAAATCGCTCCGCTAATTTGCTCGTCCTTTTATTAAGAAAGAAAAACTGGACTGTTGTACGTACTTATCAGAGAACATTCAGAAAAAGATTTCACCCAATTGTACGATACGAGTTCGTACCTATTCTGTACGTACAAGCTAAGGTACTCCGTTTGCAGATGCAAGTATCATATGCCTCGGCTAGGCTTTGAAAACACGCTGCATGGCTCGCTGCAGACAACTATCACTGTGCCTGGTCTGTCTGCTGAATGCTGATACGAATGAAGTCAAATCGCTTTTCACTGCGATGTTTTCCGAAATGCTCGACGCCAGTGGTGGCCGGCTGGTGTGTCGCGTGCATTTCCGTGGGCGTGGCGCAGCTTTTCAACCAATCATCACGCGTAAGCGGTGATATTCCGCCTCCGACACATTTTCCGCCTCACCCGCACACCACTGCCGCCAATCAGTCGATTGATCAATAAATGCCGCGGCAGATTCGTGAATACTTCTATTAGGACTGTCAAATATCAGCAGCCTGCTTGTATCTGCGGCACGACTGCTGCGCACGTATCGGTTACTCATTTTTTCCGCTATGACTAAGAGAAAAAAAGTGAAACATGTTCCCACCACTGATAACGGATACACTCGTAGAAATAAACACCAAATCTGACAGCACCGTGAATTCTGCAATAAATCTGCATTCAGTGCCATTCACTACCATGGACAACGCAACACAACAAGCGCAACCTTGTTAAGAAAAATAATCTCACATAGCTTAATAACATGTAATTAATTTTTTTCTTCATGTGTAATAAATTTGCTAATTAGGTGCTAAAAAAAACGAGGTGCGAAATTACTAATTAGGGGCAGATTCGCTAATTAATTAGCTGTAAATGTGCTAATTAGGCGTCAATGACTCTACTGTAGGTAGTTCATATTTTCGCTCAGTTACTAGTTATTAGGTTAATTAATTAAACCTCATTATCTTAAAACTTATTGACGAACTACAGTAAGTACAGCGTAATTACATACAGTTTAATGCAGCCTGGATCACTACGAATGTTTATTAGCAGCGCAGAATAATTTTAAAGAGTTGACAAGCGGTCATGAATGTGAGCGCGAATTATAAAACCGAGCTCAACAGCTCGGTTTTCTAATTCAGCAACTGATTCGCCATCTGACCAATGCGCGCGGCGTTATCAGTGAATCTGTCTGACTCACAAATCAGTGCGTGAGTTGCTGCGCACTCGAGAGTTTTGACCTAGATACAATTCGCATCAGAGTCCCAATACGTAGCATATTTGACAGCAACATATATCGTTGCGTGCTTTTTCTATCTCGTATGTACTCTATCTGTACGCGGCCATGCATGTTCCGCGACGGCGTCGCCCTTCGACTGTTTACCATCACCATTAAAGCCAACCGGTTTGATTTCTCCACCATACGACTGTTTACCACCATTCCGCTTGTCGGTTCGTCCCGACGAGAATATTAAAATGCATCATACCGTGAGTTGAAATAATCCGCTCAGATACTAAACCAGACGATCAATACCAGCCAACCAAAAGTGCCGTGTATTCAATCAGCGAATACACCATGCAAGTTGCAACCACTTATACACATTCCACAGCGGGCTTTAACATTTAACAATGAGCGGTCCAGCGGAAATGGAACTTAATAATAATTGTTAAGTAAGTAATTCTACAAAAATGGACGCCGGAGAAATAATCTTTCGAAAGCACAAACTGATTCAGGAATATTCCGCAGACGAAATATTAAACAAAAAAAGAGACGATCGACGCGACAATCACTTCAGCTGCCTCCCGGTCCGCTTCTTTTTATTATCCGTAGGCGGCGGAGGGGGCGAGAATGCAACTCCTCTTGGGCGTTTCTTCCCAGGCACTGCCGGCGAAAAAGTCTGAGCAGGCCATTGGAGATTCGGCAATAGTGCCATCAGATGCGGTTTCAATTCTTTATCCTGCAAATTTTGTGGATTACTTTATACTATAGGGAAATTCAGAAACCACAATAATCAGAGCTTTCAAAAATCGTCTATCCCGGTAAGCCCATAATAATTGCATGTAGAAACCAGACCTGGGCAGTTATAGAAAACTGGCCCACAGTTAGAGTTAAGAGTTACAAGGAGCGTGCGAGTTACGCTAAGAGTTAAGGTATTTATGCAGGAAAACCGAGTTTCGAGTTACACAGCGAGTTACGCTACCATAGACAATATATAGTATTTTTATGAGAGTTGAGTTAGAGTTAAGTTTTCTTCTGAGCGAGTTACGCTAAAGAGTTAAGTTATAACTCAATAACTCGAAAATAACTCGCGTTAAGTTAAATAGTTAAAATTAACTGCCCAGGTCTGGTAGAAACCAAACAGACAAAAATCTAAGAGAAAATGAAAAAAAATCTTACGTTGAACCATTCATGACTCCAAACTTGGTCAATAGTCAGCCGTTCTAAGGGATCTTTCTTGATGAGCTTCTCACAAATATCTCTTGCTGCAAAACAAAACACATTTTGTATTGTATGCAACCATTCGAAAATTACCAATACAGATATTTCAAACATGTACATTTCATAATTTAACTTCATATATATAATATGTATATTCGATAATTCAACTGCCGCTCACGACAACAAAAACTTAAAACTGACCAGAAAATTCATTACAGAATTTTTTTTAAATGCAATAAAACTGTACGAATTTACGGGATCATTTGTACAGATACCCGGTACTTGTACGAATTTACGCGACCAGAGACGGCCATACTAACTGATGCAATAAGCCTGTCTTCCCACTTACCGGCACGATCAATTTCTCCCCAAGCACTTTCGTACCACTTCACTCGAGCAGTTCTAATCTGCTCCGGTAACGACATATCTGGATAACTATTCGAGAACGGAGCGTAATTCACCAGCCTACAATTCAAGAGAATTCCCAATTATTGGAAAAACAGCAAAACTCTTATCTCTATCCACATTATTATTGTAAACTCAACCTTCTTGAGCCGCACTGTACCGGTACATTCTAATTCTTAAAATCTTATAAGCAGTGCAAATCCTAATTTAGAAATGTCTATTTACAAGAACACCGAGAAATAATTATGCGAAAGTGGACGGAGAACTTACAAAGTAAACAGGACAATCCCGATACTCCAGCAATCGACGGCTTTAGTATAAGATCCACCGTTGCCTTCTACAACCAAGATTTCCGGCGCAAGATAGGCTGGTGTTCCGCAGAACGTTTTCAACATAGTTGTTTCTGTCATCAGTTTGGACAGTCCGAAATCAGTAATCTAAAAGCCCCATAAAGCTAGATTACCTACAGTGATCCAGCACAACCTCTAAAAACAATGTAAAAACTGAAAACATAGAAAAGATTTGCCGTGTAGAGTAAGTATCATTTCCCAATTAACCATGCTTTTACCTTAATGACAAGCTTATCTATATCACCAGACGCCAGGATGTTTTCAGGCTTCAAATCTCTGTGCGTAATTCCCTGATCATGAAGATACTTGATGGCCAACACCATCTGAGCGAAGGCATTTTTCACGAATTTGCAGCGCCGTTCTGCTGGTTCATTCGCTAACCTGGGAAACCTGAAAAACAAACATCGATAAAAAGCGGCAAAATAAGGCGACGGTAAGAGAAGAGGTGCACAACTTACCAGTTAAAGAGATCTCCTCCTTCCGCCAACTAAAAAGACGAAAACGAATTCCATTAGATCTCATATATGCGGCGAAATATACCAAAAAACGAATGCAGTAAAACGCATCATCAACAGCAGAACTTATGCTTTTGCTGCAACTGAATCTAATTCTCCAGTTTTTCTGTACTCGAAGAGAGCGATTAGAATGCCAAACCTCGTACTATACGTAAATAACCGGTCTCCGCAAAATTACCTCTAACACAACAAAAACCTTATCCGACGTTTCCGACACTCCAAACACTTTCACAATGTTAGATGATCAATCTTGCGCAAGATTTCCACCTCCCGTCGATCCCAGTCCTGTTATAAGCAAATAAGCTGTCCATCATTGCAAAATACATAAGCCTGGCAGCAAACTGCTGCGAGTTTAAGATCGAAGAGCTTTACCGCTTCCGTTGTGTCACCATCCAGTGGCGTTTCTTCCGGAATTTTCTTCGCCACCAGCAATTTACTGATGATTTTGACCGCATACTTCTTGGCCGATTGTGTCTTGTCAAAGCACAGATACACCGTGCCACACGCGCCTTTACCCAGCTGCTTCGACACATGATACTTGGCGGCAAAATCATCCGGCACCGGAAAGGGAAGGTGTTGGGCTCGTTCTTTGAAATACCAAGCTAAATACAAAACCAAAACATAAATTTCGCGAGTCACACAAATGAACCAACGCATTCCTAATATAATTAAGTTACCGTCATTTCTTGCCCAAGCCAAAGAAATCCTGTCTCCGGATTTCAATATCTGCTGGTTCCCTTTTCCTAGAAGAAAAATAAAAAAAACTTGAATAGTACAAACCTAAAACCATTAGGCCTTAGCATCACCAAACTGTCTCAAACCAATCGCTATTATTCGCTACACGCATCAATCACGCAATGACGCATAGTTGATTAATGGTAATCTCTGTACGCACCAAGGCACCATCAACAAAAAAAAATTCACAGAGCAGAACTCGTGTAAATTGTATTTCAAGCACAAATCCGTTGACGGTAAAAATTTAAGCATTTCATTTAGAAAATTTGTCTCTACACAGTAATATTTTTTTTATAATCATTCCTGTCCCGTCCTACGGTTTCTTAATTCTGATTGATAACCGTACGAACCGATTTTTCTACCATCCACAAAAGTTCCATTGGCGCTCTCATCCCGCAGCGCAATAAGCGGTGGATTTCCATGCACCTGTATTTCCAGAAAAATGATTTCTTGAATAAAGAATTCAGTGGATCATCCACGACACAAGGAAAGCGAGCATACCGACCTTCACCAGGGAGAACTGAAGCTTGGAGAACATCTTCTTCATCTTCTCATGCTGCTCCGTCTGCGACGTCGTGGAGCCGTCATTCAGGTCGTTCAGATTGTAGTCGCAGTCGTGATCGCGGCCGAACGTGTGCGTATCCTCCGTTACACCTGGAAGAGAACAGTTCGTAGTTTTCGCAGCTTTTCTGATTTCAGCGCTGTATCGCGAGACCGCGTACTGAAGAGACGGAACGCGGGATGAATGGGCACGAGCTGGCCCAGGCAATTCTCCTCGTCTTGTTCGGAATCAGCAGGCGAATAGTCTTCGATTTCGTCCTCCACTTTCTGGGTCGGAGACGCCTGTGATCCGCGAACTTTGGGTTCATTGGTGTTCTCATCGTCTGCCATGGTTTGCAGGATGCAGCAGCACGGAACAGGCACAAGTCGAAGAAAAAGTACTCAGTACAGTGTTTTAACCCAGGGGTGTTATCCCTAAAATAAGAATCATCGATAACTGCAGCAAAATCAAGCTGCTAGATCGAGACTCAACCGGAAATCCAGAAGTCACCTGAGAAGTCAGTGCCAAACGAAGAGTGACAACGAAAAAACTGACAAAACCAGTAAAGTGAGTAAACTGTAAAAAAAATGAAAATTAATGCCGATGATCTCCTAGCTCACAGGTAACCGGCATACAGGGAAATGTCAGAATGTAGTTTTTTTTATTTAGACATTCGTACCGTCATATCAAAGGAAAACAACTGGGTTTTAAATTTTAATATTTTTCTATGCAGGCACGCAGGCAGAATTCGCCAACAGTATCCGTAAACAAAAAATTCAGCTAAAAAAGAGGTATTCGAATTTTGAAGTTGTGAGTTGCCTTAATTTGCCTTCGTTTGATCACCTAATTCACCTTGTCTTGTAGCCTTGACTGCCTTGTACAATACAGCCGCACCAATGCAGCTTAAGCGATAAGATCTCGGTTACATAACCGGAAGTGATAATAAAAAATATAAATCATATAAGTAACGTCATAAAATAAAATTAATATAACTGATAATTCAATAGCATTACAAATAAATTATTAAATACTCTTAATTCCTTACTTTCCTTTAGCTTTCTATCGTCTGTACTCACAAAACAAAGGATGATATTCAATCTTATGGTTAGTTGACCGATGCAAGTACGTGAAAAGTGCTGGCTACTGAAACAATCCGGCCATCAAATCATTATTGAAACAATCAAAAGAAGATAACTTACTTAATTACTTATCCCGTATGAACATTAACATACTTGAACAAACAAACTATCTATCGCCCCAACGTTATAACCGATGATAATTTTGATTATTAGGCTGTGGGAAACCGCGGGAAAGGTTCGGACAAAGCTCTCAGCCGGCAGAAACATTTTAGCTAGGTTTGATTTACCCCCTATCTGAACCTTCACAACGCTACCCGATCCGCAGCGCAAAGCGTTCTGAAGTGATCCGAGCACTTTTCAAAAACTGAAAAAATCTGTTGCATGCTTGCATCATGATATACGTTCGCCACTTACTGTATGCCAGGAGGCGCTTTTGAAAAGCAGTTTGTGGAATTGTTAAACAGCCTTGCTAGTTTTGTTTTCGATTTGTTCAATTCACAATGTGTGCATACCATAGCTTAATGCAGAAAAAAAGTTAAGTTTGAAAACGAAAGTTTATAGTAAAAGTTTTGAAAGAAACGTTTGATTTGCGATTTAAGGGAATTTCGTTCAGCATGGAGGTCTACGAGGCGGTCTGCCATAGACCCCTATGCTGAACGAAATTCCCTTAAATTGCAAATCAAACGTTTCTTTCAAAACTTTTTACTTATAAACTTTTCGTTTTTAAACTTAACTTTTTTTTCTGCATTTTTTAAGCTATGGTACGGACGGATTGTATGAGTTTGAACAAATCGAAAAAACACCAAACCTGCAGGGGTTGCCCAATGCGCAGCTGTTTTGGTAATTCCACAAACTGCTTTTCAAAAGCGCCTCCTGGCATACAGTAAGTGGCGTACGATATACTCCTAAAGATTTCGGGAATAATTTTGACATTAATAAAAGTGCAACTGTATAAGTTTTTGTCAGTTTTCCATGTCATCGTACCGTACTGTTGCGTGCAAGATTTTAACATTTCAATGAGGATATTTTTCCGTCCGCTGCTGCGTGTCATCAGCCATTCGTGCACACGATGCGGCGGCAGTCTCCTTCCCTGTTCTTCCACTTCTGTATTACGGCAATCCGCGGCGCACCTCGATCATTACCCTCCATTTTTAGGAGGTGTACGGCACAAATCAACGCAGGAACTTAGCGCTTTGTTTGTCCCGGTGCCTGTCGAGCCAGCGGCGCGTGTGGATGGCGCTGCGGATGTTGGCGAGGAAATCACGGGCAAGCTGGACCGCGAGGAGCTCCTCAAGGCGCTCAATCTCTTCTACCGTCGCTCGGAGATTAAGAAGCTCGCCGAAGAACATGGGCTCGATAGTAAGTTTCACTTCAACAAGACTCTTTCTTTCTTGATTGTGTAAAAATCCGTGTCGTCAAACATAAAAAAGTAGTACAGCACTCTTCGCTCGTTTATTAGTTTGGTTCATTGAATTTTTCCCATGGAGATTGAAGTGCACATTATGGGGTTTTTGATTAAATGTTTTCTGGACAAAATAAACTTTGTTGACAGATTATTCACGATAAAAATTTTGGGCATAAAATCTCTGCGTTTCCCGTTTGTGCAATATTAGTTATTCGGTAAGCATTTATTTATATTAGCGAATTTCTAAGCCTGGAGGATGCCACTGCTCTACGGAAACTCGGTAATCGATAAATATTTGGTCAGAAGGCTCATAATTTTGCCCATGTTACCGTAATTATTGTCAAAAAGCGATAATATCACTTGCACCTCCCAGTTTTTCAGGGTTGTCTTCTGATTTCGTTTCATAATTTGTTAATCGTCAAATTTTTTTTATTAGCGAGGCTCTTCCACCAAGCCTTCATCAGCTTCCGCAAATACTGCGCCAAATCGTCTTCCCTGCCGCCGGAACTGCACATTTTATTTAGCGATTTAATTTCTGGTGCGGGACACATCGATGATCTATTTCCCTATTTTCTCAAGCATGCCAAACAGTGTTTTCCCCATTTGGAATGCATGGAAGATTTGCGAAAAATCAGTGATTTGCGCTCACCGGCTAACTGGTATCCGGAAGCCCGCCTGCTGAGGAGGAAAGTGATATTTCACGCTGGACCGACTAATAGTGGAAAGACGTATGAAGCCATGGAGCATTTTCTCAGAGCAAAATCCGGCATTTACTGTGGGCCTCTGAAACTGCTAGCTAGCGAAGTTTTCCATAAAACAAATGGCAGAGTGAGCAGCAAAATTTCCGATCTTTTTTGGAAAATTTTTTGGTGGTACTACTCGTACTGTTACATGTACAGTATCTTAATTTCCTAAATGCATAAAGTTCCGGTGTTCACAAGTGCTAAAGGTGAACACCTGCGTTTTCTTCTGAATTCTTAAATTTTTGGTTGTTTTAAATGAGCAGTTAAATGTTAATAGAAGTATAGTGGTTAAATGAGCTACGACTTTAACGGGACTGACCATCTTGATTTTCACATAGCCAGCCAGAATTGGCCCAGAATACTATCGGTACTGTGGTGTTTGTAGTGCACTGGCTTAGGTTGGTGGACTTAAAATTACGTTAAAAGTGTATTCGTATAACAGTATCGCCCTTGCTGTGTGAAGTACTTCTTTCATTACTCTTCTTTTTTTCCGAAGTAAAGTATTCTATTTTTCGTGTTGGCCTCCATATCTTATTTCTTGAGCAGGGAGTAAAATGCGACTTGATCACCGGTGAAGAACGGCGTTATGCTGATCCCGAAGGGAATCCGTCCGCACATGTGGCCTGTACAGTGGAGATGGCCAGCTCCACAAACCGATGTATGGACTAGCTGTTACAAGGAAATGTGTTCGTGTAACATTTATCTTGCGATTTTTTTAACAGATGAAGTGGGAATCGTGGATGAAATCCAAATGATTCGGGATAATGTTAGGGGTTGGGCCTGGAGCAGATCTGTCCTAGGTATATTGGGATGTTGTGTTTGTCAGTTTCTCGTGCCATTAACTCCACGATGTGATGATTTATTATGAGCTGATAATGATCTGTGCAACGTTCCTGATTTTTGCCAGGATTATGCGTAGACGAATTGCATATTTGTGGAGAAGGCTCAGCTATCGAACTAATTCGCGAGATGCTGCTAGATACGGGCGAAGATCTGGAAGTGAAAACATATAAACGCCTAACACCGTTAACAGTCCTTGATAAACCTTTACGTAAGTGCACGCTTCAGCAGGCGTCAAATGGCAATCATCAACTATGCCGATTATCACAATTTTTGGTGATCTTTTTTGCATAGAACAGCTCGGCAGATTTGCAAAATTTTTATGATGATATCTTTTCAGAGTCTATGGATAACATTCAAAACGGGGACTGTGTTGTAGCCTTCAGTAAAAACGATATCTATTCAATCAGCAGGCAGATTGAGCAGCGAGGGATGAGCTGTGCCGTTATATACGGCGGGTTACCTCCTGGTATTTACAGAATACACTTACCTGTGGAATTATTTAGAAATACATTCTGCGTATTGTTTTTAGGGACGAAATTGGCACAGGCGAAGAATTTCAACGATCCCGAACATGAAACTAATGTCCTCGTCGCCACAGATGCGATCGGCATGGGTCTTAATCTGTATGTGTTCAATCGTGACACGAATACTTCATATCATGTCGGTCGTACTTATACTTGTCGGTTAAGATACTTCATATCAACGTTTTCGGAATATATAGTTGGTTTTTTTATGGCTTCAAATCAATTGACAATAGTAACGTTAACGAATGTTGTAAATATCCTTGTAGGCTGCTATAATTTAAGGTCAGGTCTACGCGCGAGAGTACTCACGCGCGTAGCCCTTTGTCTACGCGCGAGAGCTTCTGCGCGTAGTAGTTTGACTACGCCCGAGAGCTCTCGCCCGTAGTAAAACTTGTATAGAATCGGCTACGCGCGAGAGTTTTGTTGTTTTTTATTTTCATAAACGAGCAATGATAAACTAAAATTTGGCACAAATGCCGCAGCATTACAGATAATAATTCTAAAATCATAATTTGAGTTCAGAGAGCAGTATCTCTTCGTTAGGCGGCAGCTTCACTGCTTTTCCCACCGCTTTGGCTTCTTTTGCCGAAACGCGTATGATTTGAAAGGTGATCACAGTCTTACTACGGGTATTTCGCCCCTTTGTTTTTGGCGGTTGCCTCAACACTCCCGTTATAACGAGTCCGCGAAACCATTCCCGAAATTTTCGGTCGGGGTAGTAATTTGCTATATGGATAGGTTTTGCAGCAGCAGGTCATAAGCAAATGCAGACGGATAAATTTAACAGTTGCTCCTCACCGGCGACTGTCCGTATACTGCGACGTACTCAGTTTCGATCTGACCGTTTGAATCCGGGAAACAGAACATACGAAATAGTTGCAACTTTAGAAGATTTGTTGGCTGTTGTCCCGTCGAGCAGAATATCCTTACAGCGTCAGGCTTCAGACAATCGTACAGTACGCACACGTGGTGAGAAACAGCAGACACTGACCTTAGATACCTCTCGCGGCAGACTCAGTAACGGCAGTGCCCAGCGCTCGGCCGACTTCCGGAATCGGAAGGCTATGCATTACCGTTGACTTTGCAATGTTTGACGTAGTCTTGGTGTTTTACTATTTAGCGATGTTAGCCTGCGTTAGAATCTCGTCCTCCCGACGCCCCTGTCGTTTTTCTTTGCAAATTCTCGTCCCTTGGTTAAAACTGTCTTTCGTGATGACTGTCGCGAACATTCTCGTCGACCGACGCGTCGCGTTGATGGTACCCGCGATGATGCGAAGTGAACGTATGGTTTGCAAATTGCAACCACTCCTCAGCGTCGTTGTGATGGACTGGTGGGTAACCTGCTCGTCCTTCCCGTGTGGGCGATATTCGCCTCCCTTTTTATAGATTGGGCGGGCGGAACTGTATGGGAAAGTTGCATTGTGCGGATGTGTTTTCGATGTCCTCGCGTTTCGTCCAGGGTTTGCAAAAACTTGGTTGATCAGTTGTCCTTGATCTTGGACAACTTTTACAGCTGCTTTGTATGACATAAAACGATCTTCAGTTTTAAGCAAAGGCGAGTCCATTTTAGACGAGTAAACAGTACAAAATTAAAAATTGCAACCGTCACAAGTACCGGTAGGTAGCTCAAAGCCTCAAACTGCTTAATTGTGCCGGCTTGTAATACGAAATTATGCTGGCTTGTACACAGTTCTGGTATATATGCAAGAAATTATTCGGACACTAGTATAACATTAATGTTGACCTTGGTTGTTAATTCAGATATAATAATAGTCAGTTCAAAATCGATAACTTTCTAATTTCGGTAACTCGCGCGCGTGGTTATTTGACTTTGCGCGAGAAACTCTCGCGCATAGTCAAAAGTACTACGCGCGCGATACTCTCGCGCGTAGCCATTTCGATAATTTAAAGGGTACAACTCGTACAGCAGCAGTCGTTTCCGCACGTATCTGCACTAAACTGCAAATGTTACCGAATTTTAGGAAACAAATTTGTTTCAAAAGGTAGGGAACTGTTTGTACCATAACTAAATAAATAAGAGCAAAAATTTTAGGAAATTACAATCATTTTTGGTGACTGTATTTGGTATAAATGATATTAGCTGCAGTCTTCCAACCTTTTTTCATCACCTGTGCCACTCCACCACTTCATCTGGTACAGATATAAACGTCTGCAGTGTGCACATACTGCGTAATAGTGCGTATCCTCAACTTGCCATAAACATACTTGTTATACGGTTGCGCAGAATTTAATAAGTTTTGGTCGGTCGTAAACAGTTTCCAGTAACACCATTGTAGTTTGCTATGTTTCATAGGAACATCAAACGGGTGATATTTTATTCCTTGCTCAAACCGAACGTCAACGAAAAAGGCGAAAAAGATATCGAGTTGTTGACAACGTCGCAGGCCCTGCAAATTGCCGGCCGAGCCGGTCGTTTCGGTACGCAGTATGAGAACGGCGAAGTTACCACATTTCGGGGCGAAGATTTGCCAACATTGAAAGACATTCTAGCACGCTCGGTAGATTCTATCGAGGTAAGCTTCCTTTCTAACATGCGCGGATTGTTTTTATTGTATTGTCGGAATTATTTTGTTAATTTTATATTACTGTCCAACAGGCAGCTGGTCTTCATCCAACCGCTGATCAAATCGAACTGTTTGCGTACCATCTTCCGAATGCCACCTTGTCGAATCTGATTGTAAGTATGGACGCTTATTTTAAAATTGGCTTTCCATTTTTCTTTAGAAGGTAGTTTAGTTTGTCCTCGTACTAAAATTTGCATAGCAGCTTTTCTGTTGAAGTGCATAACCATAACTAGCTGTATTTAAATTTCAGGATATTTTTGTCAGCATTTGTCAAGTGGACCATTCGTTGTACTTTATGTGCAATATCGAAGACTTCAAGTTCTTGGCCGACACTATTCAACACGTCCCCTTGCCGCTGAAGACTCGCTATGCGTTCTGCTGCGCTCCCATCAGTCGCAAACAACCTTTTGTGTGCAGCGTATTCCTCAAAGTAAGCGTTTGTCGAACCGTACACATCAACAGGAAGTTTCGTAAAAATCCATTGCTGTCAGATGTTCTTATCTCGTTGAAGCTAGCCAACAAGGAAAAGCTATTGCGAAGTCGTTCATGCGACAACAATCTAAAAAAGTTAACAGATTTTATTAAATTTTGCCGTAGTACGTTTGCGAATCGAACGCGCTTCCGGTTTTACTGGAGTGGTGTTTACAGCCGCAGTACTACGCCAGTTCGCATTACATGCCTTAATATTTTGCGTTGGCGCATTTACGTAGCTCAGCTCATTGTCGGTTCAGCTCGGACTAAGTACATATTTAATTACACATACTTCGAAGTATGCATTTCGACGATTTTGTAGTTCTGTGAAATTTCCCAAGTAATATGCGTGCTGCAAACTGTGAAAGACTTTTCTGTAATATTTGAAAGCACATTCCAATCCCTTCATTTGTTTTTTTCACAGTTTGCCCGCCAATTCAGTCGTGGAGACGCGCTAACGTTTGAATGGGTGACTGCACAGTTGGGCTGGCCATTCGAAGTACCGCAAACCATCGCCGAGCTGCAGCATCTGGAGAACGTGTTCGATGTGTTTGATTTGTATTTATGGCTGTCCTACCGCTTCACTGATATGTTCCCCGATGCGGTACCTATGCGAGCGGCACAGAAGGATCTGGATAAAATTATCCATGAGGGAGTGTCGCAGATAACCAAATTGATCCTTCAGCAACAGAGTTCCGGTACATTGTGATTTGATTGCATATTTTTCTGTGCTTACGTATTGATATGCTAAAATTTACTACGAGTATAGTATTTACCAGACAGAAATTTCGAAATTAAATTTATTCATACATTTACTTGTTTATTAAACTCAATTTAATTAGCTTAAAATTGTCTTTCTCTAAATAATCTGTTTGGGATAAAGTGTGGAAAGAATCGTTCGACACTACAATGATCTGTTTGTTTTTGGTTTAGAAAATTTGGAGGATATTGCCAAGAGCAGCGGTGGAAGGGATTCATATGTTGTGAAGAAGCTACGCTCGGCGGTTAACCAAATGCCCAGAGCCGGCAAAGCGGAACGGTCCGAGCCTCCGGTAGTTGTATCCACGCTGCGACGGCCGCGCGGATCAAGTACTAAAAGATGACAGATGTGATGCTAATGCTGCTGTGTAATGCTGCGGCTGTAGCTACTAGCTACTGTGTTCTTCCTGAAATCCGTGCTTATTAGTTTGATTGTCGTAGGAACACAACTGTTGTGCCTACTGCTCATGACTGAAATCATTGAAAAATGATAAAGGGGTAGTTCGTGAGCACTTGCGGTGATAAAAACGAAGCTTCGAATAAAATAATATCACGCTACTCCAACGGATGCACAATACAAGAGTCAGGAATAGAGCATGTAGCCAGTGCTAGCCACTTCTATCTCGTTGTCCAAGGATTGGTTATGAATATTTTACTGCCGTGTTGCCACTGTTGTGTTCCGCATTTCAATCGGGTGCAAAGATTTTTTATTCCAGTTGTTTCGTGTTTTGTTTCGACGGTGCTGTGAGCACGTACAAATTACCACAATTTCTGTGACCATTAACAATAAATTACTCGTAGTTAGAAGGATGATTAGCTAGCACGCAGAAATACTATATATACAGAACATTATAGACGTGTGTCACTCTTAATTAAAGAGTTAGGCTATACCAGTATATTGTTCTAAAGACTTTGTATCTGTGTTGCTCATAAGAACACTGGTCGATCGGGCCAAGCAGTATGTTTCCTTTCTAACAAAGTAAAAGACCATAACATGTTCCCGGAACACGCGGCCATCCAATCACTCGGTGCCACTTTATTAATGTTAGCAATGATAAAACAACGATCGGCACAGCACAGACAACACCAGAATCACTCGTGACCTGACACTAATATACAAAGCGTACTATCCCTGAAGTAACCACATCAGAAGTAAAAGATGCTCAATAATGCACAAACAGTCTGGTCTGATACGGTACAATGGGATCAGTGATGGATTTACAACGGCGCCAAGCGATGCAGTATTTTGTGAAAGCCACGTTTTTATTTCTTCTTCTTTTTCTCGCCCTCCACTGGACCCACAACGGATACCCGGTCAATGTGCTCCAGGAGGATGTTGGGCTCCAGAACGGGGCTCTCAAAGGCCGGGGGATTCTTCATGTATTTGTAGGGACCGAGGACCTTCTCGAACTGAAAGGGGTCCACTTTCCAAATCTATATAACAGCACAAGAGCCTTTTATGCCATTGATTAACCGAATACTTTGGCGAGAAGTTCACTCAATTCACATTAATATTAGTGCCTCAGTTAAGTATCAACGTTGGAGATCTAAAATATTTCTCTTTTATGGCCTACAACTTCTACACTAACCGCTACCGCAAAAAAATATTTTGTAAGAGAATAGGACAAAATAAATTACAAATATCGCAAATTCACCAAAAAAAACATTTACACAACATATTCCTGAAGTCCCGAACAACAAAATGTACCACTTCTAGAATGGAGTGCAAGAGAAAAAGTAAGTACTTTACAATCCACCAAAATAAAGTTCAAGATTCAAATAAAAATATCAACCATCAGTTCACTTAACCATACAGAAATTAAACGTCATCGTTTACCAGGTAATGCATATTACACTAATACATAGTAGTATTCCAGCAAAACGAACTACACTAATTTCTTAATTTGTATATCTTAACTCTTAATTAATTTTGTTAAAGTGTTAAGTAACAAGCAGCTGGTCGAACGGTGCTGTAACACATTCAATACATCAAATGAGTAAAACTAAAAACAATTCTTAGATAATATTAAAGTCAGCCATAACGTCCTAACCAGGAAAACGCGAAAACAAAGGTTTCAGCAGTGTCAAAGCTTTTAAATGCAAGAATTAAGTCTACCCAGTGTACAAATGAAAGCATTTCGGTTCACGTTCCACAAGTCGCAGCGACGCCAATGCCATAAAAGCTCGCACTTAGGAGAACGTTTAACATCCCAAACAAAAATTTCATACAGGGAAAACTAAATTTTGAGAAGCGATTCTGATCACTCTCCAGTTTCACTTTAAATTAACAGAATTGCCTAACTATGCCAGTCTGGCAAGATAAGCCAAGAATCTACTTGGCGCAGTAACTGATCACATCGTCGTTCTTTACTTGCTATAAAGTTCTTAAAAGGACCACACTGTACAAAGACCATAACTCACATATATGCACGTCGCGACGAAAAGCCCTGTCCCGAATGCCATCATCAGATTGCCCTTGGCATTGCGTTTATTCTGGGCCTCCTGCCAGGAACCTTTGGGAATTGGGAAGTCGTTCAGTGTGGCTTTCCTGTACGCCGCCACTCCATACAAGGGACCACTACCACCTCCATGCGACGCCATCCGCCGCACAAACACCCGCCCTACAATCCCACATCATGGATTAACTGCATCCTGTTTTCTGCTCCATGAATCAGACAAACCATCGTATGCAGTACGCGCAGAAACACTCAAACTGCACAGATTAGGATGGTAACGAGATTCGTACTGGATACAAGTACACATGACGAAGTCATTCGTGCAGCATCATACAATGACATACATACCAAATGCACTCGACATTCCCGAATACATAGTACAATCCGAAGAGGAATAAGAATGCGTAAGAAGGAATTTACATATAGAACAATCAGGATAAAGATGCGAAATAAAAAATTGCAAATTTCACGAATATGTATGAGCACTTCCTAAGCTGGTGAAGTGAGCTTATCAGCACTGCATGATCGCCCTCCGCAGCGACGGCTTTCCAAAGCGTAGGGTGCGTAGCGCGCTGAAGCAACTGCCGAGGGTATTTGGAGCCAAAAAAGCAGTAAAAATGTAAATTAATTGAAAAATTCTCCAGTCACTGAGGTTCTTAGGACTAAACATGCTCAGACTCCTGCAGAGTTGTGAACTCTTTTCAAATGACCATAATAAACTAATAATTAAATAATTATATGAAATTAGTAATAATATTTGATCGAAGTTATTAGGTTTGTCCATCTTGCTCATGGTCAGATCAGCTGTGCCAGCATGTGTACTTACCTACTACCTAGTAATTTTTTCACCTGGAGAGGTGCGCCTGCGCAGCCGTCAATGCACTGCTGGACTGTACCCGGTCGTACGTGGTACGAACTACGAACAACTGTAGAAGGTACCGTACAAATCACCTCCACCAGAATTATGTAGTACTCGTACTGATTAAATCGCGTATAATGCGATGCGATTCAGAAGTGCAAAACTCTCGCTGTTCTTCTGTCTACGGTCATTGATTTTGTGCAATCCATCCCGATCCTGTGCGTTAGCCAGCTTCCGTACAGTCTCCCAGTGTTTTACCGAGCAAGCATCCCTCTCACTACAGCTGATCGACAGTTCTTTGCTCCCGTCACTCTGAAGTTATTGTTTTAGACTGACAACTGTTAGTGCCTTTCCTATTCATTTCCTTTGCCGCCATGAACGCAACTCCACGCTACTTCCGCGATCTGCGCTCCCCTAACGCTGCACGGCAGATCAACTACGGGAACACGGTGCTCGTGCAGCGCGACAACGCCGAGTGGTGGCTGGGATATGTTCAGGATATTGACGACGATTACTTCTTCATTGACTTCGATGCTCACACCGTCGCCGCGAAGTGGATACATTCCAGTCGTATCTGGCCACATCGTTTCTACCATCCAAAGCGTACAAACGGCAGTGTCGGCGGTAGTGCTTCGGTGCAGGTGGCGCTGCGGGACGGCGATGATGGACCGCTGGTCTTCCGACGGGCCCACAATGTTGAGTCCGTTGGCCGCATGTTCTACTCAGTGCGGCCGTATAATCAGCAGCCACCCGAGGAGGCTGCCCGCTGTATTGTGCACGCCTCACAGTTCGTCGCCAAACTGCCGGCAGAAGAAACAGAGAGCTTCTTCACACGTCGTTGCGGAAATTGCGGAATCACATACCGGAAACACGTTATCCGGTTTGAGGCAGCGCATCGCCTGCGTGGTGTGGACTTTATGCCCAAGTTCCTGTCGCATTCATGCCGCTTGACGTTGGTCAGTGGCGATCCGTGTGATGCCAGCTGCCAATTTCATATGCGGCAGTACGGCGTCGACAGCCCCGACACCTGTGTGGTTTTCTGCGCCGAAAAGGACCATACGAAAACTGCTCCATACAGTTTCAATGTCGGCTGTCGTGTATTTGTGCGAGCGGGGATGGACACGGTCATGTTCCTGTGCGCTGAAGTGCACGGTGACGCAGCGGGGCGCAGCATGTTCTGGAACGAAGACGCACTGAAAGAAGCTTGCCAGAATTACCTGCATGAGCAAGAAGCGCGAGAAGCCGGTAACTTGATGAAAGAAGCCTGCATCAATGGAGCAATACAGTATGGTAAGCGCACCGATCAATAATGCTGTTATTATTTACTGGTAATAGTTGCGATTAGTTAAACACACTTAATTCGCGTCTGTTCGACATAAGATTGAATCGAACTGATTACAAATTTTTCATTAAAAATGAAATGCTATTACGTTACTAATTTTAAGCAGCAATTTTAAAAATTATTCAAAAAACTTCTGTAAATATAAATTTTGGAACATTTCTAATTTTTTCTTTCTTATTGCTGTTCATTGGCCAAGGCGTCCATGTTGATAGTGCTTTAATTAATTAACCAGTGATTATTGTGCAGATAATGGTGAAGTGCGAATCAGTGATCTTCCGCAACCCGTCATGGCGAGTATTCTGCTGAACCTGGATCGCGTCATGCAGTTTCGAACGCGCCGGTAAGTTTGCTACGCGATCTTGCTGATAAATTACTTACTGAAAATCCATACGAACCTATTCGGGTGCCCGTTATAAAATTTCAAAAAGTTCCCACGAGTAAGCTGATCGTAAGAGCGTGTTGACCGATTTTGTTGCTGTCGAGCAGGGTATGCATGCTGTGGACACTGCTTTTAGATGAATATGCTAGTAGCCAGAACATTATCCTCGATCTCCGCCGGCTGCACGCTCGCGAGCCCTATAACACCGAATTTCCCATTAAACGCTACCGATGCGAATACGAACTTGTGACACTGTTGGACCGCGCTATTAGCCGGGAGACGCGAACGGTGGCGTTGCTGGAGAGTGGACGGGCTTCTGATCGGTACACACGCTGCTTATCGGGCAGGTTTTCCATGCTGCGTGCCGTTCTGCGAGCGAAGAACATTCGTGTGCAAACGATTATCGCCAAAGACGGATGCGATTATTATTGTGCGCCGATCATTGCATTTCTGGGCCTCCGGCCGAAATCGAATAACGATTTTACCAGCTACAGATGTCACACGCTCGGATATTTATGGGCCCTCTGTAACGCACTGATACTGGTTAATTACAGCGCCTCGCATCCGGCCGACAACACCGTTCTACTGCTCGAATTGTTCGAAAATGCCCACGTATGGCTGCGGGACGTAAATTTTGGCGGGAGTAGGCAGTGTTCGGAATTGGGCGTGGACATTCCGTATCTGCATTTCCGTTCTACGGATACCGCCGATGAGCAGAGCCGACGCTTGATGACGGCCGTCAACGATAACTGCCCGGCCGTTACGCCCGAGGTCTACGCAAAGGTCACGGCGATGCATGCGCACTGGAGGGAGACGCTGGCCTATCCGGATGCACCTGAATGGGGCGCTGTTCGGGCTTTCTGTAAACTGTGAGTAATATATAATTTAATGAAAATTATGAAATTACATAATCTTAAAGTACAAGTGCATAAATTACATATGTGTACAGTACAATACGTCGTTCACTCACTGTACTGTGTGTTCTTCGGCAGCTTCAGCAGTTTTGGCCCCGATCATACCTCATCGTGGTGGGATGGAGCGGATTTGAGAGAACTGGACGTGTCGGCACTGAGTCGGTGTGCGTTACATTTTCTAGACGGATTTTCAAACTGAAACGGGCGCTGGTCAAGTAGGCCAAGAACACGGGGACATCACTGTTCAGAATTTAATTAACAAATTTTTCTTGTGTCTGCTGGTTTGCAGGATCTTGCGTTGAGACCACTAGTGTGTCTTTTGAATACCAGAATAAGTACGCATATCCAAAAAAATTTATCCATAGCAGCTTTTTTAGTTTCCCTTTAATATGTGGATACGCAAGAGTTTTTCGGTTTCTGCAGTATACAGGCTTCCTTATAATGACTTTAACCGGTGCGAAGTTGGCAGCCTATAATACTGTTCTAATAAAATATCGGTCGGTGATTCGGCATAAATACGAGTACATGTACTTCAATGCTAGAATTAACCCAGCCGGGTGTGAACCCAGCGGGTGTGCTGGTGAAACTAGAAAATCTGGATAAAAAGTACGAAGAGTAAATTCTCAAATTGTGCAATTCTCACGCCTTTGCACACAAAAATACTTGACATTACGGAACTAGATGTATAAAATTTCGTGTTAAAATGTATGTTAGGAGTGTTACTTAAAATCACGCAACTGTCTGAAGACTGGAAGTACAAATCAACAACGTGGCGAACAATCGAGTTTTCATTCTTAATTATTCTTTCCCAAGTAATCTTCTTTGAAAACATTCAAGGGCGCCCAAGATAAAATTAACAGATGGCTAAAAACAAAAATCATGAAATTCCAGAAAATACTAATTTCCAAAATAAGAACCGTACACTGAAACCAACCAAAAAAAAAGAAAGAATTCCCTCCCTGCCCAACAGCAGAGCGGTCAGCGCTGCGCGCACACACACACCGACAAATTTCCTCAAAAAAGACTTTCTTTATACACCCCCAAATGATCCGCGTGTAGTGCGTGCGTGTGCCAAAAAAACAGAAAAAAAACATGCTAGAATAATAACAACAGAGCCGCGATTACTATTCTCCAGCAGAAACATAGAATCCAACGGTGCGCGTGCGAGTGGCCCAATAAACGACGACATCCCGTCCCCCATTCCCGTTTCTATCCTCATTTTGGACCAGCAGCGGCGAGACGAGAATAACAAAACAAAGGAAAGATTGTGTCCAACGTGTGACGTGTGTCGTTTTTCACGGTCGACGTCGGGCGGCGGCGGGGAAGGGGATCAGTCACTGTCGGGTTCGCCCTTGTTGTTGTGATTGTTGTTCATCAGCTGCTGCTGCTGTTGTTGGGCGGCGGCAGCAGCGGCGGCCAGGGCCGCAGCGGCCGGTGAGGGAATGCCGGGCAGACCGGCGCTCATGCCGGGAGGGTGAGCTAAAGGCACAATGGGCAGCGGGAGACCCGCGCCCGGGGCACCGTGCATGCCGGGGAAATGGGCCAGGGCGGCGGCGGCAGCGGCGTTCAGGCCGGCCGGACCGTTCAGTGCGTCTGCAACAGGAAATATGAATATATTCACCTGTATCCACTTGTACAAAAAATTACTTCCCATTATTACAAGACCCTGCTTACCGCACTTCTGCACTAAAGCGAAACCCATTACATCCTGCCTAAAACATTTCTGACATTTTTCCTACAGCCACTCTGTAATTTCAGGCCTTTTTCGTCTTTAGCACAGAACTAAGTTTTGTTATAATTATGTAAACAATGGGTATGCTTTTAAACAAGCCAAACTTTCACATAGCGAACTAATGTAGTGTAATCGCATATCTTTTGGAGCCATGGGTGAAGGTCATGGGTATTCAAAAGTAGAGACGCAAAAAATGCTTAAACATAGTCAGAGGAATCGCTTTTTACAAAAATCCAGAATATATCACAGTAACCTCGCTTTGCACAGCTAATCTGCTGCTTTCACGAGTCTACAGAATGGAAGACTAAACACCTCACTGTGTGATTTGTGTCTGTCCGCACGATGGTGAATACACAGCAGCCGATATCTGCACACGAGATGATTACACTAAACATTCTGCAGAACCAACGAGTGAATAATTTCCGCGAAAAACCACAGACCTGGTTCAGCGGAAAATCGTCTCGCGGAGCACACTCAGCAATGCAAAATATAGTCCGCATACGCTTCGGTGATTCAGCAGATACCTGCTCGATTGGCACCGTACCTCTGTACCGGCATAATTCTACCACAATTCACTCACGCCTCGTCCGCAACGCACACCACCCACTATGCTGACCCAGACAACATCGCAGATCAAAAGAAAAAAATCACCGCTGCAAACACGAACGCCACCGGTATCCATCTAAGAATTTCGAATGTGCCACAACAAGGCCAGATCTTGATAACAACTTGATTCGCTATTGTCATACCATTGAAAAACCCATTCGATGAAAGTTCCCAGCCATTATCAATAGGGGGACGAATAGTATGTGGTCAGTAGCAACGAAACACAATTTTTACTATAGTAACAAACAGATAACTTATTTCAGTGCTAACCTCGTAAACCGGGTCCGGGCGTGTGAAGGAACTCCTTGTTCACACAATTCCTCAGGGCATCGGGAATTCGGCCAGTTATGGCCCGACGGATTTCGGCAGCGGCCATCTCGCGCAGTTCTTGATAACTTTGTTCGCTGTACCATGCTGCGTGGGGCGTACACATCAAATTCGGGCATTCCCATAATTTGCCTAGCCAGGAAAAACATTCGCTCTACTGTTTATTGTATTCAATTTCGGCAAATTTTGCCACAAAATTGCAAAAATTTTAAAAAAAAATGTGAAACAGATTTTTAAAATTTTAACTTCAAAGGATAACAATACGCAAGCATCGATATTTCACAGAATGATGTATCCCGGAACAGTACACAGCCATCGCACGACACACCATCGCACAATCTGATGGTGAGTGCAGAATTTGTAGGTAAATGTATTGTACGCGCTGCTGTCGGTAAAAATCTACGTATGTAAACTACAAAAGTGCTTGGTCAAAAATATACTGCAGCAAAAAAAGCAACAGTAATGCAATGTAAAAAAGCATCAAACTGCATTTTCCAAAATCCTTCATCAAATTTTCGAAAGTTATTTGGGAAATTAAGCATACGACCGTAGGATAACAAACGTACTTTGCTGAGAGAAGGGTTCATTTTCATTGACATCAAGGGCAGCAGCGCGGATGCGACCCTCCTTTAGCGCCGTCGCGAGGGCTGCTTCATCAATCAGTCCACCCCGTGCCGTGTTGACGAGGAAGGCGCCTGTAATGACCAACAAGGCAAATGCGATAAACGTATTAACCAAATTCCCTTTCGTCAACGTGCAAACTAACTGCATCTGCAAATAATTTTTGAACTAGGAAATACATCGCGCCAAACCAAGTATGTAACTTTGTCGAACATACTCAAAACAGCATTCTCATGACTAAAATATTCCGAAAACATCAAGTCAACCCAAATAGCAGCACCCGTTAAATTTGGACGCAAGCGATATGCAGGACGCTTCTTCCATTATACGAACATGCATAGTATTGCATACATCCAGGTTAATTAAAAAGTTCTATTATTAAGAAAGCAATATTTCACAAAACCGAATCGCCCACAAGGCTACATCAGCGATGATCACATGCACAAACCGTTTCGGTTCCAAACAATGCCATCACAATACGATTATGTAACAATCGATCACAACAATGCGATCATTCTGCCTTAACTACGTATGTAAATTATCGATCGGTTTTTTTAATACAGTTATCTCCTGGCAATGTCTTAACACGGTTATGCGTAATTAACTTAATCTTCATTTCTGCACCTTGCAGCATTAAAAACAGTTTTTCCTTTATCATCTGCTCATTAACAACTATACCCAGCTAAATGTGTACAAACCTGGTCGCATTTGTTTGATTGTGTACTCGTTAATCATGTGGTGGTTTTGCTCGTTGAGTGTGCAGTGCAATGAGACACAGTCGGACTGGAATAGCAGCTCCTGTAGTGAGTATACACGGGTTAATCCCAGCGACTTCTCAATACCATCCGGGATGTAGGGATCATGGAAAATAACATTGAAACCGAAGGCTTTGGCTCGGAGTGCCACGGCTGATCCAATGCGACCTGAATAATCAAAAGGAAACGTAAGTAAGCCCGTTAAAGCACACAACGAGTAATCCTAGCCGAAACAATTGGGTTTAGCGAATGCGCGCGGCGTAGAAATCCTATCTCATTTCGCTTCATTAAATTCACTTTTCCAACATCTGGTCTAATTAGTTACCGCTTAAAACAACATTGTTCGTTCCAGTTTTGAAAAACTAAAAACTAATTAATTTACGGAAAAAGAAATTAACAATTTACACCTCGGTCAGATGCTTGAATTGTCGTCAAACCAATAAACATTTCCAGCGCACTAATTTACCGACTACTCATCTTTTAGTTACCGATATTTTACGTAATTTACGCAACAATATTTTAAATTTACATCCCTTATTGACGCATAACAAAAAGCCAATCAATAAATGTTTATCTTCTTTCTCAGCTTGTTACTTTTCACACTACATTTCCTTTCAATTATCGCACTCCATTCATTTGTGCAACATATTTCACCGCTGATAAGAAAGAAAGCAGACAAACTCGGCACTTGCTGACTGCGCGCAGCCGGGTACGGACCGCAATCGCAAAGTTCAAAGTGACATGTAGGAACAATTCCACAAAGCAAACAACCGTAAGGACATCTCTACTGTATGCGCCTCGTTCTCTCACTCACACGCCGATATACAAACCAAGACCGCCGAGTGCAACATAAACGCGAAAACGATCTGTCTACCGGTTCGCCAAGTGTTCCACCGTCAAGCAGGCCTAATCGGTCAGAGATGTCTAGCATCAACCTTTACGACCCAAAAACTCCAATCGAAGCCAGATTAATATCGAGAAACTTCTTGAGAAAAACTGTCGAATCAATCACCAAATACAAATCTCAGAAAATTAAACCAATCACGAGTTATATCATAAATAAAATAAACTGCGCTGAAAACGACATAAAATTTTTGTACGACATCAAGAGCTGTTAAGTACGAGGTACATAAAAACGTTTTGTACGAGCACCGAGCCTTGGGGAAAATACGACTTACAAAATTTTCGTCTTAATAATTTCACAAAAAAATACAATTTCAAAAGCAGCGAAAATTCGGAAAACATTTGTAATTTTGTAGCAGGCGTGCCGATTAATAATTAATCCATAGTACAACGAAGACGGCTTCGCAAATCACTGCACAACGAGGACGACTGTACGAGTACCAAAAAATTTGCAATTTCCAACCTACAGGCAGGTAGCACTTACCTAGCCCAATTATTCCCAGCGTATCTCCACGAATTCGAGCGCATCCCTTGGCGGCATCGCGGACCTGCTCGGGCCCGTTGATCTTCTTGCCGGCAGCCACATCCATGGCCAGCCAATGGGATCGCCGGTACAGATTGAGGATCAACGACAGCGTCGTATCGGCCACTTCCTCCACACCGAATCCGGGCACATTGCACACGGCCACGCCCAATTCACCTGCTGCCTTAATGTCGATGTTGTCCACACCCGACCCGATCCGTACAATAATCCTTAGGGCTTTGAATTTCTCCAGGTCCTCCCGTGTTAGTGTGATGGTGTGCCACATTAGAGCGCCCACTGCTTCGTTCAACACCTGTCGATGCAGAACACATTTATATACTCGTACATCGTTACGTTGCTGGCCGCCGATACCGCCGTCATATACACTAAACTCCTCATCAATATTCCATTCAACTGACATCTGCCGGTGTGGTGCTGGTAGGATTGTGTAATGTTTTTCCCACCCAAGGCTTCCCGCATGCAGCAACCTTATTACGCTGCCAGCTATTTCCGTGCAGGAAAACAAATTATTTCAAATTGGAACAAACAAGCGACTTCCATAAAAACACTCATCATGGCGATAAACGACAGGTTGCGAGCGACATTAAATCCACCCCAGCAAAAATCAATTTAACCACAAATTTTTTCCAGCAAATGGTTGTCTCTGTACAACTTAATTTGTTCTGCTGCACAAATCTCAGCTACGCGCTCGTTATCAACGAAAACAAACAATAATTAACTGTATCTCCCCATGAAAAATTTCACTCCATTTAATACTGGAATTTTTAACAAATCACAACAACAGAATTGACGCAACATTAGAAAACAACTAAAGGGAGGAAATGACACTTTCATAAAACTTATTGACACCCACGAACGATTTTTCTTCAATCACCCCATTATCGGTTACTATAAATAATCAAAAAGAACCACCCAAATGCATTTTTCAATTTCCCATTTCTTCGAATCATCCAGAAAATCCTGGAAAAGCGGATGTTTTCCCGTTTCTCCCGACGGATCAGGCTGTAACCACCGACTGCCATCTCAGAATGAAAACACCTCACTGCTGCCCATCAGAGACAATTAAGCCGCAATCCCCACGCGTGCGTCCTCCGCCACATACACACACATAAACAACCGTATGCAGCGCAACATTTTCTTTGACCGACCCGACAGAGCCACACACATCTGTACACACACACACACACACACCACACACTCGGCACAAAATGTGGATCAGCCGTCGATTAGTCGGCACTGATACAATTGCATTTTAAGCCGCGAGACTCCGATGCATTCAATACTGTATATATGCCGTCAAAGCAGCAGCGATATATTTTTGCACACGTCTCCGTCCCCCCATCATCATCAGCGCTACTTATCTGCGGTACATTGATGTGCGCGCGAGTTAAATGTCGTTTTGCTACGCAGTACACAGCAGCAGCAAGCGAGCTCAGCGACCAACCTTCTCGTGTATTTCCGTTGTGGATTGTGCATCGCAAAACGCCACGGTTGCCACATCTTTCAAAATCGGCATTTCCACGGAACAATCTCGCCCATCCAGTAGAGCAATTAGAGGCCGTGCATGTAGCGGTCCATTGGGTACGCCTGAGCGGGCTGCAATGGTAACACAGAGAAACGCGTAAAACTCCACTGTAGAAAACGACTATTTTGCACATTATACACGCATCTACCGTACACTTAAAGAATCGCGGCTCATCACGCATCACTGGACAGCAGTAAAAAGTAAAAAATTATTAACCAACAAGTAGCTTATCCTTTTCAGCAGAATGCAGCCGCGGAGAGTAAGTGCATAACATAAAAACCTTACCGTAAAAAATATTAAGATATCGAATTAAAAAATGCACCATAATGTGACAGTTCTACATTATATTTTAAATGATGATGCATCCGAGTATTTTTCGTTTAGTGTTACCGTTTTCTTAACCACGTACTACGGCTCTACATTTCACACGATTACAAGTGGAATTTTCGGAGAAACCAGTCCTAGCTGATAGTTATCGCACTTGGCGAATGTAGACATTTTTATTAATACGGCATTTGTTTTCGCTTTACATGCGGAGATTCTGGCAGCAAGTCGATATAATTGCGGTCCGCTAAAATCGAAAATTTCTCCGCATGAATTTTGCGAATGCCGTCCTGCTGAAAGCTGGGAGAGCAGGAAATCTCGCATTTCTGGCGAAAATAACCCTATCCCCGTATAATTATGCACTGCCCCGTACTGGGCAACATCAACGACCGACCAATAGGGCATAAAACATGCGGCCCTAAATCACCGGCTTCCGTCTCTTCGCAATCTTTCTCTGTCCTGTCGAGCATTTTCACAAACGAGAACTACCGCGCAAAAGCAGCAATAATTAGCCCAAAATAGGTCAAGTCTGCCTTCTAACGTTTCTCATCAAAAAAAGCTACCAACCACTAAGACGGGACGCTGCTGGTAATGAAAACACCCATTATACCGCCACTACATTTTCTGGTAGTGGACACAACCGGCGAGAGCAGAATGATTTTTCCGGTCAGGTTTTTTTATTAACCCCCTAGCTTCGCATTTATGCGCTCAGTGTAAATTAGGTCAAGTCCACTGTTACCGCTCCTGACCACTCGACCGCTATGAATTCAAAATTTCTGCTTGCATATTCGGTATGCTTAAACAGCTTAATGACGTCGTCTATTTGCATCCGCATGCAAAGGTACATTATTGAGTAAGCGCCAGAAGATCTGGAAATTCCATGAAACGGTATTTAATTTGTTTTAATTTATGGAACTCACATTATCAACGGTAATCTTAACTTTTAGTTTAGTGCCAATCTCAAAGTACAGATAACAGCTATGAAATCCTCTTTTGTAATTTCAAGGTCAAAGATGTACAAGCTGATGCTTTTAGACTACAATTTCTCCACAATCACGAATTCACTCATTAATTCTCCATAAATGTTTTTATATGATGTTAGTCACATTTTACCAAAACACAGCAGCGTGTAATATTACGTAATCGACTAACCGGTATTAAATACTCAGCTGTCCCTACTTCTGTACAAGTTCAACTGTTTTTTTTCTTGCCGTCACTACTTCGAACTAGGGAACAGCATTTGCCAAAAATCTGCCACTCATCGTACACAAATACAGAGAAAACAACTGCAACACCCCGTGCTCCAGTTGGCGTTGCATTAACGCCGCACCAGTGCAGTCACACACATATATGCCCATGCGGAAATGAAACGAGCGGCAGCATCCATATTTGATATCTCCGTAAAGTATACCGTGTGTGTGTACACGCCTGCCGCAAAACTGCTCGACGGCGTGCGGGTGATCAAAACCCGCAAAACTGGTTAATAAAGACCCTTCATTCAAACGCACTCCGGCCTCCAAATGAGCACTCGTATCGTCGTATGTTTACAAGCACTTTCTGTGCGGTATGACTTCCGAAGAAAGCATTTTCACGATCAATCGTCGACAAACCTAATAATTACTGCTCTTCATACTTTCATAGTGAAAATACTGTCTGCTTTATCAAATAGCGCGCAATCCAATTGCATAAAATAATTTATGAAAAATGTAATCCATTTTTCCAACAATGGTTTCATTCACAATAATCATATTGCACGCTGCGAGTGTGACGAAATAATGACTTACAACAATTTGTATCAGCATTACAATTTATGGGTTAATAATAATACCATCATTTTAACACAACAACAAAACCTGCGAAAACTATCGAAAAAAATATCTGAAACTTGCAAGTACGTACAGTACACTTACTGGCAGAATTTCCCGGACCGTCTGTGACTCTGGGCCGCTTGTTCTTCTGACCGCTCCGCTCCATCGTATCACCGCCAATAAATTCGAATGGCAGGTATCCAGATAGAAACACTCCGCCCGCTGGTCGAATAATTTAAATGAATAAAATATTCCGCCCGGTCAGAATGCTCTCCAACTTCCACGAAACACACAAAACCGTGCAGCGCTGGTCAAAGAAGCAGCACCGACGCGAGAGGAGGCAGACAGAAGACGGATATAACAAAATTACTCTCAATACACTTTGCAGGTCGATAACAGCCGCGCCAACGTTGCTGGCCGGAGACAGAGAGCAGACAGAGAGACAGATGAGATGCTGCTTCACTCTGTCGACATATCACATAAATGGCTTAATGCATATTACCATCGGCCAGCGCACTTGCACAAGCTGACTTGCGACGCTCAACACACACAGGGAAGTTGAATTATAACACACATCGCGTCGATGAGATCGATCAAGGAATCACCGATAAACAACAACCAACGCTCATTGGCTGCGTGGCCGGGATGATGCAGTAAAAAATGGCTACTGCAAAAACGGAGACGATCAGTTATCAGCGACACGCGCGTCAGCACTTCGCAAAGCGTTTGCTAAATAAATTACGATGCCGTTAATTAATTTGCTCTAATTAGTAACATGTGAACATGATGAATAATACAAAACTGGACCGGCAATCGTAATAATGTGGTCAATCCGCTTCTCCCCTGATTAACCAGTAATCATCCTAAATGATGACCTGAATCAACTGGATGCGTGCGTGAAAACTAGATTTGTCAGCGACGTGTTGACGAAAAAGGAGTTTTGGTTTGATTGCTCGCAGCTGGCCCCGCGCTGCAATCTCTCGCTTTAGACGCTGGCTTTACTCTGCTTCTCATAATCTCATTCTGCGCCTTTGTCTGCTGCTGCGACGACGACCGGGTCAGTGCAAAAAGGCAGATTTTTCTCAAACTGATCTCAATAACACATGCCATGGCGACGCCAACGGAGGCAAAAAAGAAATGTCCGAGCGAGCAGAAGACAGAAAGAGGCCATTTTTCTGTCCGCTTATTTGAACTTGGAAAATGGATAAATGCTGCACGCGATGTGCAGCTGCGCTCTCGGGGTTTTATAATAAAAACGCAGTGCTCCAGTTTTTAGGGAAACATGTAAAATGGCTTTTGCCACGTGCCGGTAATAAATCCCGCTGATAACAATTATTCTAATTACTGTTACGAAAGCAGTTATTCAGAGAAAAAAATTACAGATGCATTTCAGTTTAACTTTAAAGCGATCAATTATTGTATTAATAAGTAATTTAAGTACTTAAATCAGTATTAAACGTTATTTAACGTTAAACGTGCCGTTAATCTATCATGAGTCTCATGACTTAATTAAAAATACCTTCTATTTTCTAAAGCTGACGGCTTTATAGCATGTACGCATTCGGCAATTTCAGCAAAGTATAAGACGTCCATTTCAAAGGAACCCGCAAACCCCGTATTAAGCAATCTGTAGCAACTAATCATTAGCAACTTTTAATTGATAAATCACAAAATCTGAAATTACGAACTAGAATTTGGTTTTATATAAACTTTTTAACAGAATTAAGTTCAGTTTGGTAGATTAGTGATTTCTTTAACTTGTACAGCCGGAAAGCGCGTCCTAAAACGACTCGCAGGCAAACGGTAGCCGTAGCTCAATTTTTCTCAGGTCAACGTCAACAAAAAACGCAACAACTGAGTTCAAAAACGTGATAATCATCAAAAGATGTTTCAAGGTCTTTTGCACAACTTACTTTACAAGTGTCCAAACGGAGTGATGAGATGAAAAACCAGTAGTGATCACTGATCAGAGATAATTAATGCACAAATCCAAACCGTGGTGCTTTATTACGGTACCCACACCGCACTGGCAACAACGGTACCATCAAGTGGAGTATTCGAAGAAAAATATGGCGATCACGCACAGCATGTCAATTGAAAATCAACTGCGCAAATTCGGCAAATGCGTTGTGCTATTCATAACGTCGTCCGAAACATTTCAGAGGCGACTCAGCGAAGCACCGATAAAATTACTTCACGTCTGCACAATACACAACTCTGTCTGTGGCTGTGTAGTGCTGGTATATGCGACTGCACCGAGTGCAGACAGAGAACAGACAGAAAGGATGTTCTACTTCTGTCTTTGGGATCGCAATATCGATTTTTGAACGGAATAGAACGAACCAGTTGAACAAAGGTGCCGTGAAGGAGAATACACCCGGCAAACAAATCCGACAGAGAAGCATAGCAGACAGAAAGCCAAAGCGCGACCCGCTCATTGGTCGTCGTTTACGGAAGTGGGCGGCACCGTTTATCCGCGGGATCGGCCAAAAGGCCATTCAACCTGTGATCTCTGCAGCAGCAGCGACGGCGGTTTAGGCTGTTTAGTGTTAGCAGGCATCGGCTGCCTACAGGCTGGCAGCATGAGTCATTTTTTTAGCTGCACCGTACAAAATCAGTGCTCCAGTTCTGTATACTCAAAACATCCCCCACTTCGGGAATTTCTGAATTTTCGCTCCCTAAATGTCCGATCGTTTAAACAGTTGAAAAGCCAACCGAAAGCATACGAGGTACGTAACACTGGAATTTTATTAGAACCATGTTTTCTCAGCTTGACCACAGCACCGAACACGCAAAAGCCGGAAGTAACGTGCTTCTTTAACCGTAGAAAATACAACCCAACAAAAGCATCCACAAAACGATTTTCTAATATTTAACAAAACAATCTTCACTATTATTCAACAATCAACGTTTATGCCATTTTCAGTTTCTTCTTTTGAACGGTTTTTTCACTGTCCGAGCCACCCGATTCCGATTCTTCGCCTTCCATTTCCCTTTCCCTAAGGCGATCAACGGTGTACTGTGCATCGCCCAGTGCACTATGCGTGCCGTCCCTTTCTTTAGCAGGATCGCGAGCAACACCATATTCGTGGAGCGGCAAATGTTGCAACCACGACAACATACTGCAAATTCGCGAGAGAATGCAAATTAACTAACTTGGTTGTGCGAGAAATTTTCACAGGAAAGGAGAACACTATGTAATTGTTGCAGCTACGTAGGATAATGGCTAACGGCAGGGATCGCTACCACGTGCAAAATGTCAGCTCTCTCGCATCCAGAGCTTTACGCGGTGAATAAAGGCTCAAATGCAGGAATGTAAAAAAATAAATTTCTGGGAAGTATGATTATCGGCTACGGCTCGTTATTAAACGGCTAACAACAAAAACTGCATAATTATAATAATACAATGTACGATCGATCAGTCAGCTAATTATGTTAAATGAAAAAAAAATGCGTATCTCAAGGTAACACAGTGATTACTATTAATGCTTCGCATTCTACAGTTCCAGTTGTCCCCGTATATCTCCTACCTTTTTTCGTCCTTTTCGCCCCGAATGATAGTGGGAAAAATATGCTCCTCTTTAAACTGCGCTATGGTCTCTTTGCATTCTGGCCATAATAAAGCCTCATGGCATCCGTCTTTGCCAAATTTTCTATTGTACATATCAAAATGGCACTGGTCCAGCATCAATCCCAGCCCAGGAGCTCGTGGAATATTCGCCTATTAATGCATAGACGCAAATGTAAATGCTCAGTTTTATGTGTACGGCAAGTTGAAACAGCGACACGAGCACCAACACCGTAAGTAATACTATTTAAAGTTTAAGCCTAATGCCACTAAATTTTAAGCTAAACACTCGCAACGAAATATTGTGGAACTTCGAACTGCTGGTACATATCCAGTTGAGTGCAAACAATGAAATGCAGCGTAAAATACCTTGACTGGTCCGTATACAGTATCAAAAATCTTTTCCTCTACATGGCCTCTCATCACAGCGATAACCAGACCAATCATCTTCCGGATTTGGTGCATCATAAAACTCTGCCCGTTAACACTGATTGTGGCAAATTCGATATCCTCCCGGACAAAAGGGTCGGAACACTGAACAATAGCGTGCACAATTTAGGTATTAGCAAGAGCAACCACAAAAAGTAAACGCAAACAACGTAAAGATCTATTGCTACACTGTAATTGTAAAGTAAGATAATAATAATAATATTATGATCTAAACCACTAAGCAAAATATTAGTAATAACTAAACAAATTATTAGTAGTATTATTATTTTTTATTAAACAATCTTTACAATTACAACGCGACGATGGAAGATCTTACGATTAGATACGTACTTCTTTATAATTCTTTAACAATGCGAGCGACTTACGCTGATTTCTCGTATAAAACGTTTCGCAGAATCCTGCCAAGCTTTTCTAAAACAAAATCAAGCAAATGATACCACCTCTACTGCGACAAAAAAATATTATCCAGGGTAAAAGAAGACTGTTACTTACACTCCAGTGGTAAAATTATGAAAATTATTGCTTCCGAGATAGCGTTTAAGGAGCCGGTTGACGGTCTGGATTTTTTCCGGTTCGATGCGGCAATCATAAGAGACTACGGTTTCGATGGGAGCGAACGCCATTGTCGGCAGCAAATACGTGTACGTGCGTGATGAGCACCAGTTTTTACAGTTGAAACTTCTAGTTGCGCGCTTCAGTCCTGCACGAAAAAAAGCTATTCTTCAGTACCAATACTTGTACCACATAAACATTTTGAAAACACGGAACTGTATAATGTTGGGCAACAATTAAGAAGCGAATGCAGTACAGTCAGGAAAACAATCTCAACATTAGTAAGCTGTAAGCAGCTGCAAAACGCAGTCCTTACCGAACAATCTAATAACGGGTGGGAGCTCAGCATTGACTTGGTCGACAACGGCTTGAGAGGGATCAGCTGAAAAACAATTCGAAATTTCGCTCCAGACTTCAAAATGCACATGCAACACTACGCGTAAAAATTAATTAAATCTTTCCACTCACCCAAAGGTATGGAGATCACTTGTCCGGCAGCGCTCACACCTTTATCGGTGCGCGCGGTGCGCTGGAAACCCAGCACCTGCATGTCGTCCCGCCAATTCTCCGGTATAAGCTTCAGCTTGGCCATGGCGCTTAGTAAAACGTTCTCTATCGTTTCTACTTCGGGGTTGCTGAAAACAGATTTCAGAATGAGTAAACAGAACAAGGAAGCCATTAATTACAGCACAATATTAAAAAGCAGTAGCCTGATTCCGGCGCAGCATCCGATAACAAACAAACCAATTATCCGTATTTGTTTTACATAAAATAGCTGTAAACAAAATTCGAAGTTCATATGTAACATAAAAAAACGCAGAAAAAGAATATCTGTGGTGCTCCAAAAGCCAATGGCAAAAGCTCTCGACAGGCTAGCTCAAAGATATTTTATATTACTACTCATCAAGTAGGACAACTATTTTTTCTGCAATTCGACTAAACCACTATTTTACTTTTTTTGTGAGTTATTTTATAATTTCCGCCGAAATGAGAGATATTACGGTATCTCGAATTCTTACCACTGCATTCCACTAAATCCATGTCCCGAGTATCCCAACAATATCGCGCACTTTTTCAACTTCACTCTCACGTCTTTCCTCTGAAAAATTCCATTGCAAGTTGAATGCAACCCTGAGTGGTAAAGCAGAAAGAGTAGCGGAAGCCCACCTCGCGATGCACAAATCCAGTATCTTCTGGCGCGACTTTGGGCAGTGCATCTAGACCGTCAGAATCACTGGCCAGGATAGCTGGTTCCTTACTGAGGTTCTCACTGGGTTCTGGTCCCTCCACACCAGTCGCCACTGCTTCCGGAACAACAACCGCCATAGGAACGGAGAACTTGGACACTGCAGAGTGGAATACGCGTAATCCGAGTGCTGCAGGTCGGGGGAACTGCGTGCGCTTGGGTTCCGTGCAGATCGTGTTTAGCACAAGGGAAAGAAGACGGTGCCGACCAGATAACATGAAGAGGCGAGCGACATGCGCTGACTAACTGATGTGGGTTTCAAGTTTTAGCAACCGAATAAAATCAGCTCAACCAAGTACAAAGATCAGTACACGAAATAAAAACAATTTCCACGCCAGGCAAACTTTTAACAATCGTATTCCTGTTTTGGATCATCCAGCAAGCAGAAAACGAAAATATTCACTCACTAAAATCTAAAAAGGAACCTGCAGGCTGCAGGCCTTCAGCTACCGAACAACAACTGATTTTGAATTTCTAAATAAATGCTGGGAGTTGTCCAACTGCCGACCGCGGAAGTGAAGCTATAAAGTTTTCATACTGTAGTAACTGTAATGTAGTTTATAATTTATTGCTGCATTTTAGCCATTTATAGAGTAAATTTAGAATATGGAATACTCTTACCGAGCTTTCTAAAAACAGCTTTAAAAAGGTTAAATAAAACTTACATTCAGACCGAAGATCGACTTTAGCCTATTCCATAATTCCCTAATATATTGAACGGAACATAAACTACATAGGTACTATCAAGTATTATTCGTGACTATCAATTTTGAGCAAAACCGAAGAATATACCGTACAAAAATCATCCCCGGGTTAATTCAGAAGGAAAAGGAGTAAATCTCCATTCAGGAATGCTATTTTTAGGCGGTGTTACTTACTGGAGCCACCATTTCTCGAAGCGCCTCCACAACTGCTACATGTATTTTGTATTATGCCGTTTTCACTAGGGTAGGCCATAATTGTATAAGTGAGAACTGTTGACTAGTGCAGCGAGCTTTTGTTTCTTCTGTATGTACACGTGTCCTTCGTTTAGTTTTTTATTGTTTAAAAAGAATACACATATTTCCTGTCATACACCTATTTAATATTTCCCATGCCGGAATTGTTGTAGGATAAGCAGCAAAGTAAAGGTGAGATTGCCCATTGTATTAAGTCTTGCAGACTTGCGGTATAAAAGTTACAACTTCTTAAGCACACTGTTTTCACGGACGGTTTAAAGACTTGACACAATCTGTGGATCCCGGTCGCGATTGGTACGGGAAACTTAACGAACGGCGCAGACATTTCATCCGTTCATTGTACTCAATGTATACCGGATCATTTAGGGACTCGGGCCAAAAAAATTGATCAGTTGACTTTTTTATCGTAATGCATCATGACTACATTCAGGTGTTTCTTTGTATCCAGGCAGACTCGGTGGTAGCAACCCGATGGAATGACATAAACATCGCCTGCAAATATTCACTGTCTTGAAAAAATCAAAACCCATCATAAAAAAGCAAATAACAACCAATTAATATATTATAATTAAGAAATATGCTAATCAGATCGTAAAAATATGCCACATTAGGGCGATTTATCAAGGAAAAAGCCTTTCAGTTGTAGTGCACTAGCCTTTCTCTTTAATGCGTTGAAAAAGTTTTCAGAACATTAATTAAACGAACTTAATTAATTAAAACGAACGTTATTCAGTAACCGATTTGCGATTTTGCAGTTCTAGCTACATGTGACTAGGTACGCGGTAGGTTGTTGACTACGCTAAAAGAATACACACATTTCACTAAGAATACACATATCTTCACAATCAGATCTTGGAGACGCTACAAATAACGGGCCGGGATTGAAACCCAAATTCACACGGTTTGCGACCGTTTTCAAGATGATAGAAAGGAATACGAAATTCCAAAAACAAAGATTTCGTATATTTGTTAACACAAAGGCTACCCGTAGAGACCTTCAAGTGGCCACCGATGTTAAGTCAATGGGCGACATGTCTTCAAGTGGCCATACTTCAGTTATTTGACCCCAGAACCGATTTTCTTCCGGTTTTTTGGTACAGCATGTTCAGCTTAACTTGCTCTTTACAGAATACAGAGTACTTAAAAATTGTAAAATCGGTTGAACCGTTTTTTAGTTATTTACGTTGTAAAAAACCAGTGACGAAACGCTTAAGCCACGCCACGAGAGCCACTACACTACGCCAGCTTATTTCACTTATCAGCCCACATGTGCGGGTGCAGCAAGCACTCGCTTTATATGAGCGGATATGAGCACAGAGGCAACCGGGATCAAATTACGTCTTATAAAAGTCATTAAAATTTACAAAAAAAGAACAGAAATCAAAACAATAAAATCACAAATTAGTGAGCATGTGAAAAATCACAGGTTGGTGAAAATAAAAATTCACAGGTCAATAGACACCGGTTAGCAGTACGACAACAATGATTGGAAACCCTTTCCGAGGCAACCGGGATCAAACTGAGTTTTAAAAAAATCAGTAACATTTTTCGAAAAAATCAGAAATCAAAAAAATAAAACTCACAAATTAATGAGCATGCGAAAGATCACAGGTTAGTGAAAATAAAAATTCCCATGGTTAATAGACACCGGTTAGCAGTACGACAACAATGACTAAAAACCCTTTCATACATGTACTCGCCGTTTTCCACAAATCAATTCACCGATCCCTGCTAGCCGGCATACTTAATTATCCTATAAACTTATATTTTCACTAACCTGATTTTTCGCATGCTCACTAATTTGTGATTTTTATTGCTTTGATTTCTGTTTTTTTTTGTAAATTTTAATAACTTTTTTAAGACGTAGCTTGATCCCGGCTGCCTCTGTGCTCATATCCGCTCATACAAAGCGAGTGCTTGCTGCACCCGCACATGTGTGGCTGATAAGTGAAATAAGCTGGCGTAGTGTAGTGGCTCTCGTGGCGTGGCTTAACCGTTTCGTCACTGGTTTTTTACAACGTAAATAACTAAAAAACGGTTCAACCGATTTTAAAATTTTTAAGTACTCTGTAAAGAGCAAGTTAAGCTGAACATGCTGTACCAAAAAACCGGAAGAAAATCGGTTCTGGGGCCAAATAACTGCAGCCTGGCCACTTGAAGGTATGTCGCCCATTGACTTAACATAGGTGGCCTCTTGAAGGTCTCTACGAGTAATCTTTGAATTATATCATTATTTAGTAAATCATTATTCCAATTTCAAGCACTAAATTGCTTAAAGCACGTTACGTATTCGGCAAAGAACCATGCAGTCATTAACCTGCGTGGCGAACCGGTATTTGCCCTTTGCGTAGGCTGGAAGTACGTCGCTCGCGTGATCAATCGAATGTTCCTGATTTTATTCGGAATCGGTGTGCTGGTGGGAAGTTGACTGGGAACATTAACCATTCTGCTCAAATCTCAATGCGCTGTCGTTCTACAACAAGCGCGACGCGATCCTAAAAAAGTGCATCAACCAGCCAAATTCAACCCAATCTGTTCGCAACTTTTGTAGCATACTGTTGGCTTAAAAAGGGACAAATGCAAACTGGCAAACCAATATAAAATCGACTGAAACTCCAATATAAAATCGACTGGCGCCCAATTAAGTACCGCGGTTAGCGGCAACCGTGAGCTCACTTAAACTGTAAAGTTCCATGACATTTATTTCGAACGTTATTGTCGATCGTCTGCTAATGTTTATTGGTTCTATTTGTAATAGGCGATGTAGTCATCTCGTCTGCGTCTGATTATGGTTGTATCTCCGCTAAACTAGCGTGCAAGTGGGAAACACGGTAATCTTGAAATATAGCTGACGCTGTCAGTCGCTTGGCACTTGTCGTAAACGAGCGAGTTATCCATTCATGAGGTTTCTCTCCGAGAATGTTGAACAACATTAATTAACGGCTGAGAATTTATTTCCTACGTAAACACTATTACATTACGTCAGTCAATAAATACCAATACTAACCGACATTCATGCATTCTCTCTATCCAGCGAAAGCGACCAACAGATCAGAACCAACCAATATAAAATCGACTGGCGCCCATGTCTCTGATTAGAGCAGATTGTAGTCATCCAGATCGTTGTAGTCATCCAGATTGTAGTCATCCAGATCCAGATCGAGCTTGGCGGCGTTGTCGTCGTCCTGGAGGAGGCTGGTGTCGAAGTGCTGCGGCTTCATCTGACAGCGCAAAATGCCGCCGATGCCGCCGAAGCCCAGGACGAACTGCGACACTTCCGGTGAATTGCCGGTGACGATCTCCAACGTCGCATCAAAATTTTTGTGCTCATAGGCTAGCCACTTCAACAGCCCCATCTTCTCGTCCTCCTCCAGCGCCGTGCCCGTCTGTAACGCAACCAGCCGCACATCATTCATCCCAAGACAACAGAACGGTTTGTTTGCACAGTCATCGCATCGGCGAAGGCTTTAACATACGCGCCGCCGGACCTCTCTCTCTATCTCTGTCTGTCTGTTCAGCTAGACTACGATTCAACTCATCCACAAAACAACCACCGCTAGCCATTCAAAAGTCCGCTTCAAATCCCAACAGTTTTCAGCCTTTTTTCAATAAACTTGCTACAAAATGAATTTCTAAAAAAACCAAATTTGAAAGGAATTTCAAAAATTATTTCCATATATGTTTTCTGCTATAAAAAAGGAAATTACAGTACATGAATGTTTACCGTACTGATACTATATCGTTATTCTCAACATTTATTCCATTGCATTTTATTGACTGGGCATTTAAATTCATCAAGTTATTAATCTACAGGTCGGTCGCGCCAAGTGTGAAATTCCCAGCTGCTACCGCTGAACCCCAAAATGCTTTCGTTAATTTTTTATGATAGTTCTTTACGTACAGCAACTTTCTTAGTCATATTTCTGCACTAGAAGCTAATGTGCAGGTACCGGGAGCCGAATTTTATCTTTCAAATTTTTCACAAAAACCGCACTGCTTAGTAAGAAATATTCATGATCAGTCAATAATCTTTTAAAAATAATATTATTGTGAGTGGTTGAGAACTACCAACTACTGAAGTGGTCTTACAAAGGTACTTTTCTACCTTCCATTAAACTGCTAACATCTTATCCTACGCGAGCCGCGCTCCAGGCAACCACATTCTTTTAAAGGTGGCTTTTAACATACAGGTCTATGGGCGATACATCTTCTTTCGAAATTTCTAAGAGCACGGATAGCGCAAGATTCTTTTGCTTACCCACAGAGAACACCTTTTGGGTCACTCAATAGTTTTTGAAAAAGTGCTTACAAAAAGATCACCTGAATTTTATAGAAGGGCAGTTATAAACACCCGAAAAACACCCGCTACCCTCCTTCCTCAAGCTCCACCCCGCTCCTACGAACACGTTAGAAGATTCCGGTTTTATTACTATTTTGTCCGCAATGAAAAGTTACACATGAAAAGTGCAAAGTTAATGTTAAAACTACTTATAGAAATATATTAAAATTTATTTTGTGCAACTGTCCACACTTGGCGCGACCGACCTGTAATTTGACAAAGTTGTGGTCACCTAAAATTATTGTAATAATAATACTAGTTTTAAAAAAATAACTATTTTCTTACAAAAGAGCCTGAAACAAATACTGCCAGTTTTACTTGAGTAAATTAAGTTGAAAAATTTATATTCGAAAAGTTATATTTTTCATTTAATCGGCATTTAATTTGTTCAATTTTTCTACCCAAAAATGAGTTACATAATGATTTAAAAAAATTTATTTTCCAATGCCTGAATCAGGTTTGATTGGCAACAGCCAACAAATTGACCTAAAGCTAAATGCAAATGTGAAACGTTAGAAACGGTGAACTGAGGAACTTAGCTAAAACGACGTACGTCGGTAAGTTTTATCTTGTCGATGGTCTGCTTGCGGCGGAGGTAGACGATCTTCTTCTCGCCGGTGTTGGTGTTGCACAGGACGTAGCGCATGATGTCCAGGTTCTCCCAGCAGATGAGCGTCTCCACCGCGCCCGACTCAAGACACTTGACCGTGTCGTCCACGCCGAAGCACACCTTTCCCGTGTCCTGCGACATCTCGTCGAAGAACTTACCTGCCAACGCCATTAATACCCACATTAACAACGTATTTATCATTCTACATTTCATTTCATCTTTATCTGGCAAAAAAACAGCTGCATAAATCAATTCTAATGGAAATTTATTGCTTCCAGTGTGATCGGGAATAGAATATTCTTTACTGTATTTACAAGAAAAACAGAAACTAAATATATAAGAAAACTTAAACCGAAATCTGCGTTATTTTTTCCTCCACTAATTATTTAAATAAATTTCATATTTAATTAATCTACATGAATATTTATTTAGTTAATAATTTTCTCTCAATTTTCTTAATGATTTGTTTCCTGGATACTTAGTTTCTTCTGATGTCCGAGAATAAACTAACCACTACGATTATATCACAATGTTACGATATCATCAAGAATAATATCTCAGAAAAGCTCGGATGGCAGCATACCAATTACAAGTTTTTAAAGAAAATCGATGGTATGAATCATAAATTAAATATGCGGAAGCCCAAATGCAGAGCAACAACCATTGGCAGATACAGTACTTATACTGTATAACTGTATACGCACCGATGAGCATCTTAACCTGGACGAACTTGAAGCTGGTCAGACAGTCGGCCGACAGCTCGATGGCATTGTTGAAGCCCATCATGCCGCCGTACGAGATCTCCACTATCTTCACAATCTTATCTTGGAGACGCTACAAATAACGGGCCGGGATTGAAACCCAAATTCACACGGTTTGCGACCGTTTTCAAGATGATAGAAAGGAATACGAAATTCCAAAAACAAAGATTTCGTATATTTGTTAACACAAAGGCTACCCGTAGAGACCTTCAAGTGGCCACCGATGTTAAGTCAATGGGCGACATGTCTTCAAGTGGCCATACTTCAGTTATTTGACCCCAGAACCGATTTTCTTCCGGTTTTTTGGTACAGCATGTTCAGCTTAACTTGCTCTTTACAGAATACAGAGTACTTAAAAATTGTAAAATCGGTTGAACCGTTTTTTAGTTATTTACGTTGTAAAAAACCAGTGACGAAACGCTTAAGCCACGCCACGAGAGCCACTACACTACGCCAGCTTATTTCACTTATCAGCCCACATGTGCGGGTGCAGCAAGCACTCGCTTTATATGAGCGGATATGAGCACAGAGGCAACCGGGATCAAATTACGTCTTATAAAAGTCATTAAAATTTACAAAAAAAGAACAGAAATCAAAACAATAAAATCACAAATTAGTGAGCATGTGAAAAATCACAGGTTGGTGAAAATAAAAATTCACAGGTCAATAGACACCGGTTAGCAGTACGACAACAATGATTGGAAACCCTTTCCGAGGCAACCGGGATCAAACTGAGTTTTAAAAAAATCAGTAACATTTTTCGAAAAAATCAGAAATCAAAAAAATAAAACTCACAAATTAATGAGCATGCGAAAGATCACAGGTTAGTGAAAATAAAAATTCCCATGGTTAATAGACACCGGTTAGCAGTACGACAACAATGACTAAAAACCCTTTCATACATGTACTCGCCGTTTTCCACAAATCAATTCACCGATCCCTGCTAGCCGGCATACTTAATTATCCTATAAACTTATATTTTCACTAACCTGATTTTTCGCATGCTCACTAATTTGTGATTTTTATGCTGATTTCTGTTTTTTGTAAATTTTAATAACTTTTTTAAGACGTAGCTTGATCCCGGCTGCCTCTGTGCTCATATCCGCTCATACAAAGCGAGTGCTTGCTGCACCCGCACATGTGTGGCTGATAAGTGAAATAAGCTGGCGTAGTGTAGTGGCTCTCGTGGCGTGGCTTAACCGTTTCGTCACTGGTTTTACAACGTAAATAACTAAAAACGGTTCAACCGATTTTAAAATTTTTAAGTACTCTGTAAAGAGCAAGTTAAGCTGAACATGCTGTACCAAAAAACCGGAAGAAAATCGGTTCTGGGGCCAAATAACTGCAGCCTGGCCACTTGAAGGTATGTCGCCCATTGACTTAACATAGGTGGCCACTTGAAGGTCTCTACGGGTATTCCAAAAGTAACTTTCGCTAATTTGTTTCTCCCGTCAGAAACGCTTCCAGCTGATAATGTCCATATTGCTACATACTCTGTACGTTATTCATTAAGGAATAAACATAGCATACAACTTGGGTTTATTACAATCGAACGGGGAAAAACTGCCGGAAAGAACAACTGACGGTGTCTGACATTTTTCTCGTAATTTATTTTAGCAGTTCTTATTGTTGTTTTCAATGTTCCCCTTTACTTTTAGGGAAGCACAAAAAGCAATTTAGTTAAGAATTCTTTTATCTTTCGATGCGGATTATTAAACAAAACAGTTTGCACAGACGGCTTTTTTAGGAAAATAAAAACGGTAAAGGAATAGGTACCAAAACGAGAAAGCTTCGCAATAGCCGGACGGCAAAATGCATGAAAAAAATTGTTTTTGTCGGTGTAATCAAAAGTTTATGGGTACCTAAGATTATCTAGGAAAGCCATGAAGTGTACTATTTGTTGGTGCGAAAAGTCTTGAATTCATGGAAGCGGGAAAGCTGTCACGTACAGCAATAGTATCTTCTGGAAAAAAGAAGCTTGCTCCAGTCTCCAGCTCCAGTTTTGATATTATAGTAATACTAAGCACAATATTTGCAGTTAACACTTCAGTAGTTTCGTTGAAAACTTTTCAGCAACGCGTGTGGCAACAAAGAGAATAATTGTGAAAAAATTACCGCGAAAAAACAGCAAACACAGCTCGAGCTATTTCCTTTTTCGTTTCTCCAGCTCTTCACCGACGCTTTTAATTTTTGTTTCTACTGATAGCTTATATAATGGCTTACGTGACAAAAAATATCGTATTTGTGCATTACTTCAAATGGCAGAGGAGCAATTTAGGGAAAGTTACTTTTGGAATGCCCTTTGTACATACTAATAAATACTATTAATAAATAAATTAAATCTTTCGTTCTAAAAGGCATAAACGGAGCGAATATGCATGAAAACGAAAGAAAATTGTAAACGAATCGGCATGAAATCTGCTCATAATTTTTCTCTCATAAAACTGTGCAGATAATAAATGAAGGATGAGTGGACTGACCTGGTCCCAAATGTCGGGCTGCTCCAGCTCCTTCTTGAAGTCCGCACTGCCGGCCAGCACCAAGCCCGCAACGTTCACGCGATCGTAGGCGATGAAGCAGGTGACGGCGGCCTCGGCCACCTTGCGCACATAGTTGTGCCGCTTCTCCACGCGCCGACGCGCGAAACGCCCAGCCGACCGGTGCCCTGCAGAATACCGGGAGCGGGAAAGTTATTTATCTGAGCCACACGCGATGCACTACCTTAGTCAGCCATTCAGCCGATGCACATACGCACCGACGGCATCGCACTTCTTGGGCAGCTCGACCTTGAACTGCAACAGGATTTCGCGCGTGTTGCCCTGCAGCGTCCCGAACAGTGCCCCGTCCCCACCCATCACGATGAATCCGTACTTGGTGTCGTCCGCCAGCAAGGCCTGGGGTGCCTGAGGTGTCAAATAACGAATATGTATTAATATTCGCATCCATATTTCAGTAAAATATACGCATTAATACTGAATACTCTCACTAATAACAATTAACAAAATACTACATCATTACAAAATAAAATACAATATTATTAAAATGCAATATTTTTACAAACACAATATTATTACAAAATAAAACAGCAAAAATAAATGTAACAGCTGTCCACAATAATCCACCAACCTCTACCGCCATTACAGTACTGATACTATACAACACGCTACACTTCCTGCTATACTTCATTAGCCGCTCACTGGCAGACAACCATTGATATGTATTGATTTGCCGTAGTGATCTGACCCATGACTGTAATGTCGCAATGTAAACTTAATAAAATAAAACAGTAAAAAAAATTGATTTGTATCATAACACACTACACCAGCAAGTACAACTTAGTAATAAATCATAGCCAAACTCAGTGCCCTGTTCAAATTTAAGAACTTTTCACGGTTCGCTGGAACCTGCCGCAAAATAACGAAAAATGTACCTTTTCAGACGGCTTCGGAGCGGCCGGGCGCGCCCCACCAGCGCGCAGAACCTCCACGTTCAGCTCGAGACGCCCGATGGTGCGGGATAGCTCGTCAGTTTGGGCGGCCAGGTCGCTAATGGTCCTTTTTTGGTCGCTAATGGTGGCTTCATACCCTGCAGCCCGTGTCAGCAGCTCCTGGACCTGGAGCTGGAGCTCCTGGACCTGGAGCTGGAGCTCCTGAACCTGCTGTTGGGCATTCGGAGCTGCAAGAAAACCGGATAAAACAAAACATTTCACGCAAGATAATTAGGCCTGCATGGATTTAAAAAGATCAAAACTACCCGTACGGTCGCTCGAGTGGGCACCTATAGTAAGTGAATGGGAGATAGTCGTCCAAGTGGGCACTCCTTAATTATAAATCCCATAAATCGATTTCTTTCCGGTTTTCTTCTTTAACTGATTAAATGGATCGCACCCTATACAGAGTACTTAGAAATTTTTAAAAAAGCTCGAACCGTTTTCTTGCAATAGAAATGTTAAAAAAACAGTGATGAAACACTTAAGCCACGCCACGCGAGCCGCTGCGCTACATTATGATAACTATAGCCGTCGCTATACATGTGCGGTTGCGTCGTCGCTGTATAAGTGACACATGTATAGAATGAAAATGAGTAAATCTAGAGCTTAATTTTCAAAAAATGCAAGAATTGAATTAAATTCAACAATTCAAATCTATATAAATGGCCAAAGCGCACGTATGTGATTATTTCTGCAATTATTACAGTGTAGTGCTACGGCTCGCGTGGCGTGGCTTAAGTGTTTCGTCACTGTTTTTTTAACATTGCAATTGCAAGAAAACGGTTCGAGCTGTTTTAAAAATTTCAAGTACTCTGTATAGGGTGCGATCTACGGTATAGGTTTCGACCGTACGGGTACTTCGCAAACACGAAGCCACTAGCAGTACTGGCATCTCGTGCACATTACCAAATATTAAACAGTTATTCCAAGATTAGCACAGACTCGTATTAGATATTTAACACCACCCAATCGTAAGTAACAGTTACGAAGTCACACGTGCTAATTTACGATGGTAGAAACCAATTGAAAAAAGTCTTGTCTATCACAGATATCATTTTTCATGCAATTTTCTTGTTGTTGTGACATTTTTTAGAAGTAATCTTAATATTCACACATTGAAATATGTCCGGAAATTTTGTTGATCGGAAACTCAAAACCACTATAGTAAAGTCTGTAAAGATTCCAAGTTTTAATTTCAGTAAGCTTAACGTAGATCGACTACGAGTAGATTCATATTTTTAAGCTGGCTAAATTCTGAGTTCAATGGCTAAATTCCAGATATCGACTTTACCGTATCGGCATTTCTGAAACATCGTTAGTAATGCTGCCGTTAAAACGTTGCACTTGATTTCCGGTAAAATTGTTGTGGGCAAAGTTCTGCTCATTCAGCATTATGCATTGAGCAGTGGGCATTGAGCAGTTATGCTCACGATGATATTGGCAAGTTTGTGTCGAACTGGATACTGAACGCAGTATTTTTCTTTCGCTTCACGCAAGCAGTCACGCTCGGCGCAGCAAGAAGATTAAGGAGGATTAAGAACTGGCGAGGTCAGTGTCCATTAATAACTAAGCAAAAAACACATTAGAACGATCCAGTAAATTGAGCAATGATACTTCGACTACTAACATGCAAATGAAACGCACTAGCCCACATAATACGAGTATATACACATAATTAAATTATGTAAAATTTAATATGCACCGCTATTAAATTTTAACAGCGGTGCATACGTACATGTACCTACTACAGAGGGGGAGTCAGTCAAGTTGTCTCACTTTTTCGAAACTTTTTTACAATTTTCTCTATACAGATTTTATTTTAAAATGTGCTCTATCTGAAAGCCCTTTTTCTCATCTACAGAGTATCATCGTCACAGATTTGCTCCAAGCGCAAAGTATTTTCGAAGCTGAGAAATTTTTACACCGGGCCATGGTCCACGCGCTACACGCAACAAATCGCAAAGCGACGTCGCACCTCTTCCACATTAAATTTGATTTAAAATGCCATTTACTCCAAAATTCATGGATGACAGATCAAAAAAGTTGCCAGGCCAGTTGGTCTTTGGGCTATAGCGAATTCAGTGGGAAAGAATCCCCTGGTACGTTTCCTCAGCAGTTTGTTCCGGAGGGGAGTCCCGGTGGAGGATCACCTCCGTTCTTTCAGAATGTGGATATGAGGCTATGCGACCATTTAGTCCTACATTGTATCACCATTCCCCACCATTGCAATTGTGGTGAATGGGCCGATGTGCGAGGATGCCACGGCTTGAGTTGCAAAATGAGCCGGGGACGGAAGCCCGGGCATAGCTGTATTAACGTCACTTAAAAGCGCGCTTTCGCTTCGGCCTGAAACGAAACTTGAACCAGCTGGTATTTCCCGGACCGATCGCAAGCGCCCCGTATGGTTTTCTTAGGGTTTCTCCGGTTTTCTTAGATTTCCTTCTTTCTTAAATTTCGTAATTTTCTTAACCACTGGGACCGTGCGATCAACCGTTGCGAAGTGCGCATTGCGTAACAAACTTGCGCCGCAAAAGGTTGTGTACGGATGTAGTCCTCCGTAAACTGGTTAACTACATCCGTAACAGCCGTGACGGCCTTTGCTAAGAAAATTATGTTTGGACGAACGGGTAGGCCGATTTCAACGCGGTCAAGTTCGCCAGAACCGCTGCAACGCCCCGGTGGATGTTACGCTATTACCGAGACGATGCGCCTCGAGGGGAAAAAAGGGGACCGGAAAGGAAAGTTGTTACCATGGGCCTCCATAGACATACATGGACAAGTTGTTCCCATGTGCGTAAATGACACAACACGCCTCGGCCAGCGGCCTCGATGCGAACAAAAACAAAATTAATTAATCACCAAAAGCCGACGCCGATAAATTGGTTACGGATGTAGTCCTCCGTAAACTGGTTAACTACATCCGTAACAACCGTGACAGAGTAAGGTTAAAAAACCTATGTTTGAGAGAACGGGTAGGCCGATTTCAACGCGGTCAAGTGCACTAGAACCGCTGCAACGACGCGGTGGATGTTACGCTATTACCGAGACGATGCGCCTCGAGGGGAAAAAAGGGGACCGGAAAGGAAAGTTGTTACCATGGGCCTCCATAGACATACATGGACAAGTTGTTCCCATGTGTTTCCCATGTGCGTAAATGACACGACACCCCTCGGCCAGCGGCCTCGATCCGAACAGAAACGGTTAATTAACCACCAAAAGCCGACGCCGATAAATTGGTTACGGATGTAGTCCTCCGTAAACTGGTTATATGAATACTATACATCTCTTGCAGGTTTTCTGCCTCTTCTCTTTGTTCGCTATGATCTCAGCTCCCACTCATCCAATTTTCTCGCTTTAAAATGTTCTGGGAACCGCTCGGCCTGGCGGGTGATCTAAGGCTAATCGTTGTTTGCTATATTCAGAACCTCAAGCCCAGTGGTCACTTGAAAGCTTGTTACCATGGATGCCATAGGGCTAACATGGGCTAGTCTGTTACCACGGTCACATTACACTGTATGTTCATGTACTTAATTAGCTCAAACATGAAACACCTTTGGCTTCGCCTCTGCGTTTCTTGTAGTATTTCGCTTGATCACTGTCGGATCTTACGGCCCAGTGCACTGAGGTGTATCAACAGTTCGGTCAACCTCTCACAAATAACAGCCCAGTTAACTTAACAGTAATACTGCGACGTAATTCTTCGACTTCTAGTAACAAAAAATCCTAACTCACTTATTTACAGTACCTAGTCGTAAGCCAATATTCATCCGTGCTCATCTTGTTATATGAATACTATACATCTCTTGCAGGTTTTCTGCCTCTCCTCTTTGTTCGCTATGATCTCAGCTCCCACTTATCCAATTTTCTCGCTTTAAAATGTTCTGGAAACCGCTCGGCCTGGTGGGTGATCTAAGACTAATCGTTGTTTACTATATGCAGAACCTCAAGCCCATTGGTCACTTGAAAGCTTGTTACCATGGATGCCATAGGGCTAACATGGGCTAGTCTGTTACCACGGTCACAGTACACAGTATGTAGTATGTACTCAATTAGCACAAACATGAAACAGCTTTGGCTTCGCCTCTGCCTTTCTTGCAGTATTTCACTTGATCACTGTGACACTGTCGCACCTTGCGGCCCAATGCACTGAGCTGTATCAACAGTTCGGTCAATCTCGCAGCCCAGTTCACAATACTACGACCAAGGTGGATAGTAACTATCCGGTCACAGTCGCATCACAATTAACTGTTAATTGCCAGTCGCATCACAGTTAACTGTTAATTGTGATGCGACTGGCTAAAACTTGCTGCATGAAAATTCAGTACTTTTCGGCATGTTTGCGTCAAAGGCATCAAGTTGTAATTATTAAGAGCCCAAACGTATGGCACGGCCTACAGCCTCAACCGCTCCGAATTTTTCAAAACGGATTGCACATTCTCTTATTAGTTTTTCATTCTCTCCATGCTCGTTAGCGATTTGATTTGAAAATATGATTTTTGCATAAGTCGATTTATGAATATGAGTGAGCCTCATATAAGTCGTTGCAGCAGTCGGAGTGAGTGAAACTGCAGGGCGCAGACAGACTGCCGCTAGCCCGCTGCCTGCCTGGCCTCTATGTATATGTACATGTCCGATTCAAACCACTTTCATACTACTGTACTCGACTCAGATGTTTTTTGGAATTTCAAAAAACAAATTGCAGATTCAGAATCAGCGAAAAATTTTACTGTGACTTTCAGTGTGCGAAAAGTTTATAGCCGTTATGGATCGTCCGCAAATCACTGCCATACGTTTACAACTTCATGGCCGTTTCGGCCAATTGTATTTCTTTTGTCTTTCAAGAAACTTTAACGAGGTGTGACGGCAAAAAAAGTACTGAATTTTGCCACGTTTAGTCACATCACCAGTACACACCTATTCACTTTGTTCCGACGTAATTCTGTGACAACTAGCAACAACAAATCCTAACTCACTTATTAACAGTACCTAGTCGTAAGCCAATATTCATCCGTGCTCAGCTTGTTATCTACATCCGTAACATCTTATACACGAGTATGCTTTGTTCCAAATGATTGGGCGAACGGTTGGGCCGATTTTCACGCAGAAAAGTGCGTTAGAATCGTCGCAACGACGCCGGTAATGTTACGCTATTGCTTAACCGATGCGCCCCAACGGGGAAACGGAGGCCCTAAAAAATAAATTGTTGCCATGGGCCCCCATAGACGGACGTGGGCTATTCATTTGTACAGTCGCAGCGACAGAGGCAGCCCGGGGCCTACGGCATCGCTTCGGCAAAAAAATATAAAAAATCGTAAAAAATACGACAAATAATGTTAGTTAAGCTGGCGACGAATGTAATCGGTTTTCTTGCTTTGTTTCTTAGATTTCTTAGATTTCTTAGATTTCTTAGGTTTATTAGGTTTCGTAGGTTTCTAAAATTTCTTAGATTTTTTAGGTTTTCTTAGGTTGCTCATATTTCTTACGTTTTTAAGGCTTACAAGTCTTGCGCTCGGGAAATTTTTTGAATACAGAGATTCGTATGTCTTTAAACAAAAATTTTCGAAACTAATGTACGCCACGACAATACGTACGGATGTAGATCCCGTAAACTGGTTATATGAATACTGATTATCTGTGCCAGGACTTCGGCCCCTGTCCTTTGAGGCAAAGGTTCTCGGCTTCTACTTCACCAATTTGGTTGCTTTAAAGTACATCAAAATTCTCTAAGTGTAGCGGTGGATCCAAGATTGTTGACTTTTTGCCAAAATCATTTGTCTAGGTCCAGTGGTCAATCATAAGCTTGTTACCATGGACGCGATAAGAAATGCACACTGTTCTAACACAATTTGACTGAAAACAGCAGAAATATCTGAGCTGCTACTTAACAATAAGTACGAGTACAATACAAACAAAAATTCATGTAAGAACACGTTATTAGTCATTATCATCACGTTAGCGATCTTTGCAAGTTATGTAGTGTATGTACAAGTAGACAGTCTGTGTTTCGATTAACTTATGTAAAGTGTATCATAATATTAAGTACTAAACATACGTACTGGTTTATTAATATTATGACAGTCTGTAAGCGACCGCAAAGAAACACATCCTTGGTTTACTTAGTTTTTGATAGTCATCGGCCAATATTCATCCGTGCTGGGCTTGTTTGTACTGTACTTGTGTAGTGATGCTTATCAAAGATATCTTAGCATACGAAACCTTCACCGCAGCCAATAAACTTACCTTCTTCCTCCTGCGCGACGCCGCCGTTACCGTGATTATGCGCCGCCATGCTGCAAAAAATTGTTTGATACAGTAAAACCTCCACGTAAGGAAACTCCCACGATACGTACACCTCCTCTTTGCATACGAAAAATTTTGTACCATATATATATAGTATAGACTACTAGCAGACCCGCGCAAACTGCGCGGAATAAATAAGCGAAAGGTAGCTTAATGAAAAAATAACTGCAACTACTTTTATACGTTTAAGTATTTTTATAAGCGATCTGTATAAATTGCTTGCTAGTCTGTTACCAATATCGTGCTGGTATGCCCTGTCACTTCCGTACGAACATTTTACCACCCCGTCAAGTCGCCAACTGCCATCCCGTAAACTGCCAGGCAACCTTAGACTTGAGAATTCGAATTTTTCAAATTTTCTTCCCGGAAAAGGAACAGATTTCTGTGCAGTTTCAGATCGAATCCTTCGCGTAATAAAAATAAATAGCTATCGTTCCAACTTTTCGCCCAGTTATTAAGCGGAATCTCGAAAATGTAAATTCAACTTTTGATACCCTTTTATTTTTACCATCGCACGCTGCTTCAAATTTCCGTGTACAATTTACCCTGCAGTCCACAAATACTGAGTAAGTTACTCCCGTTTGACAGCCAGTTTATCCGAAAATCGTCTGATTCTGAACTGGTTTCTTAATGCTTTGTATTCAAAACGCAATGATAAATTAGAAAAATTAAATAGCCCTTTTAACATTTTATTAAACTGAACTTCTAATAATTAATTCTATCATCGCTTGTTATAACAAAGCACTTGCTGCTCTGCGAGCTACTTGAGAGGAAACAGTATCCGCACTGACAGATCAGTTGTACACTTCGGATGTTCACCACTCGCGCTCGTTTAAAACTTAAAAGCTCAATCCATGTAAAAATGTCCATAAAAGAAAATTAGACTCACCGTTGACAATTAGACCCGTCAGCAGAATGTTTCCCCCAGTGCAACAACAAAGATCCAGAATAATCGTGGAATGCGTCAATGCGATTACATCCTGCCCGCGGTCCGGTGTGACTGGGCAAACAGTAGGAATGATTGATGCATGAATCTCGAAAAAATGTGACGATAAAACCGTTTTAATTTACCCGATAAAAATCCAAATCACACCCAATCCCCAATAAGCTTCTTTGTTGGAAATATCGACTAATTCAATCGTTGGACTCGTTTTTCAAGTTTAGAATATGCACACTCACAGGTTCATTCTTGAGAAAGACAGAGTTGACTCGTTAGAGAGTTCAACTGGTTTAGACGGAGTTCAAGGAAAATCAAGGCGGCTCCTTCTATCTGGCCATCGGCCAATGGTATTTCGCAATTTAAATTGGCAGCCAATGGGCACCGGCTAATACTGCTTAGTACATAGTCCCTGTTGGACTGGCTTGAAACTGCTGATGATACAGGGAACGTTCAATTATCAGCCTCTTGGTTGGGGTTGCTTGAAAATTCAGGATAAAATAAAAAAAATCAAATTTCTTATTTATGGTATAATTTATTTGTAGTTTGATACAGATAGTGGATTATTTCATTTTCCAGTGAGTTTCGGTATCCTTTGCTTACTTAGACCATTGTGGATATCTGTATTTTGAAAACTATCTGAATTCATGGTGAGAATGCTCGCCTCCAGACTGTTCACTCGCGTTTTTACGCGAACTGCCCGTGGAAAGAAGAACTTCTCTACGAGCAAGAGTCGACGGAGTGGTGATCACCATGATGAAGGTGGCAACCCTGGCGAGGTATGATTGAATGACTGCTTTTCGGATTATCCTGATATCTTCATCAGGAAGCATGGTTTATAAGTTATCTCATACATTGTAGAACCTTCCGTTCGACATAACCAACCGATACAAGTTTACGCTGATCTACACAGCGTTCTTTGCCAGCGGATTTGGTCTTCCGTTCCTTGTGGTTCGTCATCAGCTGATGAAGAAAAATGCACCACAGTAAGTAGCGTAATCATGATGCATACCTATCTGTACCGTGTGCTCTTTAAAATTTGATGAAAATATTAAGTGAACTTTTTGTTTCAGATAAAGGAGTGGAAATTGTGTGAGAGACTGGATATTGTCGTTTTGTCGTGGTGTGCATATTCAGTTGTGTAGATATAGAGTCGCGGCTAATAATACTGATGGTGAATTGTATTTGCTTGCGCCGAGGACTGCATTTATCCTAAAGTGAAGATTCGACACGCTGGTTTTCATGTTTTGGTGAGAAATACAGTAGCTGCATTCTGTTCCGCGTTCTGGAATAAATCAGTGCGAACTCGGTTTCCACATCCGGTACCTTATGCAAGCATCCTCGCCTATCTGCTATCGCATTATTGGGAGCAATAAAAGACCAGATCAATATCGGAGACATGCAAAATTCAGATATTTTTATTATATTATATTTGCGCTATTTTCGATCATGCTAGCTTAAGTACATGTTTCAAAAGCCAGATTCCATGAGAACAATGTCAGTCATAATAAACTGCAACGGAAGTTAAATTTTTAAGGATTTCTTCGCCGGAGTAAAAAAGATTACATTGAACTTTACAACAAACAACCGAAATAAATGATATCTGTTAGCAATTTATTGTCCAGTGGTCGCCATTAATAACGATATAAGATCCGAAGATGCAAATATGGTCTCTTGATTGCTTTGATTTCCTTTGTCATTAACTGGCAGCGACGCATCTTTGACCGGTTGACAGCCGCCAGTACTCTGTAGACTTTGAACTACTCTAGTGAGCGCATGCGATCATTCTGTCTCTTAGTGAGAGCAATTTGGAAATCCTGGTGTCATGTCAGTATTTTCTTCTACAACAAATTTTCGAAATTTCAAAAAAAAATTTGAAAATATGCACGAATGAGCTGTTAATTATATGCCCTAAAAATCTTAACAGTGATAAGATTTTTAGGGCATATATACCACTATTCATTTGTTTGCCGATGACGCCGGATGTACAGAGCTCTTATCTACCAGTCAATGTGCGCGCGCGCGCACGGCCGCGGTAGTGGCGGTAAATTTTGCGCAATTATAAATTGTCCAAACAAAAAATAATTTTTACCTAGAAAATATTATAGATGACTGTCGCTCCATTTGACGCATTATCCGCAGATGAAAAAATAAAGCAATAAAATTGTTCGTTGTGTGCTTTTGTCTACAATAGATGAATCAGTACATCGCCCGGAAACAGATTCCCTTGAGGCATCCACCTCACTTTCACGCCACTGTGACAATTGTTTTGATGGTTTCGCGAAAAGCAGTGCACAAAATACTCCTTGCCTTAAACGCTTTCGGATCCGGCAATTCGTCTTCCGGAAACGTCTGGCCGTACATATATAAAACAGCAGATGCTTGTAAGAATGGCCAATTACATTTCGACCTTCACAAGAAGTTTGCTGTCACCTCTTCGACTATAACTTTTCGGTTTGTAACTTTGTATACAGTAATATCACTTGCGTCTCCGATCTCGAATTACTGATATACCATGGCTGTTCCTACCGGCAAATTTGTTAACGTCGGCCAAGATCCTAACGGGGTCGCCTTTTTCACAAGTGTTGGTTAGTACTACAGTATTTTTTAACCGTACTCACAATTGCAGTAGTACACGAAAGTACTCGAAATATTAAGTATTATATTTATATAGGCTGTTTGATGATTTCTGGAAGTATTTACCAAAACCGCTTTTTGAAACATACGTATACGGATCTAATTATTTGTAAAAAACGTCGAATGCATTGGAACTAATTAAATATAATCAAGTCGATGTTTAGGATATACTGAACAAGTCGCTTCTGACATTAACAACTCGAAAAACGAGGTCACTCTGAAAAAGGAAGGCGACGGATATGTGATGACTATTGCCCAGCCGGATCTGAACCGTCAGCAGGACTTACGCTTTAAGCTTGGCCAGGAACAAACTCAAACTTTGCCTAGCGGAAAAACTGTTAAGGTCAGTTACCAATATCATTGCCATGATGCACTTTGAGCAAACTAAACAGCCCGATCCCATGTTAATTATAATGTTGGGGACTATCAGTTTAGTTAATTTTTAGAGGTTTTAGTCCATATTATATTTTTTATGTTATGAGTATCAGTTACGCATTTATAATACAAAAAATTGTACGAGGAGAAATGCCGTGCTGTACTACAGCATTCTCGCGGTGGATCTTCCAAAAAACCTTGAAGATGATGTATATTTGCAGAGTACCACAAACTGGAACGACGGAGCAAAAACTCTGGAAGGCAAATATACCAACAGCGATGGATTGACGTGGTCGGTGAATTTGATTTTTAAGAACGACACCGAAATGACCTTGGTAAGAATACGCTGATTATTATGTATCTGTTTTCTATATTTGTATAAAAAGATGAGCCATCGTCTGCCAAATACTTACAAAGTTTTGCCTTTTCCGTTTATAGAAACGCGACAGCCCATCGGTCCACAACTCTTCCCTGGAATTCCGACGTGCTACTTTGACACATGTTGATTAAGACGTTTTCCGGTAAACCGATGTTGTTTTTTAATTATTAGCGGGACAAGATAATACAGTTTGTTCTTCTTTATACTGGCGTTGCTTTTCTTTACAAGCCTCTGTCAGGGATGCAGTAGTTATTGAGTAGTTACCGAATGATTTTGCTTTGCGGTAAAAAAAATAAATGCCTTTTCGAAATTATATCTGTTGTTGACGAGTTCGCTGATTGCCCACAGATTGATCGCATCATCGCAAATACGAGTATTATACTTTATTAATTAGTGTTTCCTGTGTGTGTTGGTGCGCAAATACACCCGGCAGTAGTCGTGAATTACCTAATTACTTTACCTGCAGCATTGCCAGTAGGACGTAGACGATTAAGCCGGTAAACCAACAAAACCTCTTTTACATTAAGGGCAGTTACGAGGTACAGTATATCTATATATACACCGGGATGTGCACTGTTATTTTACTGCAGTTTTTGTTTTAAGAGATGTGTTGCCCGGACCCAGGTTTCCTTAGGGTGTCCACCTCGCCTTTTAATTGCTACCGTTATCCACGCCTACAAAAAACGACTAATAATTTATAAGCGGATTAAACTGTTGTCTCACTTGTCTGTAGTGTGTCAATATATCAAGCTGGTAATTAAACTAAAATTATACTCATAAAATGTGATGCAGAGAAACATCATAGTACCTACTACGGTTGTAAAAAATATCCTACGAATACAAAGTAAGAAAAAAATAGAAATATTAAAAGAAAGAAAAGAAATATAGAGAAATATATATATGAAACATACAAAGTAAGAAAAAGTTGGTGGGATTTCTTTCATTTGGTGGGACTTGCTTAGATTTTGTATGCGCATGCCATTAAATTTCAATCGTCGTATTTGCAGTGCAATTGGTTCTTTAAGAATTTAGGTTGCTAACCTGAGCCGGCCGGTGCGCACCCAGTATTATCGATATCATAAACCAAATATGCCCAAATGAATTTAGTTGTCAGTTATCTTATCTTACTTACTCTAGTGAAGTAAGAGCTCAGAACCAGTACGTGTTGTGAATATGTTCTGGAAGTCTGCGCGTGTAGCATCAATTTCGTTCCTTTCGGTACAAAATTATGGAATTGTCGTAGAAGTTTAATTAACTTAGCTGAAAACTAGCCACGTTACTAGCCACGTTCCATAAGCTTTTTGTACATCACCTTCCCAGTTAAAATGAGCGCGACAGCTTTTTCCTTCTGCCGATTTCCGATCATCCAAACATCTCCGTAAAAGAGCCCGATTTCTATTAGAGCATCCCGACCTGGAAATACCAACTGATATTGAGTTCGAAATTGGTGTGAGTCCAGGAAAGGTCTTCGAGACGCACAAGTATGCAATGTGTATTTACCGTACTTAAACTGCTCGCAATTGTTCTTAACCATACGCGCAACATACTGATGCATAAATTTATCTCACGCTGCGCATCTATGCACCAACTTTCCTTTGTAGATTGTTTTTAGCTCTGGTAAGCGCCGTATTCCAAACACTTTTCTACGGTTCCATCGAGCTCAAGGAACAACGAGTGGAACTTCCGGATATTACTCCAGAAGCGTTCCAGAATCTACTACAGTAAGCTTATACGTAAGCTTATCGTCGGCTACAGATATCGGTCTATCGTAATTTATATATAAAAAAACTATACTCTCAGAAGACCTTATAGACTGTAAATTAACAAGTAAGCTGGTTTCAGTTACGCATTTACGGATGACATAAGCGGCTTAACCATGAACAATGTCATGGACACGTTGTACTGCGCTAAAAATTACATGATCGATAAACTGAGTCGAGCCTGCCGGGATTACGTGCAGTCGCATCTCAGTGCGGATTACGCATGCGATATCTTCCAACAGGTACAAGGTTTATTTAAAAGTGACCACTCCGTTCACACCCTTTCACACCCTTTTACTCCGTACACAACCTTTTGCACTACATACCTTTCATTCCGTGCACAACCTTTGACACTACCATTCACTCGGTACACTACCACTCCACGATCAGTAAGAGTCTTATTAAACGTTTACTGCAATACATAAGTCCTTTTAAGCTCTTTGATAACTATTATGTATGTACTTATAATAATCTGGAATTTTTTTCTCTAAAACTTTTGCACTATGTCAAGCTCGGAAAGCGAAGATTGCACTATTTCAAGCATTAAGCACAGTCCAAACCCTGCGAAGAAAAACCGGCACAACTCCGCACAAGCCGGAGCACAACTCCGGCACAACCGGGGCCGGCACCGGCACAACTCCGCACAAGTCGGCGCCTAGAATAATTTTTTCACGGGAATTCGATTTTTTAACTTTCGATGATGCTTTGAAATATGCAGCAATAACTGCTGCTAACGAAAAAGCGGTAGTTCCAGAAATAACTTTGCTGTGAAAAAATTTAAAAAAAAATAAAAGGTTGTGCACGGAGTAAAAGGTAGTGCTCAAAAAGGTTGTGCACGGAATGAAAGGTAGTGCAAAAGGTTGTGTACGGAGTAAAAGGGTGTGAAAGGGTGTGTACGGAGTGGTCACCTTATTTAAAAGGAAAACGGGAATACATATAGAATTTATATCTGGCAATATGTGACCTTTTGCGTATATATATAGGCCCAAGAAACTGGAGAAAGCGAATTAGCCACATTGGCTATGGCCGAAATATCATGATCCACTATTGTCGCTATGCAGAGCGACGCTTTCAAAGATCTCCGTTTGATACTCTAAAGCAGATTGAGGAATGTAAGAATTTGAGCGCCTCGGAACCAGCGATTTACGATCAAGTATGCCGGTAAATAAATGCAGTAAAAATTACTCTGGCATTAATTTTATTAGCATAGCTGCTGTATTCGCTTAAAACAGGAAAACGCAACGTTAGTAATGTATCTGTAATTTGTAAATGAAAAATAGTATATACGAAGTATAAACAGATTACAGATTTTTTATACCGCTAACAAAGCAAACGCTTATTTGAAGTTTATAACAAAGATTTCTATTATACAAACGGTATCTGGGTGCACGGATGGGCAAAACAAGATATCACTCCTCCAGTGTCTGGATATGCCTTGCGTGAAGTGCTCGGCACCATCTTTCACTCCATCCGCTTCCCTTTATTCACGGCGTCTCAATTAGCTGATGGCCCGGTAGCAGTAAGTTTTTTTGAATTTTTGCATTCCCATTTATAACATAAATATATTAATTATGAGTATTTAATTTTTTACGTCTTAAAACATTCGTTGCAGGACGAAGTATTCGACGATAAAGAGAGCATTGGTCTATTTCGCCATATTTGTGCAAAGGTCAAACCCGAGATCCCATTCATAACGGAACCACGCCTATCGATCCGCAGCCGAATTAAAGTCGCATTCGGTGTTTACGCGACAAATTTTGGAAATGATTCGGAGTTTGTTGGCAACGTGGTGATAGAACTGCGGCCTGATCTCGCTCCCGAATGCTGTCGGTTCCTGGTAGAGCAGATTCAGAGCGAAAGCTACCATATTGCTGTCGCCACCGGCTCGGTGAAAATGAGCAACGATCACGAAGAGAATATAATATTAGGTCAAAGTGTGGTGGAGGAACAGAGTGTACTGTCGCCAACGATTCCCGGTGCGGTGTGGTACGAATGGAGCACGGAACCCGATGATGCGGGCAATGAAAATTACGTTGACCTTCACATTGTCACATTGTCACGATACAGGCGGAGTGACCGCAGTTGTGCTTTTGGGAGGGTAGTCGAAGGGCTGGATATTTCAACGTCCTTCGAAAGTTTTCAGCGGACAATGGATCTGATGTTAGGCAAATGGTATCACTGTAGAACAGCGGACTGGTGTGTTATGGAAGACAGTCCAGATGCTAGCAGTCGGGAGAATTCGGATACGGAAAGCGACTCTGATTCCGACTGAACTGGACTAAATTCCGTATGCTATGGCATTTTAGCGCACATGTACAGATTCACAAATACGATATTACAATTACAACATTAATTTGTTCACTATTTTGGCCGGCTTTATACCAACAGATACAGTATATCGTACATAAATCAAACGAAAAAATTACAAAACATGATTTCGCTGCTGCCGTAAATCGGAAGGTCACATACTACATCGGTTTTTTTAGTTGGAAGAGCCGTCAGTACACTTGTCGGACATCTCGGTTTACGAGGATGTTGCTTACGGAAATTCGGTCGCCGTTCCCAACCACCACCACCAGAAAATCACCATTGAAAGCATTAATCTAACTAATTCATCACGAATCACAGTATGAGTAATCATGCTTAGACTAATTTTTAAAAAAAATTATAACAATTATAAGGACATTATGAGTGTGTTTTGTACATGGATTGACCTAATGAACAATGCTGCATCGTTTTGGCTTTCTGAATCTATTTGTATGTAAACTGCGCCAAATCAAGTTGGCAGTATCCTTGGAATCGCTCCAGTGTTACAGGTGCATCTGCAAAATGACAAAACGTTCACATAACGGTGCCAACGCCAGCTTTTTTGCTGTTCGTCGAAAATAATGGCACTCTAAACATTTGCTTAAAACAACAAAGCGTTCACTTACTAAACTGAAACCAATCATTCCCTTTCTTTGTCTCATCCAGAGCTGCATTGCACGCGTTCCGTAATGCAAAGACAACGGCATTTGTCATGCAAAGCGGAGGTTCGGCGACCACTGGAACATTTCATCCAGTTATAGCGATTTTTATCATTGTTGTCAAAATACAAGCATTCGATTTCATGTTCAGTTTTACTACATACTAAATAAAAAGCTTACATTTGCTTCGTAGAACGCCAAGAGGATTTGGAGCATTTTGGAGGATTTCTACTCGGAAATCAATGGGAATGTCTTTAGTAGACGGGGGCTTATAAGTCCAAGTGCTATAGGTCACCAGTTCACCGGTTTTTGAGTCGTATTTTAACTCCTCCGAAGTATAGTATCCCAATCCCATAATGACCGCACCTAAATTCCGCCGTGTTGTGAGGTCGTGATCGGGAATCACAGATGCAACAAATTAACCGAAGTGCTATAAAACACCCGTACCTTCAATCTGACCCACATCTGAAAAACAGAAGAAAATGATTTAGATATCAATAATTTCCCGATATTTCCTCAATTTGTGACGCATTGTTTCTTTCGAAATACGAAGATGCAAGTACTTCAATGATACGTTAGAACACAATGGAAACTTTTCTTACCGACAAAAGGCGACATCGATTCACCGCAGTCATACAGGACATCGTATCGGTTAATCTGATATTCGCCGGTTAGAATTTTGGTTTCAACTTCGCAGCACGTCACGCCGTATGTATTATAGCAAATGGGAGCATCCGCGGTCTGCGGTGCAGTCCTGCAAGACATTCCAAATGTACAAGAATGTTTTCTGGTGACATATTTTTTTCGGTTTTTATTCAGGTCACAAAATTTCGTGTGGATTTACCAAGCGCGGGCAGAAAGATCAATGCCTTGGGAATAACACTTTTCCACCAGATCAGCCCACGGCGTGTCGGCTTTCACGGAGTCTTTTACCGGTTTCATACGAGCAAGCAACGAAGAGCAGCAATCCAGAGCAGCCTGTGTTTTATAAAAAACCATCTGATGCATATAAATATTCTAGACCCCACCACCAATTAATCAGCTTACGTAGACTAAGGGCGATAAGCGCTACCCGGCGGGTTATGTTTACCTCATTAAAATTAATACTATTCAAGGAAAGTGTTAAAAAATCTACGAAACATTCCATTTTTTCTCGGACAAACTTAATACTTAGTATTCGGTTTATTCTGGAAGCTACTCTAAATTCTACATAACTGTACTCGGATACAGGAGTCAAATTAACAAGCAACTGTATGCAGATAAGTGATACAATATTTAAAGTATTTTATATTGTTTTTATGAATGGTTCATGACCAATACTTATTTAGGTACGAAATTGTGGATATTACGCTGTCGGTTATGCTTACCAAACAACACAATTCACTCGTCATGCTTCCTCCGGTGCTGGTGGCATTGGCGCTTGTGAAGGACATATTGGCTTTAATCGAAACCTGATCCAAGGGAATATTGAGTTCATGCGCCACCACCTGAGCCACTTTGGTGTTCAGTCTCTGCCCGATTTCTACACCGCCATGCGACACCGCGACAGCACCGCCGTTGTTGAAAATCGCCACGTGACAGCTGTACTGGTTCCCGTTCCACACGGTGCCGTACTTCATAGGGGTCACCGATATACCGCGCTTCCGCCAACGGATGTTCTTGTTAAAGTCGTTAACGGCTTGCAAGCGGTTCTGGTAATCGGCGGACTTAAGAAGCTGGGTGGTCACGTCGGCAATGCTGCAGTATGATATACTCTGACCGGTGATTTGTTTGTCACCGTTTTTATAAAAGTTGGCTTGTTTAACGGAAATGGAGGGTTTTTTTAGGACTTTGGCAATGTGTTCCATAACATATTCGATAAAATAAATCGCCTCCGTTGATCCTGGAAATACAGTTTACACGGTAACGATAATAAAGATAAAAAATTTTCGAAATTTTAGCAGAGTATTAAGCATTACATTTACAGTATGAGCATATTACACACAATCTGGAACTCACGATTGTTTTCCATATTCCGAAACCAGTTTTTCAGAAGATTAACAGAAAAGAGCGCAAAGTTTTCATTATATGCACTAAAATACATTATTTGCACTTAAAGTTAAATATTTTTGGGTCGCTTTGCTGACAACCAGATTTTTGGCATATTCCATCTGCAAATACCGTCGTACAGAGTATATATTGTAGTGCAGCGCTTGCATCGTCGAAAATGCGCATCGATGCGAATTGGAAAGTTTGCATACGTAGTGACTGAAACGCACTTCTCAACAATCTTAATGGAACAGGATGCAAATTTTTATTATAAAAAATTTATCTGACAGTATTGCTTCTCCTATAAAGGTTTACTATAATCTGCAAACAATTCTTACCGGGAGCGCGACACCACGTGCTAGGAGGTAAATTTGTCTTGCAGTTCTGCATGGAAATTTTCCAATTTGCGCAGTTATAAGCTGAAATAAACAATACAATAAAATACGCATAATGTAGATGTCAAAAAAAACATTTTACTATTGTCTCCCCAGGTTAATTCGCCATTGACGGCCGAGTCGTTGGCTTGTGCTCCGATATTCCCGTACACATCCAGAATCACCCCCATCAGTTTACCGTTGTTGTCGAAACCAGCTTGATAATTTGTCAAATAAGGAAATCGTTTTCCAATGGCGCGATTATTGTCCCACAGATTCATATGGAATTTAACTGGTCTATACCAACGATGAAATAGTGTCAGATTAATTATTGCAGAAAACTTAATTAACGCTGTGCATAAGAGTTCCAATAAGCACGTATATTAAACAAAACTGTACCTGTTAACAAGATACGCCGCCAACGCGCATCCGCTGGCAATAATATTACTCCTTGTGATTTTCGCGCCATAAGAGCCACCAATTCTTTTAACTTGGACGTTAACCCTGCAACATTTATTATTAAAGTTGCCGAAGACATTTATTATTAAACTTCATATAAATGAGGTACAGCTTTAACGGATTACAATACAGGGTTGCTAAACTTACACTTGTCAGCGTTTTTTCCAGGTTAAAAAACGGAAATACCTGCTTTTGGTCATGCCGAGCACTTGTGCAACACCATCCTGAACGGAATCCACCCATTGTGTCGCTGCCTCAACATCAATACCATCTTCCGTTGGCCGGCAAACGGCAGCCTAACAACCAAAACGTTCCTAAAAACTTTTACTGCTGGATCATAATGTGCCATGTTCATCCGGATTTATAAATTTTTCTGTGGCTACGAATTATTCTGGTTTATTTTGGTTTCAAAACCCAGTACTCATACCACGATCATTAATTTGTTTCCTGACACAGGATGTGAATTTAATAAGTACGACCACTCGCACCTGTGTTTCCATATGGAAATGAAACTGCGCTCCGATCTCCATTTGGCCGGAAATCTGGTGTGGCGCGGATTTAATGGCGCTGGCGGCATCACCGATAACCAAATCGTTCACTGGTGGGAAGAAGGACTTCGCATCGATGGCATCCTGGCACGTGAGCAACGGTGATTTGACATTAGCGTAGGTGACCTTTACTGCCTTAGCTCCTGCTTCCGCCGCATCGCGACTTGCTAGAGGAAAACGGAAATCAGAGTGGAAAAAAGTAACTACCGGTATTTAAAAGTTGTGCATGCCGGTTTATGTATCATGCTGATTGAATTGGTCTAGAATAGTATTTGTTGAACGATAACCCGGGAGCGATTACCAAGCCCGTTAACTACGATCCTCCGTCATCTTATGGTGATGCTACAGGTATTGTACCGTAAATAACAGTCTGACTGCATATTTCCGCCGGTGCAAATTTCATACTAATAATTTTATGGTCGATGCTGCGTGCACGGGTGACCTTTTGGGTCCGCACGGGTATTGGCTGTGTGCACAGCTTTTTCAATTTAAGTTCTTTTATGATTTTCGAATTATGGTCGTAACATTTATAGGTTTCCAGGTCTCATTCAACCATAACAGGTTTATCGACCGGTTTCTGAAATTTTTTTTATGTGCATAATCTAGAAATAGTTACTGATAATTTGTTTTAAGGCTAGAGTTTTTCTACGCGGCTTGAGGCAACGGCGGCTTGGGAATGGTGTCAGTTACATGCTTTATAAGCAACCACCAAGTGTGTTCGCGTCACGGCGTCAGACCCTGCTCCCTGCAGGGCTGAAGATAACTCGCGAGTGAAAGCAGACCCAGCAAATTTTGCAGTATTTAATGTAGGTACTTACACTTAACTCTATTTTTGTTGAAAAATTATGAGTTAAGTAAATAAGTTTCCGTAAGTAGTTTCCGTATGTACTAATTATGTAAAAAAATTATTACTAAAATATAAATTTAAATAAAAAAATTTAAATAGTTTACACGTGCACGCAGCCAACGCTCGTGCAGGAATCCCGTGCCCGCAGCCCAAACCCGTTCCCAAAATCCGTGCACGCAGCCCACACCCGTGCGGACCCAAAAATATTACCCGTGCACGCAGCCATAATGTAATTTTATTTAATTATATTTTTTTTAAATCTGTCCGTGATATATGTACTCTTACATATATATGTTGCAAGAAAAGGTACACTGAAGGTGTCTGGAAGAAATTTAAGTTAAATACCGATTTCATACTTACTTGCCACAACAACAGCAACAGGTTGCCCAGCAAACAGCGACTGCTTAGTGGCTAACAGCTCCTCAGCCGACACCTGCGCCGGGTTATAATTATTCGCACCGGGAATATCCATGGCTGTGATAACTCGTACGACACCGGGAATTTTCAGCGCATCCGTCGAATCGATTCCCTGTATATCCGCGTTGCGGATATACAGGGAATCTAAAATTCCTGATAATAAGGTAATCATCGGAGCGTATGATGGGTCGAGAACTCAGACAAGGTTTAAATTTAATGCGAAAGAAATTCCATTAAATTTAATGTATATCGCCCTCAATGTTGAACCACCAGAAGCACAAGATGCATTCTGTGGGAAGTCATGGATTGATTATCAGGAAATTAAACGAATTATCAACTCCAAAACAAGATTACCGGCCCATTTTAAACCTTGGATCGAGTATGAGGGGTGTATCCCCGAGGCTTACCTGGACATAACAGATGAGCAGTTTAAAATGGCGTTGCAAGATGCAATTAAATGGCAGCCAGAGTACATGGAAGATTTGGGCAGACGCAGAATAGAGGCGCAAAACGCGCATGCAGCGTCTAAGGCGACGGGAAAAACTCCCAAAAAACAGGCGGCGAATGAGCGAGTCACGCGAGGTGCCAAGGAGAAAAACCCAGCCCAGGCGTCTGGTGCAATATTGGATGAACCCATATCGGAAACTCCAAGCGTGGCTGAGAGCCAGACAGAACCCCAGTCGTCCCAGTCGGACAATAACTTGATAGCATTGTCGGCTGCGGATAAAGCGGATATATCCGAGGGATCTGAAACAAGAGCAAGTAAAAGCATTCGGGGTGGAACAATGACATTCCACCCGGCACAACTAAAATTACATAGTTTTGTGTCTGAAAAAGATTTTGAACAACCCGATGAGGACTTTCTTACTCAAGCTAGGGAAGTCGATGAGCAGTTAGCTGCGGCAGAAACCGATCAGGACGTTGGCTTGATAGTTCGGCAAACTATGCCCGTATTGATCCAAAGTCTCCGCACTCTTATCGCATCTACAAAAACGAAAGTAGATGAAATGGGTAATATAATGTCCTTGGACGCCCGCGTCGATGAGGAACGAAATGAAAAATTGAAATTTCAAAATGATTATAACGAAATGCGTATTAAATTTGAAACCGAACAAACGGAAAATGACCGGTTAGCCAATGAGTTGCGCATCGCGGATGACAATTTGTCTAAATTAAGGGATGATAACAGAGATGCACAAAATGCATTTAATGGATTGAAAGATGAACGTAATGCCTTAAAGGATACTAACCGACAATTGGAAAAACAAGTGGAAGAAGTCACAAGGGAGCTCTCAGTTGCGAAAGCTACAATAGACGGCTTTAAAGCTCAGACACTTCCTGACACGGCGAAACAAATTGCTGATTTAGACCAAAAATTGAATAAGGCACTGAGGGATTTGAGTGCTGAAAAAGATGCGCACAAAGTCACAAATAAAAAACTGACTGATGCGCAGAATTCGTCTCAAAAACTTACGAAGGAATTAGATGACGAAAAGAAGCGGGCTAAAGATGCGGAAGAGTCCCTACAGCATGAACTCACTCAAGCGAGAGTGCAGCTGAATAAGGTGTCCTCAGTTGGCCCGATGCACATTCCCAAGGAAAAAGATGATTTGTCCCAAAAGGAAATCGAAAGGTTACAGGGTTTGTTGAAACAGAACGGGAAAATGTGCAGAAAGCTCAAAAAGAATTAAATGAGTTGAAAAATGATAAAAGATGCGGTAATTGTGAGAACGCAATTCAAGCCAAGAATACAGCACAAGCTGACGCCTATGAAAAGTCTGAAAGGTGTAATCGACTGTATGAAGAGAATGCGCAATGCCGAAGAGAATGGCATGAAAAACAAGACCAACTTACCAAGATGGAGGCGGACTTAAGGCAAGCGTGTGACGAACTCCTCCAGTTTCGAAATCCAGATGTTGCTCTTGGCAGCGGTGACAGATACTTTCAAAAGGAAGCGCCGGTAGCAACAGGAGACGTTTTACGTCCTCCCGCATTTGCACCATTTAACCCCCAAAATTTCTCGTCATACGTTGATCAGCCTTTAGCTACGGGCAGTAATCCGGCTAGTATCTTGCGGAAGCCCAGACAGGAATCACGAGTTGAATTTTCGGAGACTCACTCCATGCCACGTTCATCTTCTGAAGGTCAAATCTCGAAAGAAACGGCACCTGCTAAACAGAAGAAAAATCGTTCAACAGATTTGCGTCAAGAAATGTTCAAAAGAACAGCCGATGAATCCGGCCGCCCGACGCGTGGAACGGAAAACAGAGATAGTTCAGACACAGAAAACGAATTTGGGGATGACATTCTCCTGGACGATGAACACCGTCGCCCCAGCAGCACGGCTAGCAATGAGTCTATGTCCAGAAATCCTCAGTTAGAGGAATGGTTAATCAAACAAACTCAAATTTCGGATAGAACGACGCTTACACAAAAAAGCGTTGTTGAACTATTAGCGAAATTTGCGGAAAAAGACAGCGATAAAACGGTAGGAGGCATGAAGCTCTTTACCTTTGATGATTCCCATCCAGAAAAAATCCAGAAGTGGCTCATGAATGTGGAGCAGTGTCGCACCACGAATAATTGGACGGACGACGTCACTTGCCGCAGAGTAACCGGTGCATTCACTGGAGCATCTTTTCAGTGGTTTGAAAAGTTCTGGAAAGATAACAAGGGCAAATCGTGGTCAGATTTCTTTAAACCGGCGATCATTACACACTTTAATGGTTCGCTTTCTAAAGCTGATATCCGCAGGAAAATGAATAATCGCAAATTAGAATTTTATGAACCTGTTCGCGCTTACCTGGATAGTTTCCTCCCATGGTTTGAGGAGCTAAAAATATCCGACGAAGAGCAAGTTGAAGCACTTCTCGAAGGCGTGCAAGACCATCGACCAGCTTGGTTCCGGGAAATATATAACGCAGCGCCAAAAAACTATACGGAATTTGAAAAGAAGTTACTGGAGTGCGAAAAATTGTGGAAACGTATGAACAAAGATAAAAAGGCTCCCGAACCGCCACAGAAAAGTGCTCCCTCAGAACCGAGAAGTGCCGGCAATAATAATAATAATAACTCGAATTACGAAGGTCGAGGCGGCCGTGGTGGCTCGTCTCAAAGAGGAAATTATTACTCAAACCGTGGAGGTCGCGGAAATTATGGCAATAATCGCGGTGGATCTTCCCGTTCGTACACGGAAACGGTGATTCCGCAGCCGCAGAATCCAGTGGCTCCACTCCAACCCGTCCTGAATGTGCCCCAGCCGCAATTCGTTCCAGTTCCGGTGTTTCAACAGCCACAATATGTTGAACAGCAACCTGTACAGTTTGTGCAGACGTTTCAACAGCCAATTCCTATGCAGGCTCCTATGCCTGTCCCAGTTCAGATGATGAATCCCATGATGCCGGTTATCCAGCCTCAGTTTCAGCAGCCGGTACAGAACTTCGATCCGCAGTACCAACAGGATGGTCCTGTAAATGACAACAATTACAATGGCGGCAATAATCGTGGAAATTACCGAAATAACAATAATAATTATCGTGGACGAGGTGGCTATAACAACTATAATAATCGCCAGCAAAATCAGAACCAAAATTACCGGCAAAATCCACAGGCTGGTAGCCAGCCTCCGTTTGATGAACAAAATATCCTGAAGGATAAATAGCGATCCAACCGTGGCGTCGAAATCTGCTTCCGCTGTCACGCCCTACATCCAGCGGCAGGTTGTACTAATCAGTTTGTCCTGCCTCGGCAGTACGAACCATCCGCAGAATTATTGGCTCGATACAACAACCCTCAGCAGCAAATTAATATGATGGAATTGGACTTACCTGCTGGTTTGTCTTCTCCGACGCCCCAGTGTAATAAAATGGAAGTAGAGGACTTTTCCCAATATTCGTTAGCAGATCACGTTTGCTTGTTGCCGACGCTTGATGCTCAGGCTTGGTATTCTGTAATCGACATAAATTATCAGAAAGTGAAAACCATGTTAGATTGTTAGATACCGGCTCTAGCATTTCAGTAATGTCCCTTAAAATGGCGAATGACTTAAAATTAAACATCCATCGGTGTCCTGATCACATTAAAGGCAGAGTCGTTCATACGGCTTACCAGGGAAGACAGTTAATTGAGCCGTTGTCCGTGGTGGTCACCATCCATGAATTCGGGATGGCCTTTGAGCACGCAATTCTTGTGAGTTCCACTTTCGATAGGGACCACGTTGTTTTAGGTTTAGACTTTTTAGCTACAAAACCGTTTGTCCTTGACATGAATACAATGACTTGGCGTCTCTCGCGCAGACAGCCTAATGCTCCGGCATTCTTTCGTCGTGAAACTCACCTGATGTCGGATGTCATCCGCTCACACGATTTTGATCCGTTAATTCCTGCGGGAGTTAAGCTGTCCCCGTCGATTCCAGCGTTGATGTTAACAGAGCGCATCGGTGTCGCTAAGGAGGCAAAATTTGTGCCTTATGAGTCTGCACATTTAATTTTAGCGAAAGCTGACCCAGAAATCTGTATCCTTCACTTACAAAAAGCTAAACAGGAGTGGCCTCGTCCAGCTCCGCCGCCACCAGCGACAAAAGTAGCTGATGTGCCAGTAAAAACGGAAGCTAAAGAAATTGTACCCGTGCAGGCGGCACCGACAAAAAAAGGATCAGATCAGCGGGACGAGGAGTTTGTGCGTAGTGTAGTTCAGGAGATGATTCGCCAATATCTCCCCAAAGCAGCTTCTGTTGCTAATGAACCCGTTCGTCCTGCAATCAAAAAGGAAATCAAAGTAGAGAAAAATTTAGAACCAGGTCAAGTTCGTGGGGGAGGCGGCGAAATAATTGTACATAATATGCAGTCAAGTTCGCGGGGGAGAGAACAGACGTCTTCCCAGCCGCCAATTAAAAAAGAAAAAGTATCGCAGCCGTCTCCGGCAAGCAGTTCAAGTACCCGTCTTCGGCATCGGTTAGCCCTGTGCCCAATTCTGGCTCCAGTCAAGTTCGTGGGGGTGACGATTCCCTACAACTTCCGATTCAAATCTCTTCTGTAGATGCAGTGTTGAAGCAACATCCTGCGGCAAAGTATCTTTTTATGGGCGTTCTGGAGAAATCTGCGAAGTCAGTCGAATGTCTAAGCATGGACAACAAGCTGTTGAATGTTATACCGGTTGAGCGTGACCGCAGAG